GAGACAGAACCAAGAAACTAAACCGTGCTGTTCCAACAGCTAGCCAGGGTGCAGGCCAGGAGAGAAGAGGCACATGCCTCTCCAAGCAACTGACTGATTTGGAGGAACACAGGACAAGATGATAGCAACTGAAGTAAAGAAACAATTTAATGCTTGCATAGTTTGACTGACTTTGCTGGTCTAAAGCCAGTAGTCTGAGCATCTATTTAGAGGATAACAATATGTAATATAGTAACTATTGGGGATATCCTACTGTCTCATTTTGTAATCCAATATTGTTCTCATTGTTTTATTCCATTTTATTGTTTTGTTTTATTACCTTTAAAAGAAAAAAAAAAAAACCAACCAGGCATGGTGGCATACACCTGCAATCCCAGCACTCCAGAGACTGAGGCAGGAGTTCAAGTTCAAGTTCAAGACCAGCCTGGGCTACAAAGTGAGCTCAAGGCCAGCTTGAACTGCACACTGAAACTCTGTCTAAAAAAAAAAAACAGAAAAAGAAAAAAATACAACAATCAATAATTGGACAAATGAATTTCATAAGAACTTCTCAAAAAAAGTATAACCAGGCCAGGTGGTGCATGCCCATAATCCCAGCACTCTGGAAGGCTGAGGCAGAAAGATCACAAATTTGAGCCCAGCCTGCTCAATGGTAGGGAGACTCTCTCAAAAAATAAAAAGGTCTTGGGATGAGTTTAGTGTGAATGGTCTGAGTTCAATTCTCAAAACCAGAAAACAAAACAAAAGAATTACAAATTACCAAAAATCACTCAATATCTTGAGTCATCAGGAAATGCAAATCAAAACTAAACTGAGATTCCATCTCACTGCAGTCAAAATGACGATAAAAGAGTAAAAGCGGATGAGGATAGAAGGGAAAAGGAACTCTTTACACTGCTGGTAGGAATGAAAATTAGAATAACCATTGTGGAAATCAGCATGGAGGTTCCTCAGAAAACTAAAAATAGAGCTACCATATGGCCGAGCTACAGCACTCCTTGGTATATAACTGACTGAAGGAACTGCAGTCAGCAATCTGCGTACCTATGTTTATTGTAGTACAAGTCACAATAACCAAGACATGGAACCAGCTTAGGTACCCATCGACAAATGAATGAATAACAAAATACATACACAATGGAATATTGTTCAGCTGTAAAGAAAAAAAATTATGTTTCAAGAACATGTATGAAACTAGAGATCATGTTAAGCAAAATAGGCCCGAGTCAGAAGGATGAATACCACGTTTTCCCTAATATATGATATCCTTAGAAGATAACATAAAAGTAGAAGAGAGATTATTATCAGACAAGAGAAATAAAAAAAAGGTAAGGTGGTATAAAGGAGGAGAAAGGGGAAATAGATATAATTAAAATATATGCATGTATGAAAGATATCACATCAAAATCCACCGCTTTACAAAAGTTAATAGGCACTAATAAAAAATATACATATATATAAATTTTTTTAAAAGTTGGGGGCTGGTTTTTCAGGTCAGCTGATACACATCTATCATCCTAACCACTTAGGAGGTTGAGCCAGGGAGATGGAAAGTTCCAGGCCCACCTAAACAACTTAACGAGAACTTGTCTACAAAATAAAAATGGCCCAGAGAAGATTCGAATGGCTTCATGAAGCCATCACTACCTACCAAGTCAGTTTTCGGGGAGCAGGCAAGACACGTCCAAGAAGTGCAGGGGGCCCTCACGTGACAACCCACTCTTTTTCTTTTGCTCCACAACCAAAGGGTGATCCTCTGTGAATGCCGCAGGCTTCCAGCATGGCCACAGGAAGACCATCCCACTCCCAAATGCACCAAGAAGTCCTTTTTAGGAGGACTCTGATGCAGTCCACGGACCCACCATTCGGCCTTGTTCTTATTTCATTTAGTTGGGTAAAGAAGCCATGTCAGGTAGATGGGACCTTTTTTTAAATCCAATTTTATTGGTACACTTTAGATACACATACTGATCACATTCATCGTAGAGAATGTGTACCCGTATATGATGTGACTTGATTCTTCTCCCCCATCCCCTACCCTTCTTCCAACCCTCCTCCCACACTTTACAAATGCTTTGTTTCCACTTTTTCCTTCTTTTCTCATTTTTTAAAACTTTCCCCTTTTCTTCCCTCTCCCCTTCTCTTGTTCTCCCATTTGAACGTTTTCTTCCTTTTTCACAATACCTATTTATACATTTGGGTCCTTATTTACAATTTCAGTTTCTCTTATCAGAGAAACAATGTGGTATTTACACATGTGTGTCTGATTTATTTCACTTAAGAGTATGGTCTCAAGATACATCCATTTAGCTAGGAATGTCTCAAGTTTCTCCTTTATGGCAGAGTAGTACTCCATTGTCTATATAAAAAACACATCTTCTCTATCCATTCCTCAGTTGATGGGCATTTGAGCTGTTTCCAAGATTTAGCTATTACAGCCTGTGCTGCTATAAACATGAGTATTCATAGATTGCTGTGATATGAGGCTTTTAATTCTTTCAGGAAGATATCCAGAAGGGGACTAGCTGGGTCAAGTGGGACCTCTAGTCCTAGTTTTTTGAGGAATCTCCACACTGATTTCCATGGTGATTGTACCAGTCTATATTCCCACCAACAGTGGAGAAGGCTTCCTTTCCCCCCACAGCCCTGCAAACATTTGTTATTGGTTGATTTCTTTAGCCATTCTTTCTGGGGTGAGGTGGGATCTCAGTTCTGTTTTAATTTGCATCTCTTGAAAGACCAGTGATGTTGAGCATTTTTTCATATATTTATTTGCAGCTTGTACTTCTTCATCTGAGACGTGTGCATTCATCTTAGATGCCCTAGACGGAAATCTTGATTCTGGCATTAGAGGCGCTTTGGTTACATCTCATCTGGCAAGTCCTCAAAAACATGGTGATAGATTGACTTTAATGAATCAAAGAATCTTAGGATCTCTAGGCTTAAAATATATGTGTATCTGATTTAAGAACTCATCCTGGTTGGATTCCTTGGCCAAACTCTAGGAACACGTACTGTGACCCATACCTATTTTAATGATTGTTGTGAAGATTAAATGAAATAACACAGACACAGCACATAGCAGAGAACAGGCAGTTGATGTTTCGCAGTTGCTCTTCCTCCCACTATTCAAATGCATTCTATGCATCACAAAGTGGCCAACTGCCAGTATAAGACAGTCACATGAAACAGATTAGCATGTGTCAAATTCTAACTTGGCTATGCATCACTGTGGGATCTGTTAAAAAGTAGACTGTGTGTCAGAAGATATGGATGGGGGCTGGGTTCTGCATTTCCAGCAAGTTCCCAAGTGGCTTCAAACACTGACTACACTTCGAATATCAAAGGTGATTAACAATGATCTTAAGAAGGCTATACACTAGAATTATCTGGTGAGATTTATAAAGTATGTATTCATGCTTATAGTTTTAATAAGTAAACTAGATAATTCTAGTTCTCAGCCAGGGTTAAAAACCACTGGCCTAGAGCCTAGTATTCTTTCTAACTCTAATCTCCAGATAGTTTTGATCATTCATCAGCTGATAGTTGTTGAGCTTCTACTCTCTGTCAGGCATTGATGTTGGTGAGGAGAACAAACAAAAGAGCCAGCAGTGAAAGAGCATATGATAAATGCTGGGCACAGAGGGCCTTGTGCAGGACCCCAGGATGGGGCCAGGGACATTCAGCCAGCGAGACGAGTCAAGAACAGGAAGACTTCTCTGTATGAGGTCAAGGAAGGACCAAGTTCAAAGTATTATAGGAGTGATTTAAAAGAAAAGAGGGAAAGATAATAGGTACTGGAAAAGACCTGAGTTCACTCAAGGAGAGGAAAGTGGGCTAGAGAAGATGCCAGGAGCAAGATCGTGAAGCAGTGCTAAAGCACAGAGTTTGTCCCTCATCACAAAGCCAGGATTTTAAGAAGACTGAATTCTGGAATGTAACAAACATCATTACCATTATTATTGTATTACTATTTTATAATTTCCAGGATTGCGTTTTAGAAATATTACATGGGCAGTTTGATGGAGAATAGACTGGAGGGAACTTGGACTGCAGATAGATAAGATGGTGAGAAACTTAAATTCATCTGGCTAATGCCAGGTGCCGCGGCCAGCGCGGGGAAGGAGTCAGGCGAGAGACTGAAGACACAGGGACACCAGTTGCTCAGGAGACAAAAGGTGATTTATTGAAGGACTCCAGAGTTTTTATAATGTTTCAAAACAAAGAGCAGTACAAGTCACTTCAGGACACTTTCTTGTGCATACAGCAAAGGTAAACATGGTCCTGGGCCCATGAGAAACTGCTTTGCTTATGTTATGAAGCTATTCCCAGGTTAATATCAGCGCAATGCTTTGTCTAGAAGGCTGAGGTTACTGCAGGATGAGGAACTGGTTGAGGTCCAGCTTCAGTGTGTGGTTTTCCACACCCGTTCACTGCCGGACCCCTGGCTCCTGCTCCCAACATATCCCCCTTATTTCTTAGACAAAGCATCGCATGGGAATTTCATTAGCAGTTGATTCTAACTTAAAACGTTTCAAGTCCAACGCACATTTCTCATTTGCCCAACAACAATTCTCACAAAATATGGAAAAATTGTTAGCTTGACAATAAATGCTAGAGCTCCAATACCAGCTAGAATGATAAAATGTGAAATGCCCGTGAGGCTTGGGAAATGGCTGGTTAATGCGTTGAATATTTGCTCAGTTTCTTTTGCTATGTCAACTTTTATTGCTGGTGCATTGGTTATATCTTGGATAGTTTTATGCAGCGTAAGCAAATCTAGAGAAGTATTGGAATTATGCCATATTCCTAGCAAATGATTTTTCACCCTATCCCAAGGTACATCACTTTCATTATATCTATGTGAAGTAACACAAATATGTTCATATAAGGCATGACATTTCAAAGAAGATTGTACTTGCAAAGCATATAATTGGTCTCCTAAGGTTATTACTGTATCTTGTAGAGCATTTAATTTTTGTTCAATCAGGCTATTCCAATTTTCCTGTATTTTCAAAACCAAAGAAACATGATGGGATAATTCATTGACATAGGATGCAGTTTGCACACTTTCCATAAGAGATATTGCAGACATTGCAGTGGAGGCTATTACAGTAATAAGTGCAGCAATTCCAGTCATTAACATCCCCACAAATCATTTGGCCCAATTTAAAAGGTTAGTTAATTTTTGCAAAATAATCACAGAAGGATCTTGATACCACTCTGTGGTGATATTAACAGGTAAAAATACAAATGGAGGTTGTTTGACCAGTAATATGGATGAGTGGTTTTGTGAAGCATTAACACAATTGGATAAGATGCAATCTTTACAAGTAATTTTGTAAGATTCATTGTTCTTATTTACAGTAAGTTCTCCACTTGTAACACCATATGGTTCAGAAACACAAGCTATAATAGTTACATTTTTTACTGTGCCATTAACAGAAATAGCATCCTGTGTCCCTGTATGTTGCCATACAACTTTTTCTTTTGCAACAGCAGTATAATCAAGAGCTGCAACCAACTTCCACAGCATGCTAAAAAAAGGTGATGTTATTCCTTGTCCATATTCCATATAATAAATTTCAGGGCCTGTAGGTTGTTTCTCTGTAATCATCCCAGTCACATAGATCTTTGTAACATGTAGTATAATTATGATGGCACAAACACCATGAGGGTCCATACACACTTTTGCTTGGGTATTTTTGTCTACATTCGGGAATATGCTCAGGGGGATTGCCTTTTCCCACTCTAATTTCACTACTGTCGCAAAATACATACATCATATCTACTCCCCAGTGCATTCCATTAGTAAAGTTTCCATCCCAATCAGAGTATCTTTCTATTAATGTACAATTCTTATTTGTTTTAGAAAAACATAGGGGTAATGAAGCAGACATTCCAGTGTAATTATATACAATAGAGATAGGTTGTATATGAGTGGAAGAAGGAAAACTTAAGACAAGAGTATTTTTACATAAACAGTAACATCATCGTTGTCGCCCCATGACATAGGGTGCAACAAAGGAGGATTAGGTACAAATGCCCAATAATTATCCGCCCGCACAGGCATATAAAATGTATGCAAAACCCAAATAATGCTTAGCAGTTGAGCCAAAAACAGAAGAGTTTCATCTCTTGTCGCAGGAGGCCTTCTGGTCGTTGTTCTCATCCTCGAGGTCATAGTTAGTCGAAGCATCTTCCTGCGCAATTTGTCTATCTTGCTCTTGGGTGTGTCGTACACAACATTCTGGGATCCACCTGGGTGTATCACCATCTGTGGGAAAAACACAAACATATCCTCTTCCCCATATCAATACTGGGTCAGGACCATGTAATAGATTAGTTAATGGGTCTTTCCAATAAACCATTGGCTTATTCTGCAGATCTATTGGAAGCATCAAAAGTTAAAAAATTAAGAAGGTAAAGAGCATGGTTAAGAAGGGTTTTGGGAGAATACTTATACCTTCTCCCCCTTTTTAATTTCTTTAATGTGTTTTTTAGTGAGAGATTAGCACGTTCAACAATTCCTTGTCCTTGAGGGTTATAAGGCAATCCAGTAACATGTTTAATATGGAAAGTCTGACAGAATTTGGCAAAGGGTTTACTAACATATGCTGGGCCATTATCAGTTTTAATGGATCAAGGAATGCTCAGGATAGAGAAACAATGTAGTAGGTGTTGTATTACATGGGTGGCAGTTTCTCCAGTCATAGGTGAAACAAGCATGTAATGAGAAAAGGTGTCTATGGTAATGTGTAGGTTTTTTAATGACCCAAAAAAAGGATAATGAGTGACATCCATCTGCCAGATGTCATTTGGACGGAGTCCTCGAGGGTTTACTCCAAAATGAGGTACTGGAAGGAGAGGCGCACATGAGGGACAGTTTTTAACAATTTCTCGTGCTTGCTGCCGTGTTATACCATACTGATAACGTAAAACCTGTGCAGCTTGGTGATGAAGAGCATGTGACTGTTGTGCTTGCAAAACAGCAGACAGTCCAATATGCATGGCTCGTTCTGCAATTGCATTTCCATGAGTCAAAGCGCCTGGAAGATTAGAGTGACTGCGAATATGTCCTACAAAACAAGGTGCAGATCGAGAATGTAAAGATGATTGAATAAGACCAAATAACTGTGCAACAAGGATATTAGCAGTGTTGATAACAGGTACGCATTCTAAAACAGACAAGGCTTGTACTACATATTGGCTATCTGAAAACAAATTAAAGGGAACATCAAAGAAAAGAATAAAAGCCTGATGAACAGCATAAAGTTCAGTCTCCTGAGCTGAAGTACTCCTTAATTGCCATACGTAAGTTTGATTTGGGGATACTAAAGTAGCTTTTCCATTGGAGCTTCCATCTGAAAATAAAGTAATAGCATTAACAAGGGGTTTCATGCGTATGATTTGAGGAAATGAGAAGGTAACTTTAGAGGCAAACTGAAGAATTTTATCCTTGGGATAATGATGTTGGATTTGACCGGCATAGGATGCTAGAGAAAGAGGAAAATAATCAGTCATATTAAGCAACCATTCGAGCTGTTCAGATGTATAAGGGATTATAATAGAGTGAAGGTCTCTTCCTAAATGCATTATAGATAATTTCCTTCCTTGCATAATCCTTTCTGCAACCAAAGAGGCGTAAGGGGGGAGAGCCCTTTTCGGGGAATGCGAACCATGAATCCATGAGAGAACTCCCTGTTGATATAACACACCTGTAGGAGAAAAGGACGTGGGTATGATGATAAGAGACCAGGGAGTGGAATAATCAGAATAATGAAGCTGCGCACTTTGAAGAGCCTTATTAACCAGTTCAAGAGCTTTGCGAGCTTCTGCTGTCATTTGGGGGGTGAACTTGGGTCAGAATCTCCAGCTAATAAGGAAAACAATGGGTGGAGGTCTTGAGTAGTTAACTTTAGAGACAGCCGGATCCAATTAATTTCGCCTAAGAGTTTTTGAAAATCATGTAACATACACAAGTGAGAAGTATTAACACAATCATTGAGGAGAAAAATGCCGTGGATATAAGTGAAAACCTAGATAAGAATAAGGAGGTGAAGTTTGGACCTTCTCAGGTGCGATGACCAGCCCATTATTTGTTAAATCCTGATGAAGAGAGGCATATACTTGCAAAAGCATCTCAGAGTCTTGATAGGCTATTAAAATATCATCCATATAATGAATAATGGTGGCAGAGGCAAATTTAGATCTGGTATTGGCAATGGCTGCATGTACAAACTTTTGACACAAGGTGGGGCTATTAGCCATTCCTTGAGGTAACACAATCCACTCATATCTTTCCATAGGTAAGGACAAATTACAGAAAGGAATTCTAAAAGAAAACCTCTTGCAATCCTCGGGGTGGAGAGGGATAGTATAAAAACAATCTTTCAAATCAAGAACAATACGATGATGTGACAGAGGTATTGCCATAGGTGACAGAAGTCCAGGCTGAAGAGCCCCCATAGGAAACATAGTATCATTAACTTTTCTAAGGTCTTGTAATAACCTCCATTTTCCTGATTTCTTTATTTTTTTATTGATTCTATTTTTTTATCACAAATATAAGCGAATTCCAGGGGGAGGAGGAAGGTCGGATATGACCACAGACTAACTGTTCCTCCACTAATTGCCTGGCGGCTTGGAGTTTAGCCTCAGGCATGGGCCACTGATCTACCCATACTGGTGTATCAGATTTCCAATTAATTTTATCAGCATGGATAGCAGGATGATCAGCGGCCACTAAGAAAAACCCAAGTCCTGTTTATCAACCTTTTGTGGGATGGATAAAGGGTCTTTGATACCTTGATTATTTTTTCCCATGCCTGCAAATGACAGTTGGCCCATTTGCAACATCTGTTTGGTTACAGTGGGACTTGGACTCCACAAGTACACTCCCATTTGGCTTAGTATGTCTCGTCCCCACAAATTTAGGGGAAGATTAGGTAAAACATATGGTTGGAATTCTCCAGTATGTCCCTCTAAATCAGCCCAAGATAATATAGAAGAGGATTTAAAAGGAGCGGAGGCTTGCCCAATTCCTTGGAGAATGGCAGGGGCAGGATCCAAGGGCCAGGATGAAGGCCAATCTTGTTGTCTTATACCAGAAACATCATCAGCCCCTGTATCCATTATTCCAAGAAAGGTTTTTCCCTGTGTTTTTAGTAAGCATTCTGGCCTTTCATCTTGTATTTGTCGAATAAGAAAAGCATCAGAGGATCCAAACCTTTGGGTGCCTCGTTTTTTCCTAAGCATCTTTTGTTTTCCTTGAATAAGAGGCAACAATAATAACTGTGCTATACGAGTACCCGGAGGTATATTAATGACTACTATATCAGTTTTAGCCATAACTTTAATTTCTCCCTCATAATCTTGATCTATCACTCCAGGAAGTACTATAAGTCCTTTTAAAGTAAACCCACTTCTCCCTAGTAAAAGCCCCCAAGTGTTTGGAGGTAACGGGCCATAAATACCGGTAGGTATCAGTTGGACTCCTAGCTCTGGGGTTAATATGATGTGGGTGGTGGAACTGAGGTCCAATCCTGCACTGGAGAGGTCTGAAACGGATTGTTTCTGGGTTGAATTGCCCCCAAAATTTGTTGTCAGGCCTGGGGCTGGCCCCTCTTGGAGTTTCCCTGCTGGGGGGGGGGTAGTAAATTGCCTTCCTTATCTCTTTTAGAATAACATTCATTAGCCCAGTGATCTCCTCTCTTACAGCATGGACATAACCCTGGGGCTTTTGGCTTTTTATCAATTTTAACCTTATTATTTGCATTATTATCACCTTTTGGAGAATCAGAGCATTGTTTGGCAATATGCCCCACTTTTCCAGAATTATAACAACTTCCTGGAGGGCCAGGGGCACGTTTTTTGCGTTTGCTATGTTGTATTGCCAAACATTCTTACAGGGTTTGTCCCTTCAAAGCAGCTGCCATAGACAATCCTTGAATATATCCTGCTCCTATGTCTGCACAAAGTCTGATGTAATCATTTAAGGTGCCCCGTCCCTTCCAGGGTCGAAGAGCTGCTTGGCAGACTGCATTGGCATTTTCAAAGGCCAATTCTTCTACTAATATATTGCTGGCTTCTTGGTCATTTATTAATCGTCCTGCAGCCTGAAGGAGGCGAGAGACAAAGTCCTGGAACAGCTCATCAGGGCCTTGTTTAATCTTGCCTAACTCTCCCTTCTTTGATCGTGATTGGGGCAATTTTTTCCATGCTGCTAAAGCGGCCCACCGAATCAAATCATAGGCATAGCCAGGGTAATTTAATTGAGCACCCAGGGCCGCAAAAGCTCCTTTCCCTTGAAGATGATCCATAGACATTCCATTAGCAATAGCTTGATCGTCTAATGCATATCCCATGGTAGTCTCTTCATATTCTGATAGCCAAAGAAGATAATCTCCCCCATTCAGTATAGCCTTAGCTAAAAGCTTCCAATCTTGATGTGGCAAAGCCTGGCTCACTACTGATTCAAGAATAGACATAGTAAAAGGAGCAGTAGCTCCGTATTGTGTAGCTGCCATTTTTAATTCTTTAATTGTTTTAAAAGGAAGCCCCTCATGTTCATTGTATGATTGTCCTTGTGGAGTAACTCTCCTTACTACTGGATAAACTTGAAATCCCTCTAAATTTTCGCCTTGCTTTCTAGCTTCTTGAGGTGCACATTGTAAGGGGGATATCGCTGAAGGTGCAACAGGACATATAGGCACAGGTGGGGGCAATAAAGGCTTTGGTCTAAATCCTACTCGAGCAACAAGAGGTGTAGTAGAAGTTTCATATCGATCAAACAAAGGCCTTGCCAATGAAGAAGTACTACAACTTTTATGCTGTTGATCCTTTAAATTAGCCTCAGATAACTTTTGAATCTGCTTAGCCACATCAGACAATTCTTTTTTAAATGTTTCAATCAAGTTTTCTAGGCCCTCCATTGGTTCTTTACATTGTGGGTTTGCCTGATCTTGAAGCATGAAAGCCTCATGTTGATGCTCATATTGAGAGGCTTCACGCTCTAACTCTTCCCATTCTTTTGGACCTAATTCTTCATCTGAATCTGAATCAGTTTCTTTATCAGGGTTATTGACTTGTAAATCATCAGGCCTATTGTTTATTTTGTTAGTCGTAGGGAGGTCGAGCTGCTCGTAACAGGGCAGCTCAGAGAGCGGGTGGCGGAGCAGAGGGCAGGGGGCGTATAAGGAGGATGCCACATTCTCTGAGGATTTGGTTTTTCTTATAAAACTTTCTCGAGTTCTTTTTTCCCATTTACTAGACTCAGAGTCCCCTTTTAAACAGTCCTTAATTAAAGTCCAAATCGGAAACACATCCACAGGAACCTTCTCAGGACCCCAAGCACAATAATAATCTTTAATCTTTTCTCCTACTGTCTTCCAAGTCTCAACATTAACTGTTCCCTGTTCGGGAAACCAGGGGCAAGCCTGATGCAAAAAATCAACAAACCGATGAATTTGGAGCTTAGCTACAGGAATGCCCCTACTCTTTAACAAAGAGGAAATAACTTGTTCAAAAAGTTCCCATTCTGATGACGGGGAGTTACCCATTCTCAATCCCTGCGTATGTGCCACTCCCTGCTACTTTCACTTTTCACTTACCCGGGTCGTCTGTAGCAGCGGTCTTCTGGGAACTGCCGATTCTCCTTCCACTGGAAAAACGCTCCGAATGCTTATATTCCAAGCCCCACGTTGGGCGCCAGGTGCCAGGTGCCACGGTCAGCGCGGGGAAGGAGTCAGGCGAGAGACTGAAGACACAGGGAGACCAGTTGCTCAGGAGGCAAAAGGCGATTTATTGAAGGACTCCAGAGTTTTTATAATGTTTCAAACAAAGAGCAGTACAAGTCACTTCAGGACACTTTCTTGTGCATACAGCAAAGGTAAACATGTTCTTGGGCACATGAGAAACTTCTATGTTGTGCAGCCCAGGAGGTAAACATGTTCCTGGGTCCATGAGAAACTTCTTTTGTTTATGTTATGAAGCTATTCTCAGGTTAATATCAGTGCGATGCTTTGTCTAGAAGGCTGAGGTTACTGCAGGATGAGGAACTGGTTGAGGTCCAGCTTCAGTGTGTGGTTTTCCACACCCGTTCACTGCCGGACCCCTGGTTCCTGCTCCTAACAGGCTAAAGAATAGGAAAGATACAGGGGAGCTAGATTTTACAGATTGGGAGATTTCACTCTTGCAATAATTTAAAAATCCACATCTGCATTACCAGTTTGCTAATTCCTTTCATGCAAGTCTTGAGGAGTCCGTACAAGTGTTAGTGAGATTTTGCAAATAAAGGAAACTGAGGCTCAGAAATAAGTGGACTTGTTTAAGATTACATGACAAGTCATGGAAGAACCCCACCCTTTCCTGCTGCATCAGGCTCCTGCTCCCAAGATGTGCAAGGTGGAAACCCTGTGCGCAGGGTGAAGGTCCCTCCTTGTTGGTGGGTCAAGTGGATTTATGTGACCTTAAAGGGACCCAGAGTTCAGACTTTGCTACCATTAGCTTTACATTCCTAGATGTGGAAATAGTAAGTCCTCAAAACTGGGATTCTCAGACAATCTTGAGAAGGATCTGTACCTGGGTTCCACTTTATTCCAATGCCATAGGGTATGAAGCTATAGGACAGGATATGAAAGGAAAGGACAGAAATGCAGATATTGGGGCGGGTGGCAGAAGTGGCTGGCAAAGTTGTCTTGACCCATCTGATGTCTCATGGACTGTACCTGTGTCAACCGACTTGTGTAAGGCCTCCCACTTTGATGTTAGTGCATCAGGCACCTGTCTGCTGCTAACAGAACAACTCAAGCCCACTGTGACACAATATAAACAGGCAGAGAAAAAAACGTCTAACATTTTCTGCCTTGTAGGCAAGAGGGCAGGGGTACGTACTTGAGGGCAGCTGTGCAGCTTTTCTGCAAAGTCTTCAGTGTTCTAGATTCCTTCCATCTTTTCACATCGCCACCTTTGGCATGCTGATTTGGGGCCCAAGATGGCAATGTGTTTCCAAGAATCTTCCTGACCGGAAGAAGTAGGAAGAGGCACAGAAGTAAAACCAGGGTCTTTGCCATCCAAGTCTTTCACTCTGTCAAGAACACAAAAACTCCCCTGGAGCCCACACCCTGCAGAATTTTGCTTCCAGCTCAGATCACATGGCCACCCCAGCTGGAATGGAGCTAAGGAGACCGTGCAGGATGGGCTAGGTGTGTCTCTTTCCATGTATTCCCATAAACATGGGGATACGTGGCTCAGAGTTTACATGACTAAAAAAGAAGTTACAAATACTGATGTTTAGGAGACCTGTATAAAGAACCTTTCATACAGCTCATATCCTGTGGAGACTATTATCTCCCTTCACAGATGAGGAAACTGAGGCTTAGAGACACAGAAGAACTTCCTCAATCCTATACAACATGAAGAAAAATATTTTTGTATAGAACAAACATAAGTGTCACATGATAAAGAACAAGAAATCCTCATGAACTTCAGAGATAAAAGCCAGCAACTAGACACACAGAAATCCCCTGTGGGCTCTAGCTTTGAACCTGCCAAATGAACACTTTTGCTTCCCTCTCGCACTAGAGGACCCTCAGTGGGAAAGTGTAAGCAGCCACCATCTTAGGTTAACAAGATACACACAATTCAGCTTCTGTCACAAGACTTCAGACATGATGTCACTGTAACGACATCTCATGATGTGATATCTCAAGGTATTCCTATGCAGCCAAGTGACAAATGAAAGAGACGACAGAGTGCCTGAGTCGACAAGAGGGAGCAGTTACTGAGGGAGCCGCAAGGGTCAGTGGGTAAAATGGGAGCTTGAAGGAAGACAAGAACGGCACAAACAAGGAGGAGATAGCAGAAGATGAGAAATATGCCCAAACTGTCCAGAATGAGTCTGGGGTATTTTAGGGAGAGTAGAAAGACAGCCTGGCTAGAAGGAATGGGCCTGAAGGAGACAACTCGTCCTGGGAAGGAAGTGTGGGGCTGGTTCCTGAGGGAGTCTTCTGAGGCCAAATTTTTCTTCCGTTCCCTTTCTGCCTACAGGTCAGGGGCTGCACAGACATTGTTCAGTCTGCACTCCTGAGCTGCCTGCAAAGGGAACTGATTCTTCCACGTTGCCTCTTTTCAGATGAATCCCAACATTCTCACCCCAAGTGTGCTGTGCAGTGCAGTCTTGCCCGTGTCACTGGTGTTGGTGGCTTTGGAATTGCATATCCAGTAAAGGTTGACCCCTCAATTTAATGTCACTTGCTATTCCAGCAGGAATATCCAGGAATCAACCAGGCATACGACTGAGAACTTGGGTAAAGTCCCTGCTGTTTTAAATTAGTATCCCACCATCCATCAGGCCCTGGCTAAATAGGTCAGGCAACATGATCAGAAAAGGGTGTGGATGAGAAGTATGGGGAAAGCCACCATGGCCCAGCTGCTCATCCCATCGTTGGGGTCATGATGGTTGGAATCTCCTCCTCCACAGAGTCTTTCTTGGAGTGGAGTAGAAGACATCTAGATCAGGTAGCCAGGACCCATGGGAGCAGGCTTTTCCATCCTTTTTTGACACGTGAAGGGGCTGAATAACCACCTTGTCCTTCTTGTACCCAGCCCTGCCATCATTTACCTTCCATGCCAAGAGGGCATCATATCCGGTCATATCATGTTGCTTCCATCTGGCAGGCACCTGCTTGCCATCTTCACCTACAGCACTCTGCCATGTTCTCTCCCCATCTCTCTGACCTTTTCTTTTACTTTTTCTCAGTTAACATATGCACGGCAAAGAATTTGCTTCCTTAGGTTGGCCAACCATCATTTTTACTTTAGACCTAAGTTACTTACAGCCTCTGTTTTATTGGCTTGTCTCACTCTTTGATGGGACCTCCGCACCGACTCTGGGTCACCATTAGTAAATACTGATACCACGATAGGGCTAGCAGTTGGGAAAAATTTTTAAATACTTTTTTCCCAAGAAGTGCTGGAAATGAAACCTTACAGACCTGCATATGCTAGGCAAGTGTACTACTACATTCTCAGACCCAAAATATCAAATTCTTGACACCAGTAACTTTTTTTATCATTTGCCCATTTGTCCTATAACCCTAAAAAAAAAAAAATCTGAATTTCTGTATGACTCAGGGTGGGAATTCAGGGAGGTTTTTACTAACCTAGAAAGTACACACACTCACCCTTTAAGCTTCTTTCTCTCACTGAAATCAGTAAAGGAGCACAAAGAAATCTGGGACCTGATGATGCAGGGAGGAAACAAAACTTTCATTGGAAAATGGCCCCTTACCACCTGTCAGGTGGAAGGGGCTGGATTAGTTTGTTATTTTGGAATTATGAAAGTTGTCTTCCCTGTGTTTATGCAGCTATGGACTTGGGGCTGCAGATGGGTGAGGCCTGTCACCCCCACAAAACCCAACACAGGGTTCAGGTGGCTGAGGCTGTCACCCCCACAGTCATAATGTGCTCTAAACCTTTAAAAAGAAATTAAGTATGTGAGAAAGTATTAAAATACAAGAGTGAAACCACCGTGTTAAAAAAATGCTCTCTCTGCCACTTACTTGTAGATACACTAGATATTTGATCAGTCAATAAAGATCAGTGGTGTGAAAAAAAGATCTGTTCCTTTTAACTTTACAACTGACCTGACATTTATTTTTTGAAGCACTGCTTGAAAGTATTGAGGAAAAAAAATCAATGACCAGAATGTAGGGTACTTAGTGCAAAGTGTCTGCAGCTAGTGGCAAAGAGAGGGTTCTTTTGAGGGCTTCAGAGGACTAAGGTGATGCGTGTCAGGCACAGGCGGCAGCCATCAGAACTGGTGGATGTCTGGGTCCCTGGTTACAAGGATGCAGTAGAAGAGGAGGGTGAGGAGGTGGGGACTTCCCCACAGCCCAGGACACCTTTGGGGCAGGGCCTTGGCAGGGGGAGGCCCTTGCCCTTCTCTGGACTTCCTAGCAGTAGATTCCTGACTTGTACATTTAGCTCTGCCCAAATAGAGAAGGCTAAGCTCCCCTCCAGCACTCTCTACCTGTGCCATTTTCATATGGGTTTTCTGGGGGTGACAGGCCTCACCCACCTGAACCCTACATTGGGTTTTCTGGGGGTGACAGGCCTCATCTACCTGAACCCTATGTTAGGTTTTGTGGGGATGACAGCTTCAGCTACCTGAACTCTGTGTTAACACATACAACAATAAGAGAATGTGAAAAGTTCTGTGGGAGAACAGAGGGAGCCACCCGAAAAAAATAAAATTTTTTAAAAAATTTTATTTAAGGAGAAAAAAGAAAAAAACAGAAAAAGGGTACAAGTTACACAGAATTTCAGAAAAAATAAACAGTAGGAAATCACTAATTAATTACATATTGTCATCTTAGAAACAGTTGTTGAAGTTACAAAATTAAAGCATGTAGAGGGACTTTCAAACAGTGAGATTGCAAACAGTTTTGCTCAATGATCCAACAAAACTCAGTAATATGGTTATCTATCTTGTACACTTAAATATATATGCAGTTATACCTTTTAGAGAACTTGCTTTTCCTTTCTTTTGTACAATGACAATTACACATTTTGGGTTTTATTACTCCCACAGTTCGAAGGATTCATTCTTGAGAGATGGAAGAAGGATGAGAATTGAAGACTTAGTAGAGGTTGCGAGTTATGAAATGGATTTTGAAGGATGAGTAAGAGTTTAGTAGATACAGATGATGGAAAGAACATTCTAGGTAGTGAGACAACTTTTTTAAAAATCACGGAATAAAGACTGGTATGAGAATACTAAATAGTTCAGTGTTGTTACAGCATAGAGTCCTTCAGGGGACAGGTTGGGAGCGGGAGAGGCAGGTGGGGGCTAGAATTCAGAAGGCCTTGAACCCAGTCCAGAGTTGGATTTGTTCCTATTGGTCATACACCCTCAGAAGGCTTTCAGGTTAACGCTTTGGCCATCAGTTTGGACACGCATTATCCCTTGGCCCTCTTCTATCTTTAGAATAGACACTCTGCTCTTCTGCTAGGTCTGCTGTTTTTTCCTTGGTCCTCTCATCCTCTTACCTCTACACAGATCCAGAGATCTGCCTCAAGCTCTGACAACTTAGGATTTAGAGGCAATGGCTCTGGCACCACACACAAGCAAATGGTGCACACATTTTGCTCTGAGTCAGTTGAACATATACATTCTCTCAAGGGTTAGGACAAGCAGTATTCTGAGTTCCATGTACTGCTTCAGTATTTGCAATGACTGCTGAATAAGTGGCAGAGCTGGTTACTGATCATCCCGTTCAACCAGAAGTCTCCTAATTAGAGAAAGAGAGCTGAAACCCAAACTCAGGTCTCCACACTCCCAAACCAGTGCTCTTTGGGTGGCTCTAGCTGGCTTTGCCTAGCTAGTTACACAACGGAATACTCGGCTGATTCAAACCCACAGGGTCTCTACTGAGAGCTGGGGGTTGTGTTCCCAGCATAGAATTAAGTTAAGCCCCTAGCCAGACAGCATAATTTTATGGCAGTGGTACCTCTCTTCTTCTGTAAAATAGGAGCAGCACTTACTTAATCCTTTAAGATCAGCCACTGGGGTTGGAGGGGTTCGAGTTGTTATGCTGCAGCCGTTGGTGATGATTGAGGGGTGCTGGGGCCTCGTGGAAGCTGTGGAATCCTCGAGTCTGTGTTGAAATCAGTCTTGAGGACGATGGGTGGCAGCTTCTGAGGTCAGCTCAGCCCAGACACCCCAGAGCAACAAGGACTGAGTTTCCTCTTAGCAACGAGCCTTCCGTTTCGAAACAGTTCAAACGCAGCTGTTCATGCAAAGAGGCTTCTGCTCAAAAGGGGCTTTCGACAGGGGACGGGGGACAGACCTGAGACTTCGTGGCTTTGGGCTCGGTGCAAACGCCATCACCAGCCAGCTGAGGGTGCACTGCACTGAGCGACTGCACGTGGAGGATCTCCAGCGAGGCGGGCGCCACGGATCGCCACTTAGTGACAGCAGTCGCCTCCACTGCTTACCCAGTAAACGCTGAGTACTTCACATATGGAACTATCTTGGTGAAACAAACCTAGTAATTGTGAAGTAAATCCAGAATTGCGGGAGGTACGCTGGACACGATCTCTGCTTCAGTGAAGCGCAGAGACTTAAAGTGTCTACGTCTCCAGGGACCAAGCCTTGATCAACAGAGGCTTACCAGAGTGCACAAGTATATTTCAGTGTCTCCTTCGCTTCAGCTGCCGCTTCTAACGCGCAGGATAAAAGAAAACCGCCGCTCCTGAGCTCGGCTCGCCGCCTCCAGCGCTTCCTGGGCGGGCAGAGGGCGGGCCTTCCTCCAGGGGCGGGGCCTCCGTGTGGGCGGGCCCTCGATGGGCGGGGCGGTGGCCGCCGCCGGCCGGAAGTGCCCCCGGGGGCAGGCGACCTGGGTTTCAGGTCCCGGGTGCCCGCTCGCGGTGCTGCGGCTGGCAGCTCTGCTCGATCGCGGAACTTCCTCGCCCGCCGCCGCGCTCTCCCGCCGCCGCCGCCGCCGCCAGGACGATGGTGCCCCGCCTGCTGCTGCGCGCCCTGTCCCGGGCCCCTGCCTTGGGCCCGGGAGCGCCCTCTCGACCCCTTAGCGCCGGCCCCGGGCCCGGCCAGTTCCTGCAGCACAGCATCGTGCCCACCATGCACTACCAGGATAGCCTGCCCAGGTGAGCCCGGCCTCCCTGCCCCGCCGCCTGCCCTGGATCGGCCTGCGCCTAAGTCTACTCAGGCAGGACCGGCTCGCAGCTGTCTACCCTGCAGGCAACCCCAGAACACAGTCTGGAAGTCCTGGGACTTCCAGAATCTTCAACCTAGGGACTCCAGCACCCCGAGTTCTCTTCTGGAACCCCCCCCCCCCCCCCCGCTGTTGAGATTCCTGTGTTTTGAGCCCTTCTTAAACTCCCTGCTCAGATTCTCTGTTTAACTTATCTTCCGGCTATGTATCCTAATCTCATCTTTCATTCTCCCTGAAAAGCATCCTTTCTGCCTAACTCCAACACTTCCCTAACCCCACAACTAGGGCAGCCCCCCCCCCCCCGTACTTTAATGACCGCGCTGATGTAGGTGTCCAATTTCTGACACATAGCACAGAAGTTACTCTCCCTCAACCCCCAGTACTTCATCTTGTTCACCGATTACTCGTAACCCTCAGCCTTCACCTCATTCCTCCTGCTCTTAGTAACTTGTCAGTCCCCTTAAGTCCCCTTAGTAACCTGTCAGTCCCCTCAAGTCCCCTTAGTAACCTGTCAGTCCCCTCAAGTCCCCTTAGTAACCTGTCAGTCCCCTCCAGTTCACCCTCACCCTGCTTACTCCCTGCCCCCCATTTCCACTGTAACTTCTAACTGCAATCTTCCTTCTGGTTTCACCCATCTCTGGTCCCCTAGCCTCTGATTTACCAAGTCTCATCTTTTAATACTAGAAATTTCCTTTACTGTCTAAAATTAAACCTGAACTGTCTTCTCCATTCATTCACCTTTTAGTTTCTGAGGCCAAACTCCAAATTTGTCTCATAAAGCCTTCTCACGTTTAATTAGCAAATTTCTGTCAGGATACCTCTGTCCAGAGGCTGGAGGCCTGTGCTTCCTCCCCAGAAAAAAAACATTGTTTCCCAGGCATTGCCTCAATGGTTGGGTTGTGGTTTTTCTCTGTATCCCGGAGTTGTTTAAGCCTGCACTGTCATTGCTCACTGTGCTCTCAGTGCCAGCATCCTGTGAAATTACACTTCAGACTCTTAAGACAAGCTAAATAATGCAGTAATCTGAGTTTGGAAGGGGCAGAGGGAAAGAAGGTAGGTCTCTGTGACTGCATGATTAGCCTGGGACCCACCTCCTCCTGACAGCCAGTGTGTCTGAGTTGCATCACTATGTAGGGGAAAGGTGACTGTGGACTGGCAGAGCCTGTCTTCACTAGCCAAGCCAAGAGTCATGGTCATTGACTTTGTAGCAGGCCAGCCCAGGCCCCACCTAGATTTAAGATCAGAGGATGTTCAGGATTTGAGAATTGGAACGCTGGAAAGAATATTCAAGATTGTTTAGACCGAGCCCATCTGTAGCACAAAAATCTGTAGGAATCTGAAAGTACAGACAATACCACTCATCACCCTTTAAGCAACCATTAACTCATCAGTAAAGCAGGAGTTAGATGAGAGGTGAAATTTCTTCTCTCTGAGATTCTGGGCTAGGAAAAGATACTATCTTTGACATTTCATGTTGATGTCAAATTTGCTGAAAAGCCTCTGAGTTTGAAAATTCTAGTTTCAGATTCTATATCTGCAAATCTTTGGCTATAATTTTGGGCAGTTTAGCTAACTTCTTGGAGCCACAATCACCTGTCATGTCAGAAAGGCAGCACACTGAAATAAAATGCCTGAGATAAATACCCTTGTAATTAGTCAAGCACCAGGGAACCTTGGACTCTTTGCACTAGGGAACCTTGCACTGTCACTTATTTCATCTTTTTTTTACATGTGTGTTTTTTCCTTCTCTCTTTGGTGAGTGTGGTAAAATATATTTAACAAAATTGACCATTTAACCATTTTTGGCTATATGCTTTAGCTACATGCCATTTTTCGTTTTATATCAAGAATTGAAATCAGGACCTTGCGCTTGCCAGGCAGGTACTGTGCCACTAAGCTGTATCCCTTACTCACATTACTAATTTGATCAGCACATATTGATCATGGTTAAAGCACTTAAGATTACAATGTAGGAGGGCCTTGGGATTTAGCTCAGTGGCTCAAGTACTTACCCGGTAAGCTCAAGGTCCTGAATTCAGTCCCCAGTACCAAAAAAACCCCCCAAAACAAAACAAAACAAAAAACACCCAGAGTACACTGGAGGAGAATAGGCAGAGTTGTAATTGGATAACTGAGAAGCATCATCTTATAATTCTTAAGATCATGAGGCTTGAGTGTTTATGTATGTTGCTGGGAAGTGAATCTCAGACCTGACTTTTATTTCTACTTCTTCCTTGAAGCATGGCCATGAAGAAGTCATCTTTCCTAAGAAAAGAAATGATAATATTAACTTCCTTTCTGAGTAGTAAGAATTAAAAACCCTAATATAAAGCATAAAGTGCTGAGTCTGCACGTAGTACTTAGTGGACATTCATGGTACTGTAGCGGCTGTAGGCCGGTGTCCATTGTGTGTCTGAATGTGTCATAAGAGAGCCACTGCTGTGTGAGTAGAGAAGGGGACCTGTGTAAGAGAAATGAGAGAGGGACGGAAACGCACCTGCGAAGAACAGGCACCTAAAATACGAGATAGGATCAGAAATTTTGAGGTTTATGTTATACATAGCCCAGAGACTCACCATTTAGTCCTTACATTATTAAAATTGACCTGGGTTGGAGGTAGTGGGGGGAGAAAGGCATTATGTTAGGTCTATATTTGGTAAAATAAAAAAGTCATTTATCTGTCTTTTAATCCCTACTACTTTAGGTGATAACTGGGGTTCCAAACATAATGGGCAGGTTTTCTAAAGTATGAAGCCAGAGAGGACATGGAGGATAATATAGACACAAAATATTTTAGGCCTCAAAGACATCTTTTAGAATGATCATCCTGACTTCTAGAATAATTTTATTCCCCAGTAATGCTGTACAGTGCTTGTAAGTCAGTAACTATGAATATTTACAACTCAGTCTTGCAAACATGGAAAAGGCTTTTTAGCTGTGTTCTTGCAGGAAGAACACCGAGGTGCCTACTGCTCAGGCAGACTGCTTTGATAGCAGGTGACTAAGAGGAGCTCACACAGGAGATGGATCCGCCCGGCGCGTACTTGTCTTCCAGCTGTATTATGACAGAAAACTTTTCCATAAGGGTGGGGGTGGGGAACTGCTGTGAAAATCTCTCACAATTCTGTGCCTGGCACTGAGCAGAGAAGCTGAGTTAGTTTCCCAGGAAAGTGAACAGGCCAAATTTGGCTCCACAGGACTTGAGAACGAGTTTACTATGTGCCAGGCACTGCCCTGAGACAGTCATCTGTGCAGACTTTCAGAGGTGCACATGCATGTTACTCTCATAGTATCGGCCAGGCAGCCAAAGTGCAGGGTGGGTACGAACCCGCAACCACACTCTGTGAGTGATGAGGCTGGAGTCTGCTCTCTGACCCACTGGGCAGTGCTGTTAGCAGCGATGAAAAATGACTTATTTAAAAAAATTGTAACAGCTTCATTGAGATATAATTCACATGCCATAAGACCCACTTTTTAATAAGAGTATCTGCAGGGTTGTGTAATTATCACCACTAATTCATTTACCCCTCCCCTCAAAACCATGCTTTCTCTCCTAGTCCCACCCCCACCCCTTCACCCTTTGTAAGTGTTAATCTACCTTCTAGAAATGTTTGAACTCAGGTTTGTCTGATTTAAGCTTATCCCTTGCCCGAGCATTCCACGCTCTCCCTAAACAAAGCATAGACCTGCGGTTGGCAGGATTCTGCTTCTTCAGTTGTCACGTCACTGCCTGTTGGAGGAGCCTGCCACAGTTGAGGAGCGGCAGTTAGAGGAGGCAGGTAACAACAGAACATGCAGTCAGAAGAGGGCAGAGGACCTGTCTGGAGAAAACATGTGTTTAGGGGAAGAAAACAACCAGGGAAGAGACAGAGAAGACGACATCAAATCCAAAAGGCGGGTGGAGGGCGTTGCTCTCTATATCTTCTACATGATTTCAGTTTCAGGCATCTCTTTAGAATCTCCCAGTCCAGTGAGTAGAGAGAAAGCAAATCCACTAAACATGACAGAGGTTCTGAGCTTGGCTGGGGCTGCTGTGGTTTGAACGTGTGCCCCAAAGTCTGTATGTGGGAACCCTCATCCTCAGTGCAGCATCAAGAGATGGGATCTTAGGAAGTGACCAGGTCATGAGGGCCCTGCCCGTGGTGCCAGGCTGTGGTGCAGCAGGAAACCCTTGCAAATGCTAGCACCTTGATCTTGGACTTCCAGCCCCCAGAACGTGAGGATTCAAATTCTTTTCTTTATAGATTACTAAGTCTCTGGTATTCTGTTACAGCATCATGAAATGGATGAAGACAGGATTAAAGAATGAGTAGTAGCTGGGCATGGTGGTATACCCTTGAAATTCCAGCACTCTGGGAGGCTGAGATAGAAGGATCACCAGTTCAAGCTCAACCTGTGCCATGCTGCCACTTAGTGAGATATTGCTCTCAAGCACACATACACACACAAGGTGCTGGGAATATAACTCAGTGCAAAGGCCCTGGGTTCAGTGTTCAGTGCCAAGAAAGAAAGAAAGAAAAAGAAAGGAGAAACCAATGAATTTGTTGAATATACATGTATTAAATGCTTTCTCTGTGGCTAATGGAGGTCAGAGAGGGATATCAGAGAAAGAATATTGCGGCGAGGGCCCCTGTATGCATAACCTTAACGGTGAGAACCAATCCTGTACTCTTCTTTCCCGCTCCTTATTCAGTGACATCATTTGGACAGCTGTGGAAACTGACCATGGTGGAAGTATCTTATCCACCACAGAAATTAGTAAATGCTACAATTCAGGGATGTACTGTACAGCGAGCTAGTTTACAGCTCACCTCTCTTTGGAGCTGGATAGAGATGAAGGCTGGGAGGAGGTTGTACGATTGGCTTTGAGAGGAAAGAGACTTGTTAAACCATGATGGCAGCTCAGGTGAGGAGAGAGCTGGTCCTGTCTAGAAGGTTGAGAGTGGCTCTTTTAGGGATAAATCCAAGGCAGGTGGTATTTCACAATAGTGAGTTTTAGAAAGAAGAGCAGGACACCTATTAGAGAAGACGTTACAGAGTAGAGGTAGGTTTTTTAGATGGAATGGGTGTGCCAAAAGGTGTAGTGGAAGGGGCTGAAGCATAGTCAGAGGTCCATGAGGCCATACTAGATGTTGCCAAGCGGACAGAAGGAAATAGAAGGGGACCAAGTTAGTGCCTAATGAAGCAGGAAACTAACAAGGAAATGGGAAGGCTTAGCGTGTCTGTCCTATCTGTGTGTACTTGTAGACATCTGGATAGCTACAACTTTAGTGTATCTGTATTTCAAAGTTTATTATATAGGTACCTTGATGAGTTCTCATATATTTTATTTCATTTAATCAGAAGCCTAATGAGCTGTCATTTAACAAATATAGAAGGGTTAGAGAGATAAAAAATTTACCCAAGATCACATGGATAGTAAGTCCAGGATCCAAGACTCAATCTGTGTGATTCTAAAAGCAGTGATATTCATCTCTCTAATATCCTGGACATGTCAGTGATAGACATGGGCTGGGTGAGCTTGGAACTGGACAAGTAAATTTCAGATCTACGAGGCAGTTTTCTCTACCACGTAGTCCAGAAGTGGATCTTTGAAGCATCAGCAGTGTGCCACCTAGATCCATGTTACCAGAGAAAACCAGCAGAACTGAGGTCCCAGTTGTGAGTTTAAACCTCATTCTGTTTCTCCTATGTCAGTCAAGATTTCACAGATCAATACAATTTCAGGGGAAAAAACACTGAACTGTCAGGATTTTCATAAAGGGATGACTTTTAATGGTACCTATCAAAATACTGAGAAGATTGTTCAATGGAGCAAATTCAGCTTTGGGAACAAGGATCACACTGTCCGTATTTTTCATTCACAGTGAACCAGTAACTGTCACTGTGGCTATTGTCTGACCAGTAGCAGGTAATCCAGGGATGAGATCTGCATTGCTAGATGGCATCTACGTTGAGGGTACTTTATGTAAGGCAAAAATGCAGACCTGGGAAGGCTGACAGTAAGCTGTTCGTAGGAAACAGGTGATTTTTGTATCCGCAGTAGTAATTTTTGTGTGTAAAGTATGCTGCTTCAATTTCAATTCCATTTGGAAAGTTTAGTCTATTATATTTATAAAAATGTTTTCCTGAGACTTGCTTTACCCCATTAAAGGAAGGGCAGACTAGAATTAATGACAAGTTTTTTAATACAAACTTTTATCAAATTGCCTATTATCTGTAATTTAGAATTTTCTTTTAAAAAGATAAAACTTTGTTAATATTCTGGCTGTTAAAGTCCTGAGAAACATAAGTAAGCAGCTTTGTAATTAGGAGGTAACTGTGGTAGTGTTTGTGAGTCAGTGAATGTAAGACTTGGGTAGAAAGAAACCTTGTGAAAATTATTTAGGATAAGTCCATAGTGGCTGTAAAGACTTTTTTGAGACATTGTCTTGCTGTGTAGTTCGAACTGGCCTTGAACTCTCTGTGTGACCCAGGTCGCCTCAAACTTGGTGTGCTCCTCTTGCCTCAGGGCTTGGATCCCAGGCATGCGCCACCATGCCCAGTTTACAGCTACAGATCATTTGGATTTATTTTTATTGTCATGTTTTAGATAAATATGCACTGGAAAATAAGCAGAACCACTGTATGTCACGAACTGAATTTTTAAACTATGCTTGTGCATGATGTTTCAGTGTTCCTCAACGACAAATGCATTTAGGTTTTATATGTAAGTATCAGTGTCGATTTTGAGTCACCAGACTCCTGCTGGTTTAACACTGGGATATACCTGTCACTGAAACCACTGAAATGAAAGAGAGAGTACACCTTGCACACGTCCGTGCTTTCATTTCACTGTGGACCAGTCACTTCCCCCTGACAGCCATCCTTGGAGCCCACTGCTGGAGGCCGAGGAGTCGGCAGGCACCCTGCCATCCTGAGTTTTAAGCTCATGGAAATACCTAGTGTTTCCTAGTAGGACTTCCGGTGACTAGGCATGGCTTCATGATCAGTTTTTTGCCTTAGCAAATGTAGCCCACATATTGGGCTGGCTTTAGGACAGGTCTTACATGATTCTCTGTGGTGAAATGTCTAAGAAATAGTCCTAAGCATACTGGCACGCAGTACTCCCAGCTACTTGGGAGGCTGAGGCAGGAGGATCTAAAGTTCAAGGTAGGCCCAGGCAACTTAGTGAGACCCCATTTCAAAAAAATAACAACAAAATAGCAATTAAAAAAAAAATCAAAGATTGCACAACCCCCCAAACATGCAGATGCACAAACTACACACACACACACACACACACACACATACACGAAAATTAAAAAATGAATCTTTTTCTTTTTATCCTGAGAGAGGAAAACACAGTTGTTCAAGGGTAGAATTCAGTCAGTATCAGCACAATGTTAGCACAAGGATTATTTTTGTGGCCAGGAAACAGGAATATTAAGGACAAATTCTGCTTTCTCATTTAGAATCTATTATTATTAAAAAGAATTATGTTTTAATTTTACTTAAAAATAGAGTTACCATTGATACATTAGTAAATCATCAGTTCTGGGAGGGGTGTGTGTGTGTGCATGTGTGTGCAGCTGTGCATACGTCTGCATGTGCATGTGTGGTGCTGGGGGTCAAACCCAGGCCCTCATTCATACTCAGCAAGTGCTCCACTGCCGAGCTGCACCCCTCTCCCACCCATCCATTCTGATTGGTGAACAAGTCGCTCTGTTGTTTTATAAGTAGGGAAATGAATTATCCTGTAATCGGTTTACTCCCTTGGCTTATGAAACTAATCACCCGCTCACATCTACCGTCACCCCAACACTGACTTTGCTGTCTCCTCAGGCTGCCTATTCCCAAACTTGAGGACACTATTCGGAGGTATCTCAGTGCGCAGAAGCCTCTCCTGAGTGACGACCAGTTCAGGTAAACGCTGAGACCTCCATAGGCCATGATCATGGTGGTTCAAGAGGCTGGAAAGTAGTGGTGGGCTTCAAACAATGTCTGCAACTTAACTGGTCTCCAGAACCCAGAGCCCAGTCTGCAAGTTCAAGTTTAGGAAATAAGTTTTCATTCTTGAAGCTGTGACCAAGCCCTGAGGTGAGAGTCCCTAACCTGACCCAACCAGAGCTGGTGTAGAAGCCACAATGCCAGGTTTGTACTTGGTACTGGCAAGTGCAGCTGGACTGACAGCTGGTACTGGTCATCAGCAAGAGGCCAAGTGTTCTTGGTAGAGAGAGCCACAGAGGGCCACGTGGGAGACCCGAAGTTCGCTTGCTGAGTGAGTGTCCTGAGTTGGATAGTGGCCTCCCACATCCCTGCCCTTTCAGAAGCTCTGAATGTGACCTCTTTCGGAAACAGGATTACTGCAGTACAGTGAGGTAGGGTCAGGGCCTCCTGGAGCAGAGTAAGTCCTTCATCCAGTATGACTGGTTGTCGGGAACCACCAGAGGACTCACTCTCCTTGAAAGAAGAGCAGTTATCTCCAGTTTGCATGAACTTGGCCCTGTCTCTGCATATTGACGTGTACAGAGCTGGCTAGGCTGTTTCTCTATTCCTTCAATTCGCTTTAAGCACTGTAAATTCGGCTAGCTGAGGAACTGATATGTAATCTTGAAGCAAGGCACAGCCACTGTTTCCCCACCTAGGGACTCTCAGAAAAACATGGTTGCGCCAGGTGGGATAGAGAGCCGTGCACCATGCTGTGGGCTGGGACCAAGCCTTGAGAAAGAAGCTAGGACTCCCCAGGGCAAAAAGAAGATTGTACATCAGAGCTGAAGCACCAACCCCAAGTTATAGATACTGCTTCAGCTGTGTTAAGCAGATTACTCTCTCTGTATTTCTTGCCCTCTGCATCTTGCAGAGATGATCTATCTAGCCCGGCTCAGGCAGTCATATATTCCCCACCACTCTCACTGTCACTCATTCCTGAGCCACTCCCCTCATGGAGAATTAATAAAACGTGGATTGGGCCCTGGGTTGTGGCCTTTGTTCTGGTGAACCACCATCTTGGCTGGACTTAGGACCCACTTGGCTCCCCACATGTCTTAGTGACTTTATTCTCATCTTGGGTTGCACTGGAAGAGCAGATTGGAATTAACTCACTAGAATTCCAGTAACTTCTCCATGGGATTCCAAATATTAACTTCCTGGATCATGACGAGGACAGGAAAGAGATCTCTATAACTGGAGTCCTCAGAAGACAGAAGCGACACAGAGACAGCATGTGAAGACAGAGGCAGGACTAGAGTGTCACATCCATAAGCTGAGGACAGTGAAGACTGTTGGCAACATCAGATGCAAGAAAGATGATGGCACAGGTTTTTCCCTAGTGTCTTCAGAGAGAATATGGTCTTGGTTTTGTATTTCCAGCCTTGAGAGCTGAGAGAGAATAAATATCCTTGTTTTAAGTACCTCTCAGGATGTGATACTTTGTTATTGCAGCTCTAGGAAACTAATACATAGTGGAATCTAATAATATTGGATATAAAAGAAAAAAGAATACCTCTTTCATGCCGGATGATAATATCGGTCATGGTCAAAAAGTGGATTGCATTAAACTCCCAGAGTCCAGTGTGGTTCCATAGTCTTCTTCCATAACGGGTTTTTTTGGGGCACAGATAACTGGCATTGTATTCAAATCATGAAGTTCTTTATTGGACAGTGACAGAGAAACAGATGAACTGTTCATATCTAGGCTTGTGCTTTTAAATATTCCCTGTTAGTCACTTAGGAACTGCAGTTTCTCCTAATATGGCAGCAAATTAACAGCTACCAGTTACAAAGTATTAAGTTTTAGACAGCCATATATCCTCAGGTTTACAAGTATTTTTTAATCTTGTAAGGTGGTATTATCTCAGAGAAACTGAATAACTTGTCCAGTGTCACATAATTTGAAAGTGACACTTTTTATTCCAGACCATGTATCCTTTTCTCAATGCCAAACTAGGGTACATACTCCTCTGTGAGGTATTTACTGACCATCTTCATGTCCTAGATTTATCAGTGGTAGGTTGACTCCTGTTCTTCTATTCAGAGCTACTTTCTCGCTTCATTCCTAGCTTCCAGGATATGCTGATGGGAACCCAAGGCTCTGTGTATGAGCTCTTAGCCATGAACCTAAAAATCATGTATTTCCTACCATTGATTCTGTCTGTTCTTGGACATTTCAGGAAAACAGAACAATTTTGTAAGAGTTTTGAAAATGGCACTGGAAAGGAACTGCACAAGCAGCTGGTTGCTCACGACAAGCAGAATAAACATACAAGCTACATTTCCGGTAGGTTTGCTGAGCTGTGGCCATGATTTCTTCCTAGAACCTTCCGCAATAAAAAATAAGGTATCTTCTCTCCTGTTTTAGTCTCAGTAACATTTTTAGCAGACCAGCATTGAAGGAATGGCTCACCACCTGTGGCTGGAGCACAGTTACGGCTGTGTGAGTTCCTCACTTAACTGAGGTGTGACTTGTGTCCAGGGGAGTGGATCAAGGCCGAGCCTACTTGATGGCTGTGTCTGAAAAGGACGCAGAGTCGAGTGCCGTGCCTCAGCGTGCCATTCCAGACCCTCCCGCTCAGGCCTCGTCTCTCATGACTTCCCTGACACTCCTCATGCCTCAGCAAGTCTGAACCCCACAGTGTCCTCCATCCTTCTGTGCCTTTATCCATCTCGTCCCCACTTCCGTTCTTGACCTGGAAAATTCTTCCTCGGGATCCAGGCAACCTCAGTCCTTTTACCTCTCCATTCAGAATCGGTTATCTCCACCCTTTTTCCTTTGGTACTTTTAATTTATTCTCTTTTTTATTAGTACATGTCAGCAGTACGTTCAGTTTATAATCATCTGAGGGAGGAGGTACACAAATGCAACACAGTTCTTTTTTTAAAATCCCTTTCCTTTGCCTCCCTCCTTCCCTCCTCTAAATCTCCTTTCTCCATGTTTGTTTTGTTCATATTATTAATCTTATCTCAGGTTTATAACATACAATATTTGCATTCAGTGAGGTTATTAGCCTCCTGTAGGCGCCGTGTCTTTATTCACTTACTTCCCCTGCCCTCCTTCTCTCCTCTCGCTCACCTTCTCTGGGACATCCTCCCATTTGCAAAAGATCTGTTCCCCTCGTTTCCTTCTACCTTTATTGTGCTTTTTGTTTGTACTTTGCCTCACTCAAATGAGAGACACTATGTGATGTGTAAGCTGCTGTGTCTGATTTATTTCACTTAACATTATATTTTCCAGGAGCATCTGTTTTCCTACAAATGTCTCAAATCTGCCTTTTTTAGACATGAGTAGTATTCCATTACACATAGATACCACATTTTCTCTATCATCTGTTGATGGGAATGCAGGCTTTAGCTATTATGATTGTGCCGCTATAAACACTGTTACATATGTGTCATACGTATTGTATGATGTCTTTAGCTCTTTGCCTAGAAGAGGGATAGCTGTTTATATAGAATTTCTAATTTCAATCTTTGAGAAATTTCCATAGCGGTTGTCGAGTACTAGTTTTCATTCCCACCAACAACGTAGGAGGGTTTGTTTTTCACTGCAGTGACAGCATCGTTTGTTACTTTTTGATTTCTTGATGACTGCCATGCTTTATGGTGTAGTTTATATTTTCATCAAGGTTATACATGCACATCACTTAAAAAATTAAGTGGTTCTATAACTTATTAGGGGAAAATTTTTTTTGCCACTCCCCTAATTTCAAAATTCTTACCTTCTTTCAGCTCCTCTTTTGAAATACTTCCATACATCTAAATTATATGCTTATATTACTGTATCTGATCTTTTTAGTTTTAGGCATTATCTATTAGTTTTAGGCACTATTTTCATGGTTAATCTTGTTTGCAAGCTTAATTGGATTGAGAGCTGCCAAGAGATTAGTAAACCACACTTTGTAGGTGTGTTGGGGTGGGTGGGGGGCTGGAGGGTGTGACCTTGGGGACTCCAGTTCAAGAACCAGGAAAGGAACTAGAATGGGAAGAATGAGCAGCTGACAGACATTAGGGAACTGCAGATCACACACAGTGCTACACTGCTTCACACCTACCAGAATGGCTTCAGTCAAAGACATACAGGCGCGGGTGGCGTGCACCTGGATTCCCAGCTTCTAGGGAGGCTGAGGCAGCAGACAGGGAGTTGGCAGTCGGCTTGGGCAACACAGTGACGTCTCATGGGGAAAAAAATACAGGTATGGGTGAGGATGGGAAATTGTAACCCTTATATACAGCCACTTTGGAAAATGACCTGAAAGTTCTCAAAAAGGTTTAACAGAGCCAAGTGTGAGGGGGCACTTGCTTGTAATCTCAGAACAATGGGAGGCTGAGGCAGGAGATTGTGAATTCAAGCCCAGTCTGGGTACCTTAGCAACTTTGTGAAAACCTGTCTCAAAATTTTAAAAGGCTGGGAATATGGCTCAGTATGAAGGTCCGAGTTCAGTACTGAGTTCTGTCCTCAGTACTGAAAAAAGAAAAGCTTAACAGATATGTACCTCATAACCTAGCAATTCCACTCATGTATGTAGATACATACAGATACATATTCAATATCTATCTACTGTACTACCATCTAAACATTACTGTCTACTATCTATAGATATTTTTATCTACTATATATATATTTGTATCTATCTGTATATATATGTTCATATGAGAGCATATGTCCACACAAAAACTTACATATGAAGGCTCACAGCAATATAATTCATAATAGCTAAGAAGTAGAAACTACCCAGATGTCTATCAGCTGATGAGTGGATAAACAAAATGTAGTATATTTATACAGTGGAACATTATTTGACAATAAAAAGAAATGCATGCTACATCATGGATGAACCTCAAAAACACTGAAAGTGACAGAATCCAGATGCAAAAGACCATCACATATTGGGTGATCCCATGTATCTGTCAGAAATTATTGCACAGTCAAAAAATAATCATGGAATCCCACCCTGTGGAAGTGGAAGTCATTTTTACTGCCTATGCCAGACTTTTATTTTTATTTTTAGGGGCTGTACTGACTCTTTATGTTGGCTTTTCTCTTTTTTTCCCTAGGGCCTTGGTTTGATATGTATTTAACTGCTCGGGACTCCATTGTCCTGAACTTTAATCCATTTATGGCATTCAATCCTGACCCTAAATCTGGATACAATGACCAGCTTACCCGGGCAACCAACCTGGTTGTTTCTGCCCTCCGGTTTCTGAAGACGCTGCGGGCTGGCCTTCTGGAACCAGAGGTGTTTCACTTGAACCCTGCCAAAAGTGATACCAACACCTTTAAGAGACTCATCCGCTTTGTGCCTTCCTCTCTGTCCTGGTATGGGGCGTACTTGGTCAATGCATATCCCCTAGACATGTCCCAGTATTTTCGGCTTTTCAATTCAACTCGTCTACCCAAACCCAGTCGGGATGAACTGTTTACTGACGACAAGGCCAGACACCTCCTGGTCCTAAGAAAAGGACATTTCTATGTCTTTGACGTCCTGGATCGAGACGGGAACATCGTGAGCCCCTCAGAGATCCAGGCTCACCTGAAGTACATTCTCGAGGACAGCAGTCCTGCGCCCGAGCTTCCTCTGACCTTCCTTACTAGTGAGAACCGTGATGTGTGGGCAGAGCTCAGGCAGAAGCTGGTGCACGGTGGCAATGAGGAGGCGCTGTGGAAAGTAGACTCTGCCGTGTTCTGCCTCTGCCTCGATGACTTCCCCATCAAGGACCTTGTCCACTTGTCTCACACCATGCTGCACGGAGATGGCACAAACCGATGGTTTGACAAGTCCTTTAACCTCATTGTAGCCCAGGATGGCTGTGCTGCTGTCCACTTCGAGCATGCGTGGGGTGATGGTGTGGCAGTGCTCAGGTTTTTCAATGAAGTATTTAAAGATAGCACCCAGACCCCTGCCATAACTCCCCAGAACCAGCCAGCTACCACCAACTCTTCTGCATGTGTGCAGAGACTCAGCTTCAAGCTGAATGATGCCTTAAAGGCAGGCATCATGGCTGCTAAGGAAAAGTTTGATGCCACCATGAAAACCCTAACCATTGACTGTATACAGTTTCAGAGAGCAGGCAAAGAATTCTTGAAGAAGCAGAAGCTGAGCCCTGATGCAGTGGCCCAGCTGGCCTTCCAGATGGCTTTCCTGCGGCAGTACGGGCAAACAGTGGCCACCTACGAGTCCTGCAGCACTGCAGCCTTCAAGCATGGTCGCACCGAGACCATCCGGCCAGCCTCCATCTTCACAAAGAGGTGCTCCAAGGCCTTTGTCAGGGAGCCCTCCAAGCACAGCACTAGCGAGCTCCGCCAGATGGTGGCTGAGTGCTCCAAGTATCATGGGCAGCTGACCAAAGAGGCAGCAATGGGTGAGGCGGGGTGAGGAGCCCCTGTGTTCTGTGACCTTTGGTGCATGGTCAGTTTCTAGAATATTCCATCCTACACTTGATTTCTGGGCTGTCACGGGGCTTATTCTACCCAACACCTCCCAGAGTGATTGCTTTCCACACTAGCAGTCTGAAGAGCTAGACTGGCCACTAGGGATCAGAATGACCTCATGTCCTCCACAGAAATGGGGAAATGGACCTAACTTTCCCCTCATTTAAGGTCACTTTCAGCTGTAACACGATTCATTCTCTCTCTCTCCCTCTCTCTCTCTTTCTCCTCTCTCTCTGTTGCCAGTCATTTCTGACAGTTGAAGATTTCTAAGCTCCAGCCTTTCCTCATTCTCACATGTAGTGTGCTGGCTCCCTATAAATACAGTACCTCAGAAGCTCTTCCCAATTTCAAATGTCATCCTTCTTCACCTCTTGGTGATAAAATTTAAGACCTGGAAAGGATGTGATGAATTCCTTAGTCCAGTCCTTCTGTGCAGCTATAAAGTCTTGAAACAGAAAGGGACCTTGGGGACCTTTTCCATTTGTAGGTAGGAAAGTGGGACTGCTGGCCTGGTGTTACACAGCAAGTAGAAGGCCAGCTCAATCTGGCTTTTCACATGTGGACTGGACTTTGAGTTTTGTCTTAGTTTTGTGTGTGTGTGCATGTGTGCTGGGGACTGAATCAGCCTCACGCGTGCTCAGCACATGCTGTATCACAGAGCTACACATCTAGCCCCATATCTTAGTTTTTGAGTCTAGCTTTCTTGTATGATCTTGACAGTTTGACTGTGACTCAGTTTTTATCTTATTTTTTAAATTTTTTCTTTTTCTTAGATAGGGGAGTCATCATGGCTGATGACTGATATATATTTTGTAGGACAGTAATGTTTGAGATCTGTTGGGATTTGGTCACTTGTTTTATTTTTTAAAAACAACATAAAGCCGGGCGTGGTGGCTCACACCTGTAATCCCAGCACTCCGGAGGCTGAGGTAGGAGGATCGTTGCGAGTTCGAGACCAGCCTGGGCTATAAAGTGAGCTCAAGGCCAGCCTAAACTGCATAGTGAGACCCCATCTCAAAAAAAAAAAAAAAAAAAAAAAAAAAAAACCAAAAAAAAGCAACATAAATTTATTACCTCTCAGTTTTGTAGGTCAGAAGTCTGACATAGGCCTTACCAGCAAAACGTGACTCAGTTTTTAATACCATGTTTCCATGTTATTCTCTGTTTTTAGTCCAGCAGTTGACAGCTAAAAATATGTTTTTAAAATAATGTAAACTATTCTGGAATGAGCTGCTCCAAAGGTAAGTGTGCAAGAGGTATGCATTCAGAGCTAGACAGACCCTTCTTCCTTTCTGCAGGGTTCTGGGAAGAGGATTCCTACCATGGCTGGAGGGTTTGTCTGTGGTCTTTTCAGTGCTGTGATTCTTTTTCCATTTTGTCTGTTGACAGGCCAGGGCTTTGACCGACACTTGTTTGCTCTGCGGTACCTGGCGACAGCCAAAGGGACTACCCTTCCTGAGCTCTACCTCGACCCTGCATATGGGCAGATAAACCACAACATCCTGTCCACCAGCACACTGAACAGCCCCGCAGTGAGCCTTGGCGGTTTTGCCCCCGTGGTCCCTGATGGCTTTGGTGTTGGCTATGCTGTTCATGACAATTGGATAGGCTGCAATATCTCTTCTTATCCGGGACGCAATGCCCGGGAGTTTCTACAGTGTGTTGAGAAGTCCTTAGAAGACATGTTTGATGTCTTTGAAGGCAAACCTATCAAAACTTAGCTTGCAGGTGGGTGAACAGCTTTTGTTGCTTCCTCTCGCAAAAACAGCGTTCCATGCAGCCAATAGGTGCTATTCTGTGCTTAAACTAATCATAGATGCTTAAGCAGCCAGTGCCTGAGCTGTAAGATCAGGGTTTTAAAACTAAACATGTTGGCTGGATGTGGTGGTGCACACCTGTAATCCCAACACTCAGGGGGCTAAGGCAGCAGGGTCACTTCAAGTTTGAAGCCAGCCAAGGCTACATAGTAAGTTCATGACCAGTCTGAACTACATAGTGAGACCCTGTCTCAAAAACAAAGATAAACATGTCACTTCTGAATAGAACGAAGTTACAACTAAAGATAATGAGAGACTTGTTTTAAGGCCTTTTGATCAAGAGATAGGGTGTGGAAAAATAACTCAGGGCTGTGTATTGTTTAAGCAGAAATAAAAGTGTTGTTTGGAAATGGTTCTTAAATTTCTTTTAAATCTAATTTCTCAATCCCCACGAAGAACTTTGCAGCTGTAAGTTCAGCTAGCAGCGAGTTCCTGCTGGGCTCCGGCTCTTCAGGTGGTACAAGAAACAGTTTTATCCTCTCTATAAACATCTCTCTCGCTCAGCATGGTCTTTGTTTTCCTGAGGAGAAAACTGCTCTGCAATAAAGTGTCTTCCCTGGACTGGAGACTGCTGTCTTACTCAACGCAGCCAACGCAGATTTAGAAAAGGCACATCTGAAACGTCTGGGCAGTCACTGGGTGAGCTTTTGCAGTGGAGAACCTCTCCACTGAGTGGAGCGAACCTACACTTTTCTCACCAGTTTATTGTTACAACACTGCAGTAACCTGGGAAGATGGGTATTTTTAACTTGAGTTTTGAAAAGGAAGGGGTTTTGTGTTTAATCCTACTGTATCAGTGGCTTCCTAGTGAGTCACTGCTATAGCTGGGTTTGAAATTTAGTAAATGTCAGTCCCAAGGCATGTTCAGTGTATTACTTCATTTAATTCTCTATAACTCCTACAGCGTTGCCAGGTGTGGTGGTGCACCCCTGTAACAGCAGCACTCAGGAGGCTGAGGAAGGATTGCTGAGTTTCAGGCCAGCCTACACTGCATGATGAGACAGTCTCAAAAAAAAAAAACCAAAACAAAATAGTAATTCTTATAGTGTGAGGTGTTACAAAACATTAACAACAGGTGAGGCACCGGGCACACAGCTGAAATTTAGTCGGTGTTCTGTTACTGCCCTGGGGATGCCTATTAACGTTCCCTGCCGTTCCTGAGCGAAGTGCTGAGCCTTGGACAAGAAGCTCTCCGCGGGGTGAATGTCCTGGACTGCACACTTCGGTGCATACTGGCCTGTCACAGGGCTCAGCATTATGACAAGCCCTACTCTTCTGCTGGTCTGGGAATCACATGATAAAGGGCTCTAGACGGTAGCTAGGATGGCAGAGACACTGTTAAGCCTCAGCCCAAGTAGGGCTCATACATAAGTCTTACACATATGTGCAGTATCTACCATCTATAAAGCTCTTCTTTAGGCACTGGCTGACCTCATCCTGTGAGCTCTGTGAGCTCTGTGAGCTCTGCATAGATTGCAGGGCTGAGGAGGTCACTGAAGTGGCAGACTGTCCAGTGCTCTGTGTCTCTGGTTATGCATACAGTAATGACATGTGGCACCAGCTGGCCTCCCAGCTCAGCACAGTGAACTTTGTCACTTAGTCTTTGCTGTTCCTTACCTTAGAGCATTTCCCCTGCTTGTGCAGGTGGCTGTGTACATGACCTCTGAGCAGGTGTGGCACATCTGCAGACAGCCACAAGGGCCTCTGGAGGTGTATCTGCTCCTTCTCAAAGTTCCTCCAAGACCCTCAGCCTAGGTTTGTGGCTGCCATGACGTGTTTTTTTTTTTAAACCTTTCTTTTCTTTTTGTTTCTCTCTTCATTGACTGAGTCAGGGTCTCACTATAGTGTCCGTTAGCCTTGAACTCACGGTGATCCTCCTGCCTCAGCCTCCCAAGTGCTGGGACTACAAGCATGCAAAACCATACCTAGCCCCTGGCTTTATTCACATACCAGTGAATAATTCAATTATTTCAGCATGTAGTTATTGCAACCATCACCACAATCAGAACATTTTCTGATTCCCTTCCCAGAAAGAAAACCCATACCTACGAGTAGTCCCTGTTCCTCCAGCCTTCTAACTTCCCCAAGCCCTAGATGATCACTAATTTTTCTGTGCAGATTTTCCTATTCTGAAATTTTCATATAAATAAAATCCTATGTGACCTTTTATAATTGGTTTCTTTTACTGTGTTTTCAGTATTCCCTCATGTTCTAGCTAGGTTGTTCACACTTTGAGGCCATTTGAATATTACTGCTGTGAATGTTTGTAAATTAGATTTGGGGGGATGGGGCACTTAGGATTAAGCCCCAAACCTGTACAGTGATCTACATCCCATTTTGTTGTTGTTGAGACAAGCTCTATGTAGTGCAGGCTGGACTTGAAATCACTGTGTAGCCCAGGCTCTTGAACCCACAGGGATCCTCCTGACTCAGCCTTCTAAGCCCCACCTCCCTTTAAGAAAGGGTTTCACTAAATTGCCCTGACTCCAACTGAGAATCTTACTTTCTCAGCCTCCTGGAGAGCTAGGACTACAGGTGTGTGCCATACATTTTATGTAGATGTTTACAGCCCTTTGGGTACATACCTAGGAGTGGAACTGCTGGGTCATGTAACTGCTTAGTTGCTTATGAGCAGTCAGACTTTCAGACCGTCATACATTCCCACCAGCAGGATGAAATTCAGTTCCTCCTTGTCCTCACCAATGTGTGTTAACTGTTGTTTTGATTGGAGCCTTTTTATTTTGATGGCTGTGAAGTTCACTGCTGTTTCCAGATTAAAGAGAGGTAAGCAGCAGCTGTTAGGCAGTTTTAAGTCTTTTCATTTGAAAAGACAGCCAGATTCCTCGGGCGTCTTCAGGGATCAGGCGGGCCAGGCACGAGTTAGCATTAGATGCCAAGGAGGCCCAGGCAGGCTATCCGCCTGGCCCCCTCTCCAGGGACAGACACGGGCCCTGGGCTGGCTCCCAGTTGTTCCTCAGCCACTAGAGAACAGTAGAGCCTGCATTTCTAATTAAATCCTAACTGCTCCCCCTTTGGCTCCTGCTTATGGAGCCCAACATTGCACTAAGCATGTGGCCTGTGTGAACTCATCTGATCCCTGCAGCAACTGACAACAAACCCTGCTGTGAAACCTAGCCAAGTGATCAGCTCTCCTCGGGAAAGCTCCTTGATGGAAAATCTCAGGCCTCAGCCTGAGAAAGGCTCAGTGGGTGGGAATGAAGTGGGGCCAGGAAACCAATCTTGTATTTCAAGTTCACCCAGCAATTCAGTGCATAGCTGTTTGTGAAGTACGACATAAGTTAATGGCTTACACTTCATTTGAACCCTTGCTCCAGAGCAGGAGCTCCCTTTCTCAAGTGCTAGGTGCAGAAGAGGCCCTCAGGAAAGATATGTCAAAGGAACATTCAGATGCACAAGTAAAATAACATGCAGGATTCCTGTAACTTTCTAAAGGGCCAGTCTGAAAGCCACCCGCTCTGGAGTCCCAAGAGAATAACTAAGCATAGCGACAGCATTGTGCAATGACTGCCAGGCAGTCCCCGAGGCTTCTGGTCTTCCTGGGAATCAGCAGAGTCGCTGTGGCCTAGCTGTACCCAACCTTTATCTCACTGTTAGGCACAAAAACCCAAGATTTTACACAAAAGTCTAGTTAAGAAAAATGCTATCCTTAAGATAGCCCTTAAAAAAGGGGAATGTGGGAAATGTAACAGCACACAGAGGAACTGCACAGAACATACAAAGCCCCAGAAGAGAATTTAGGACTCTCCATTTCCAGGAGCACCCACAGGACACTGCTTTTTGGAGTATGGGGCAGGGAATGAGAGGTAGGACCTAGACGGGCTACCATTGTGCTGCTTTTCAGAGCCAAAAGCGCCCTCATTTTTCAGATGGAGCAAATGAAATCCCAAGTGGGGAGGTACTTGCCCCATTTACAGGGAATGAGACTGAGGCCAGGGATCTGCTAGGCCCACATAGCACAGCACCAAGGCATGGAAGCCCACTGCTCCTTGGAGTGTTCTTTGAATGCAGCAGGGTTCCAAACTTACTATAAGAAATTTAACAGCTACCCCTGTGCACTTATGAGTTAATGTTTAATCTATTGATCTGCAACACCATCTGTCATTAAGCAGTTTCATATATTAACAGGTTCCTTTGGCTCCTGTTGCTGGGCTGTTTGAATATCCAGTGCCAATACCTCCTGGCTTAACTGCCATGGCCTAATAAGTAGACTATGATAGCTGCCAGGGGAGGTTCCCCATCTGTGCTACTTAGATTTCAGAATCAAATTCCACTAGAGAAATTGAGACTTCATAAGAACTGAATTCTCTATTTTGTTACTGGGATTGAACTCAGGGCCATGCGCTAGCCAGGCAGCATTTATGCCACTAGACTATCTCCCCGGCCCAAACTCATTCTGTGTATCAACTTTACAGTACCTTTATAGTATCAAGGCTTGCCATCCATCAGTAGTACAGATTTTCATTTCTTTAGGCTGTAACGTTTTTCAGTAATGAATCTCTCTGTAGATAGGATAGAAAGCTCTTAGTTACTTTTGAGGGGGTATTTTTTGTTTGCTATTGTGGTATCTTTTTGAATTATAAGCAGTGTACTAAAATGCTTTCAATTTCTGTAAGTTAATCTTACTTGGCACCTGTTAATTCTTTTGGAACAAACTGAAAATTATCTGTGAAGAACTGAATTATTGGCTGGGTGTGGTGGCACATACTTAGAATCCCAGCACTTTGAGGCTGAGGCAGGACTGCTGAGCTCCAGGCCAGCCTGGGCTGCATAGGGAAACCTGTCTCAAACACCTGTACCCCTAGAGTCTTCTCCCTTCTCTACCCTTTCACTTTACTTTCTATCACTGCGCCTCACCAGGGGCATCCCCAACACAATGAACAGACTCCATGATTGACAGCACCTCCTCTCACCCTGACCTTGACTGTAGTACTTCACATGCTTCATCACTGATTAAACATGGCACTCGCTTTAGGTTTTCTGCAGATATGCTGTACAGTGAGGACAGCTCCTTTTAATTCCTAGTTGCTAAGGCTTTTATAAATGAATATTTACTGAATACTTTTTGTCTTTCCTCGTATGCTTTTAATCTGTTAATGACTGTGAGTTCTACCCTGACAGGTCCAAAGTAATTTAAAATATAAAGAAAACCTTGAGCTCTTTAGTGTTTGACGTCTTGAACTTACACACTGGCTAGTACAGAGACTAAAAACAGAAAAGTGGCCTCCGCTAGCCAGTGTCTCCTGTGGAATTCGCTTCCTGTTGAGGCAGTGGACGAGGCAGTGGGCAGGCTGGTGGAGGACTGCAGAAGCCCTGCTGTCAGGTACAGAAAAGCCTGGGCCAGAGGGCCCGCAAGTAATCCAGAGGACACAATGTGGCGGTTACACTGGAAAGGGGACAAGGTGGCACCTATTCACCACTCCTGAACACAGCCAGCTTTGCCTGGAACCAAAGGACTTCCTTCTCCCTAGTGAGCCTAGGCCACCCCTTTCCCGCTCACAGAAAGTCGCAGCCACAGATAATATTTTCTTCCAAAGAATTCCACATTCCATAGAACAGGTGAGAAGTAAGGGCTGTGGCAGAGGTTTTACAGACAACGGGTTCCCCAAAGTGAGGACATGCACATCCTCTCATGGTCTCATGCTTGTCTGCAGTGTGGGGATCTTGGATCCATGAGCAGCTCTTGACCACTCTGTTCACAGCTTTGAAGTATTGCCCAGAGGCAGAAGAACATGAGTGTGACCTGGGGGGTGAAACCAGGATCCACAGGGAACTGTAGGAACCACAGAGGCTCACTGAGCACAAGGCAGAACTTTCACACTAACACTCCTGATGGGCCGGGAGTGCCCATCACAGCAAGCGAGTGGACACCTGATGGCCATTAGCCAGGAACAGGCTGGGGGAGAGCTACTGAAATCCTCTAGCCCCAGGGTGTGAAGTGACACCAGCTAACAGATGCCTGGGTTGTACAGAGAGGCAAGCTGGCCACTGCAGTGTTTTGGCTCTGGACTGCTTGGCTCTTGGCACCATTCCACAGGCTTCCCTGTTCTTTTCTGCCACTGGCTGTGGCACTTTCAATCCTCTGGGTTGACCTGCTCTCTCTCCAGGAGCTGGAGAGCCTTTGGAAGTGTACGCTCTCTGCGTGTTCTGCAAAGTGGATCAGGGACTTAAGACCAAAGGAAGGTGCCAGAAAGCAGAAACCTCCAGCATGAACTCCTAGTTCTAGAGGGAGGGGCTGCTCCCTGACGTCCCCCATGCACCAGTAGAGCCAGAACAGAGGCTTTATTGGTGAGGCTCGGGAACTAAGACAAAGCCCAGCATGCAGATAGGATTAGATGAGGGACTCGAGCACCAGCCTCTGCGGGTGTCACTGCCTGGGCCACTCAGTCTCTTCTCAGTTCTTAAGAGAAGTCTGTAGCAAGACGGTTCAGCATTTCACAAACTGGTGTGTGACCTCGAAGATTCCCACAGACTCCTGAGCCTTCTCATCATAGTCAGTCCAGTCCTATGGAGTAAGAGGGCAGTGTTAGCCTCATGGCACAGAATAGATCACTCTGCACAGTGGACAACAGGGACCGAGGCCAGCTCAGCCTGAGACTCTGGCTCAGATACTCATGACCATCCAGGACCAGAGAGAGCCACAGAGCTTGGCCTGAACCCCAGCTGTCAGCTTTGTGTCTACGTGTAAGTCACTGAACTCCAAGCCTCAGCTGTCTTGTACTAAAGACAGGGCCAACGACAGACTGCAGGTTGAATGTGGAGAGAATGCAGTGAGGAAACATGTTAAGCACAGTACCTGGCACCAAGAAGAGCTCAGTAAATACCAGCTACTATTACTAGGGGCCATGCAAATGGAATGCAGATCTCTGCTTTTGTTTTCAGACAGGGTCTCACCATGTTACCCAGGCAGTCTTGAACTGCTGGGCTCAACTTCTCTGTCCCCCTCAATATGCCAAGCACTGGGACTGCAGGCCCTGCCACCATGTCCAGCTTGGAAGCAAGTTTTTGCCCTTTCTTTGGGGCCTGAGCATGAGTATTCTATGGGGTAGAACTGTGATTACTTGTTAGTTTTATGAAGTCACTACAAACACTGAATTAATACTGACCATGACTCCGAAGGAAAATACAGGGTCAGGGCCTTGTAAGCCTCTGGTCAGGTTCTCATTCACAGATTAACAGATAATTTTGCTCTAGGTATACTACTTTCTGTTTAGATACCTTATTTAACACATAGTGGCAACTGCTTGAGCTCACAGCCAGTAGCCCTGCCATTCATGCCTGAATGAACATTATCTATCATCTCTGCCAGGTACATCTCAGCTTTCCTGTACACAGGACACTAAATAGCACCTCAGCACCATATTTGTGACCATTTAAATAATAGCAAAGAACACCAGAAATGCAGAACTAGTTTTTTACTGATGCTGTCAGACAATTCCCACCAGATGTCCTACAGCACCCTGCAGGATTCCCAAGTCACATACCTTCTCCTGCAGGTTAATGTCACTGAAGACTGTCCCTGACTCCACACCCTCAGCTGCAAACCCTGCCTACAGAGGAAGGGAAGGAAGCAGTTAGTCTCGGGGGAGGGAGGCACAGTGCTCGCTGTGAACTGCCTAGGACCTGGCTTCTCTGGCAGATCTGGGATGGAGGCAGAGATGCATGGTATGCAGCTGTTCTGGAGTAACTGCTGAGTTTCCAGGACCTGCTACCTGGCTTTGGACTGCAGTGGTTCTTCCAGATTACAGCCGTGGAACAGGAAGCAGGAGTGAGGTAAACTCTTCCACTACTGCTGACTTGCTCAGGACCCAGGCATGTCACTCCTCTCTGGACATTAGTTTTATTTACGAAGAGGATGACTGTTCCCCCTTCTGCCTCACCTCACGGATCTCTTGTGAGGTGAAAATGGTATACAAATGGGGGTGGTGGTGAGCAGTGGTTCTGGAGTCAGACAGACCTGGGTTCAACTTACAGCTCCATTGCTTACTAATTGTGTGACCCTGGACAGCTACAAACCTCTGAAGTTCTTTCATTATCTGAAAGAGGACGGTCACTTCACAGGTTGCTGTGAGGTAAAATGGGCGTGGTGCCCAGCATACACAAGGCACTTCATGAGCGACAATTATGTTTGACAAAGGAGAATTCCTAGTCCATGGCTTCTGCAGAAAGTTTGTTCTGTGGTCACGTTGTACATTCCCTCCTCAAAGACATACATACCTGGGGCTGGAAATCAACTGGTTCTAGGCCCCGGCATTCAAACTCCACGATTGTCTTGAACTTCTCATTGTCTTCAGCCTAGAAATGAAGTGTGTTGTGGAGGTAGGCACAACTACGCTCTCAGGTTGACTCCTGTCCTTCCTGCCATGTGGGCCTTACTGTCCCTGTGAGCTCAGAATGGGACGCAGGAATAACTCCTCCACCTGGAAAGAAGCCTGCTTGGTTACTGCTCCCCGGGAGACCCTCTGCGGGGGGACTGGCCAAAGGTGTCTGAAGAGAATGCAACTTTCTGGACATTTCAAGACTCCTGGAATGTATGGTTAGGAGTTAGAGCCAAATCGGCAGGAAAAGTCAGCGGAACTAAAAGCAGTTTATTTTCAGAGATGTTTGCTTTGCCCATCATCTCCCCTCTGCCCCAGAAAGAGTCCTTGAACTGGGCTGACGTGTAATGTGACGAACCATCCCACTCCGGGCCTATCCCCTGACCAAGACTATACAGTATGTTGCAAATGCCTTTCTTCCACATCTTTGTTCTCATGTCCTTCTTACAGATAAATAACTGTCGAAAGTTTCAGCTTGCTGCTGTTTCCAAGGCTCTCTTATGCCCAAGAAGCAATCTAAGTTCTGGGTGGTTGAACCAAATCTTGTCTCCCAGTAATCGTCACCATCCTCTGTGCGTACAGTCACACACTCGGTGGACATGGATGCCACAGACAAAGGAAGCAGGTTCTGGGGTCAGGCTATCTGATGATGAGGGTGAGTTCTGCCTCTCTTCTCCTTGGGGCATTATGAGCCCTAAGATGTCAAGTGGAGCTGAGGAAACCTTTACAGGTTAACTGTGAGAATTTGAAATATGTGAAATAGCCCAGCATAGGACCCAACGCTAATGCCCAATAAATGGTACATAAACGGAATATTAAGCTACACAACCTCCATATTATCCACATGGTCCCAGGACCCTGAGTTGTAACCTTTTTTTGCTGATTATTGTCATGCAACAAGGGCAGAGAGCTGCCTTTAAGCCTTTGAAAGGGGTTATGGGTGGAGGGGGCATCTCTTTGGGGGCAGCGAGCCAGGAAACTCATGCCTACCTGGGTATAGTTCAGAAACCTCAAATGCCACATCCCCACGTTCATTCTTACCCTGTCATTCACTGTAAAAATTGTTTCCTGCATTTCAACTGCATGTCTAGCACGGATGAAGCACTGTTCTTTTGGGTCTTGGTTGCCTGCTGGTCTTTTGCTATATTATGATTGACCTGAGGGCAAGTCCTTATTTAATTGCTCTCTTCAATTTAAGATATTGTGAGAATCTGATGTAATTCAGATATTTTTTAATAAATATCAAATAAAGAAACGATAAATACAAAGAACTGCCATTCTTTACACAGACCCAGCATACTCAACTCCTTTCCTACTGTGAGGCTGACCTGTTACGGAGTGTTGGACAACTATCTAATAATAACACTGACACTCTCCAAGATGGGGTGCACCAGAGCACTGTCCCATCCATGGTTTCAGAGAAGACTCACCACTTCCCTAAGATGCAGACAAGGCAAGTACCCTTGGCCATGGAAACTGAGTAGCTAACTGGGGTCAGAGGTCCAATGGGCTCCCACAGCCTAGCATTTACTGGGAGGTGTTGCTACAATCTGTTAATGAACCTTTTCTGTTTTGGGGGTTTTTTTTTTTTGGCACCAGGGATCAAACTCATGACCTTGAGCTTACCAGGCAGGCACTTATATCTCTGAGCTAAATCCCCAGCCCCAGAAGCTCTTTATTTCCAGTTTATGTGTAATCCCACCATGCTTGCCACCTACGGCAGCAAACTTACATTATAAGGCTTGATAGTGCTGCTCAAAATCTCTGAAACATAAAAGAGAAGACAAAGTTGACTTGAATTCATATTGAGGCCCCACCCTAGTGCCCAGATGTGGCTCTGGGAAAGACAGCCAGGTGCATAGGCTTTAGCATCTCACACCATAGTACACCCACAAGTAATATGAGCCTGCTCTCAGTCTGGTACCAGAAAGCTGTGGGCCAGCCTGGCAGAACTCAGTAATTACAACCTGACTTACCGATGGAATTTTCCCGTGCACACAGCTTGCACTTCTGGACCATAGAGGCACTGCCACGCCCTCCTTTCAATGCCACGCTGTCCTGGCAAAGAGCAAACAGAGCCTCTAGTCACATATCAAATTGATGCAAGGCTCCTGAGACTCCACCTCACCACTTATTACCCAAAAGAAGAGACATGACCCAGAGAGGTCAATACTTGCTAAGACAGGGGTCTTGGAGAGCAAAAGTGCAGCTCAGTAATCAAGTGCATATTTAATGTGGACAAACCCGCTTTCAATCTCTAGCACCAGCAGAAAACATCCAAAGAGGCCTAGTGAGACTGAGGAAGGGTTCCTTTTTGAATTCTGCCTCGTCATAAAATGTGTGTTGTTCCCAGTACTGATCACACTGATGTCTGCTCTCCCGAACCAAAAAAGGTAGGGTCCAAAAGACTGAAGAAGTCAAACTAGTTTCTCCAAATTTCTGCCAGAAGGTAAGTGTTGCATGTGCTTGACAACACCACTTACCATCAGTCGGATGTACTGCCACTTCTCTGAAATTTCACCACAATTGCCACATTTCATCTTGGGGTAGGAGGAAAAAAGAATACTAGTAAAGCAGCTGTGGACAATATCTCACCTTCTTTTTCTTTTCTTTTTTTTTGTACCCGGGATTGAACTCAATGACCTCACACTTGAAAGGCAGATGCTTATACCGCTGAGCTAAATCCCTGGCATCACCTTCTTCCTGACACTTTGCTTTACAATCAGCCCCAACAAGGACATAACCAGATTTATCTCTAGGCCAAGACCATATCCAGGCGTGTCTCCTGTTGTGGTACCTGCCTCTATGGCCTGGATGAGGACTCAAGGCTTAGGTGGCACAGGAGTGGCTTCAACAGGCCCCCAGCCAAGTGGCCTGGTTAGGAGATTCCTTTGTGTCCCCACTGGCCCCATCAGTCCTTGATTTACATATTTACCTATCACATTGCTGTTAGACCTCTTTCTGCTTTCATCACTACACTCTGCTTCTTGTAATCACAAAACACTGATTCCTCAAATAAATGCTGAAACTCAAAACTTCAGAAATATTTAGAAATAAAAGTCAAAGGTGGCTTCTTATAGGACAGGACTTTTGATGGGTTCACAAGGATTTGGGATTTGGACTAGGACAGGCAGAATCTCTGGGATCTGCGACAGGGAAAGACCTTAAACTGTTAAGAAAAGGACCTCTGCAAAATATGCTACTAGGGTACCAGGCATATCGGTGTGGAGTGGGGAAGAAAGTGTAGATAAACCGGGTGTAGGGGCTCACACCTATAATCCCATCACTCAGGAGATTTTAGGCTACAAATAAGTTTAATGCCACCCTGAACTGCATAGTGAAACCATGTGTCAAAAAAAAGGTAGATCTTGCACACAATTAAGCTATTTCAATAAATACAATCTGATCGACAAAACAGGAGGTGAAATTATTTACCTTACTAGATCCCTTCGATTAGTATCTATTTACAGATTACAAAATATTTAACAAAGGGAAAAATTACAAACCTTTCATGACTGTTGATTAAAGATGAATCAGCAGTTAGAAAATCTAAAATCTTAGGCATAAAAACCCTAACATGTAATGTCTGATTAAATATTTCTCACGCTGCTGGAGATGCTTAGGTCATGAAGGGCCACACCTTCCCGGAGGCCCCAGGCCCCAACGCCTTCTGCAAGTCGCCCCTTCGCAGGCCCCGCTCACCCCGCACCTTCAAGTACCACCGGAAGTCCTCGCCCAGGGGCCGGAGGTTGGTGATGTTCTCCAGCGTGGCTTTAAGCTGCAGCGCGATTTTCTGAAGGCAGAGGCCACGCCGTCAGCGCCCCGCCCGGGACCCGCCGACTGTAGCTCTGCCGCCCACTTTCCCTGCGAGACCTCGCTCCCATTATTTCCTCCGGACGCGAGCCCCTGCCTTCCCGTTCCTCGCACCTTCCCCAACCCGGGTCTCCTGGCGCCTCAAAGCAGGCCACCGCCCTCTTACCCCCATGATAGACCGGCTGGGCGCTGTACAAGCCGCGGCCGCTACTTTCCGGCCTGTCGTAAAAGGGAGGCGCCGCGCACGTTTTAGTGGGGCGGGGGCGGGGGCGGGCCTCCGGCTGCTGCTACCCTGCAGGTAACTTTACCCAGTTCTTGGACCTTCCTTTTAGGTGAGCTGGAGCCGGTGTGAATCCGATATTCAGACCCGTGGAAACTGGCCTCCAGGAACTGGCAATGCCATAGACCCTTACTGAACTCCGATTTTGTGTGAGCACTAAGCAGACAAGACAGGTCCCTACCCCTTTGGCTTTCCCCTGGCTCATCTCTGCTCTTCAGGCTCTGAGGGTTCTTGGTATGCCCTGGTTCCTCCTGCCCACGGACAGCATCACAGATTTGGAGTATGATGTCTTCTCTCAACTGCTTCCTCTAGCTCTGCCCAGGAGCCTGGTTTTGAGAATCTCTCCAGGGATCACCCGTGTCCTCATCCTTATCGTGGCTCGTGAAAAGCGTTCCTCTCCTCCCACTCGTCTTAGTCTAGCGTGCCTTTACTGATAGATAACCACGCAGGCTGAGGGCATCATTAACACCCACATTCGAGACTTTAATAACCTTTTGAGGTCCTCAGTGTCTTTACAATTTGGACCTTTTTTTTGTTCTCTTCACCACCAGCCTGCCTCAGTGCCCGCCAAGTACCTTCATAGGCAGATGTGACTGTCAGGAGCCCTGACATGCTGGATTACAAGACTTCCCCTAACTTGCTTCCATAATCTTGTTTGTTTGAGACAGGGTCTTGTTTTGTAGCTCAGGCTGGACTCAAAATCTGCGCCTGCCTCAGCCTCCCAAATGCTGGGATTATAGGCATGAGCTACCATGCCTGGTTCCCATAATCTTTAAAAGAGGCACAGTAAAGTGTGGTGGAAAAAGCATTGGCTCACATTAAAAACCATTGGGGATCAGGGGTTTAGCTCAGTGGTCTGAGTGCCTGCCTGGCAAGCACAATGTTGTGAGTTCAATCGCTGGTATGAAAAAAACAAAAAACATTGAGACCTGGGCTCCCAGGGATGTGAGTTCTAGGCCTATCACTTGTCCTTTCACTCAAATAACTTTAACCAAGGCCCACTTCTTTCAGCAGATGTTACATAGTCAACCAGCAATTTGCCTGAAGAAGCTATGCAGCTGAGTTTTAGGGGTAGCAGGAATCGAGTCTAAGGCCTTTGTACTGAGCTGTAATCACCAGACCTCTTTGTTGAGAAAGGGTCTACCTAAATTGCCCCGTCAGGACTTACGTGCAATCCCAAAGTGCTCAGATTACAGGTGGTACCATCAGACCTGCAGCCATGCTGTTGTCGAGAAGCCATGTGCCAGGCATGGTGCCCTGTAATCCCAGTACTCAACAGACTGAGGCAGGGGGCTGGAGGTTTAGCTCAGCGGCATAAGCGTCTGCCTTGCAAGTGTGTGGTCTTGAGTTTGATCCCTGGTACCAATAAAAAAGGAAAAAGACCAAAAAAAAAGAGACTGAGGCAGGAGATTGCAGTGAGCTTGAGGCTGGCCTGGACTATATAGCAACAGTCTCAAAAAAAAAAAAAGAAAAAGGAAAAGAGAAAAGCCTGGTGACTTGGCAAAATAAAAATAAACATCATCCCCTTGCTACACAAACTCCCACACTACCTGTGCCAACTCGATGACTTTGTTTCTGTCTTTTTGAGACAGGGTCTCCCTATGTGGTTCAGGCTGGCTTTGAGCTCACTTTGTAGTCCAGGCTGATCTCAAACTTGCAATGATCCTCCTGCCTCCCAAGTACTGGGATTAGATGTGTGCCCCCATGCCTGGCCAACTTGGTCAGTTTTTAATGGCTGGTTTTCTGAGTGTTCTACCACTGACCTACACCTCCAGCAATTAATGTGTCTTCTAAATTTCCTTTATAGGTTCCCCTCCACCTGTGTCTCTTCCAATTATTTAAGAAACTAAGGCATCTATCCAAAACTTCCTCTGAATATTGCTGATCAGAGGCTCATTTTTTAACATGTTTCCCCAGTCTCCTGTTTTCCTGTAAAATGGTATATTTTATATAGTTGGCTAGATTTTTTAGCAATCCTTCCCTAAGATGTTTGTTTTACAAATTAAATGAGAGTTTAGACATTCAGATCTTTTATAAAATAACAAAAACAGGATTTTATTACTTTTTTTCTCTACAGAAGGTCCTGGGACTCAAACTCAGGCCCTTCCACTTGCCAGGCCGGCACTGTGCTGCTGAGCTATATCCCTGGTCCTTATTACATTTATTAAAGACAAAGTTTATAAAAAATATTGCCTTGATATACATAAAAATTTCCTGATAATGGTAATTAAAACAACTATTCCTACCCCCCTCGTGTCCACATGAATATTCAACCTAAATTGGTTTGATCTTGAAGTGTAATCCAATAAGACTGAAGACCAAGCACTTCAAGTCTTGGACAAGATAATAAAATACTCTTAAGCCTTCTGGGTCCCTAAAATAGGAGAAAAAAATAATTAAAAAGCTGAAAAAAGCTGGCAACTGCCCCCCCCAACAACAACTTTTGATTATCTAACGAAGTATTTCTTATGTGTATTTACGGTATTAAAACTTTTAACAACCACATGTCCACAAAGAAAGAAGAGGCTACATATTAAAATGGAATATTAATGTGGTAATTTAAATATTGAGTTTTTTGGGGTTGGGGAAATATGTTAAGTGAAAAACCATCATGATTAAAATAACAGATTGTTGATCTCTTTTGGCCTTTAGAAACTGTTTTCTAATGCACAGGAAAAAGACTATAAAAATACATTTCAAGATATTAACAATGGCTATATTGATGGGTCAAGTATACAGTAGACCTATGATGGCTGTGTCTCTAGTAGTCATGTTCAAGTTTTTCCTTGTCATTATTTTATAAATAATAAAGTAGGAAAACAGTTGACAACACAGTAGGTGACATAATCTAGAGATGATTTAAAGTATACATAATGATGTACAGAGGTTATATAAAAACACTGTCCCATTTCATACGAGACTTGAGCACCAAAACTTTGGTGTCTACAGTAGGTCCTGGACCAATCCTTTATGGATACCCAAAGATAACTAATTTGGAGACCTCACTATTGAGGGGTCAAACCACCCGCCTCTGTCTTGCACTTGCAAAATCATCCTATAATAGTCCCAGTTTGGTAAGGATGTACCAGTTTCCACCAAAACAGACACAAACAGATATAAGGATCATATACTTACTTGGACTGATTGACATCAATAAGAGAACCAATTTTTGATGTTGTGAAAGAAATGTGTTCATCTCCAATGACAATTTCAAGCTCCTATAAACATTTTTAAAAAATCCTAAGTTGAGCAGAATTGGATTATTCATCACTAACACAGAAGGGTGAATTATTTGCCAAATCACCCAAATTCTACTATTGATGGCAGCTTACCCTAAGCACTAAACTCTACAAGACACTATAAAAAGAGGTAACACTGGTTTAGCCCTTGAGAAGCTCATCCTCTTACAGGAAGCTGTGTCATCAGGCTATATTCTTCCTGAGATTTAGAAGAATTTACATACCACTTTCACTGTTTCACTCTTAACAGTGTGGAATAGCACACATAGATCTGTTTTTAAATACCTAAGGTTCCAATCTTTTTGCACAACATGGTCTAAGGAAAAGTATTAAAGACTTTTGAATTTCATCCCAGCTTGCCATTCACTCTCAAAGACTGTGTGACCTTGGGTTTTGTCATGGCTTGTGTCCAGATGTGCCCCTCAAAGTTTCATGTACTCAGATATGGAGCTTTTTTGAAGGGGCTAGATCTAGGGTGTATGAATACAGACTGTGTGCTAATTTAGCCTATTCATTGGTTTAGCATAGTTCTGGGTGTGGATAACGGGAAGGCCTGCCATTAGCTTATGGCCTGAAATGAATAAAAAGGAAAAGGCAGGCTTCCTGTTCACTCCCTCCTTTGCTCTGCCAGGCACTGTTCCTCCTTTCCCACGCCACCCTGTCTTGGAGCCAGCCAACTATGGACTGAAACCTCTACAAACTGTGAGCCAAAATAAACCTTTCCCCCTTTAACTTGTGGGTGTCAGGTATTTCTGTCCCAGCAATGAGAAAAGTAATTAAGACAGGTCTTAATTTCTAAATAGTGACATGAGTACCATAAACCTTAAAAAACTACAGGGGTCTGTAGGGTGTCAGGTATTATTCTCAGCGCTCAGTACAGATCTGCAAAACCTAACGAACCACGTAGCGCTGCTCTTATAAAATTTATATTCTAATGAAGCCTACACCCTACTTAGTTTCTTTTTAAAAGAAATACTGGTTTATGTCCATCATTTATTCTATACATCCTACATCCTGAAAGTTGTTGGAGTATATTCTTTTCACTTGTGTTTTTAGCTTTGGGAGTATGTTTTTAAATAAATTATCATGTTTTATTTTTCTGCCGTTTGTTTTAACGAATCTGAATAGTATTTCATTGCTGTTCTAATTCGCACAAATGAAGCTGTGGATCCTTTCATCTTTACTGACCACTTACTTTGAGTCTATGAAGTGTCTACTTATAACTTGTATTTTGTGCCACTGGGTTGTCTTTTTAACTGGGTAGGGGGCAGATACTGAGGACTGAACCCAGGGCCTTGCTCAGCTCATGCTAGGTATGTTTTACTAGTGAGCTACAGCCCTAGTCTGGGTGTTTGTGTTTTGTTTTGGTTTGGTTTTTGAGACAGTGTGACTAAATTACCCAGGCTGGCATGATGACCTTCCTGTCTCAGCCACCGAGCAGCTGGGATTACAAGGATGTACTAGCAGCCTGACTGCTAATCGATAGTTCTTTATATATTCAACATAGAAACTACTTGCCAGTATTGTTTAACAAGCATTTTCTACCAGTTTGTGGGTTATCTTTCAACTTTATCATGATGTTGTTTGTCATACAGGAGTTTTAAAGAATTTATCAACCTTTTCCCTGGAGTTTGAAAAAAAATTCTCTAACCAGGAATAATAATAGTTTATATTTTCTTTTGTTCTAATTTCTTACTTTATTTCTATAAATGGCCTAATTAAAAAATACTACATAAATATGCCATGAACTATCCTGGTATAATTTGTTGAACAATCCTTTTTCCATCTATTTAAAGTCCACCTCTATAATGTACCAATCTAAGCTGCTATCTACTCACAGATGTGTTTCTTTTGTTTGAGACAGGGTCTTACTATGCAGTTCAAGCTGGCCTTGAGCTCACTTTGTAGCCCAGGCTGGTCTCAAACTCGCAACAACCTTCCCGCCTCAGCCTCCTGAGTGCTGGGATTAGAGGGGTGAGCAACCACGTCCAGCCACAGGTGTGTTTCCGAGTTCCCTATTGTGTTCCAATAGTTTACTTGCCAATTTTTGAGACAATACTACTATATATTACAAATACCTGCAGGCTTAAAAGAAGTCTTCATTATTATCTTGGCTAGTCCTGCCCCTTTAATTATCTATGAATTTAATGTTCATTCTGTTACTTTCCAAAAAAAAAAAAAAAAAAATCCTGTTGTAATTTTGATTTGAATTAAATAATTTTGATGAAAATCAGTATTTTTATGCTGAATCTTCTCATTCATAGATGCATATTTTTATGTCCTCTGATAAAGCCTTTCCCTAAGTTTTATATATCTTGGTAAATTTGTGCAAGTTCTTTTTAACTTTTGTTCTGTTACACAGGGAGTAAGGAGGTCTTGTGGCCTACTTTTTGACAAGGGGAGGCCAGAGAAAATCTCTTCAGGTCCCAAGTTCCAAGAGAGGAAAGGAGAGGAAGATGTTAGGTTCTACAACCCATTTTGGAAAAGGAGTTATGAGGTAGATACCATGGTTAAAACCCACCACATAGGGGCTGGGGATTTAGCTCAGTGGCATAAGCGCCTGCCTTGCAAGCAGGCAGTCGTGAGTTCGATCCCCGGTACCAATAAAAATGAAAAAGACAAAAAAAAAAAAAAAAACCCACCACATATAACCACAATATTAACTTACTAAATACTAGAGATTTTACCATACACTGGCACCAAGTATTTTTATATGTATGTATTGGTACAGGGGATCGAACTCACAACCCCATGCTTGCCAGGGAGGCGCTTATGCCACTGAGCTAAACTTCCAGCTTTATTTATTCATTTTTTTATTGGAGATAGGCTTCCACTATATAGCAGGCCTCTTGCAGTGATCCTCCTGCCTCAGCCTCCCAAGTGCTTGTATTACAGGTGTGTGCCACCACGCCTAGCACCCTGCTACTGTTCTAGTCACTAAAGATATCGCAATGAAAAGGACAGGTAAAGTCCTTATACCAAAGAGTTTAAATCAGTGGAATATGTAAACAAATTCACATTGTTAAAGATCACACTGGCTTTAGGATGGAAACATGAGATGTACCCAAGAGGCGAAACAAGGAAATAAATTAGGAGTCTGGATTAGGATGATAACAGTTAAGGAGGAATTCTTTTCTGATAGTTAAGTCAAATATGAAAATAGCTTTACTGTATTTTATCTTTGTAATCCCATAATACTGTCCACAGAAGTTACTACTTAGTAAGTGAGGTGGACAATAAAATTTCTGGGGCAGGGGTGGGGCAGGGGTAGGGTGGGGTAAGAGTGGGCAGGTAATTTAGGGCTGAGCTCTAGGTATCTAGGTGGCCAGCAGTACTACCCGCTTCTCTGGCCCTCGCTACACAATTACTGTTTCCTTACACCAAGGTGTGGTAATTTGCTTCATAAGAAGACTGGTACACACACACACAAACATGGGTTCGATGTCATAGGCAGAACAGTAAACCTTATATTCATTTCAGATTTCTACAGTACAGAACAGTCAATACAACACTCACCTGCCGGCCTACTCTGTCAGGAGGAGGCCACAGAGCATCATCCTCTTTGGTAATTTCACTGTCATCAATTATTCTCTTCAGTTCCTCCATCACACTTTTATGTACATAGGCCTGAAAGCAAGTTGAAAAACAGAATTTAGGCTGTATCTCTAAGCATGCTGACACAGACAGCAATGAAACAGGAGTGACTGCTCCTGATGCCCTATTCCTGGTGCCTCGGTAAGTAAGAAGACATTCATGCTAGACCTCAGCATGCCGAGGAGGAGGCAGCTCAGGGTCAGAAAGATAACATCCCAGTTCCCCAGCCTGTTGTAACTACCTGTTCAGATGTACCTTCTACTTGCCTATGTACCCAGCTTGGAGCTGAGCCCAAACAGACCTGTAAATGCCCCTGCTACAGTCTGAATATTTGTGTTCATTCCGAAATTTATGTTGAAACTTAATCCCCAATACAGTGGTATTAAGAGGTGGGACTTTCAGGAGGTGAGGCTCTCCATGAGGGCAGAACCTCATAAAAAGCTGGGCATAGTGATGCATATAGTGAGTTCAAGGCCAATCTGAACTATAAAGAGAGATCTTGTCTAAAACAAACCCAAAAAACAAACAAAAGACCAAAGAAAATTAGCTGCAACCCTTTTTGTTCTTTTGCCATTGAGGACAAAGTATTGCTTTTAGGAGACACGGAAATATGACATCATCTTGGAAGCAGAGATTGAGCCCTTACGACACAATGAACCTGCCAGGGCCTTGACCCTGGGCTTCCCTGTGAGAGATGAATGTCCATTGTTTATAAACTACACAGTCCCAGACATTTTGCTGCAGTAGTACAAATAAGCTGATATACGCCCTACTCAATAGTATGGCTTGAACACGATTTGTGACCTCTCAAAGGTTCACAGTATATTTAAGGCTCAATAGCCAGTGTGGTAAAATTGGAAGTAGAGACTTTTCAGAGGTGAGACCTAATGACACCTGAGTCTCTCTCTGCTCCTGGTATGAGAGGCAGACACTGCACACACGTGTGCTCAGCCTTCGCTACTCATGCATGGAGTGACACATTCAACAGGCAGCCAGTCCTTATTGACCTGCATGATGCCACTTGGGACTTGGAACCTCCACAGCTGTAGGCTAAATCAACTTTATCTTATAAGTACACCAGGTCTGATAATACATCCCGGTATTAAATAACATAATTCTGAGAAACAGAGACATATGTTTAAAAATACACTTTGCACACTAGCCTATGTTAAAGAAAACCTGTGAAGATGCTTATATATGACTATAAAATCAACTATTAATCAAACAGTATGAAAAATACAAAATTAAACAGTATGGAAAGATACTGGTTAAGACATTTTTCAAATGTGACAAAGAGATTAAAAGAGTAACTCTGCTGAAGCCTTAATGGTGTGACAGCAATCACTGTACAATGGGAACATGTGGACTTCACTGAATTCCTGCTGTTAATCTCTTACTAGTGGTGATTGTGACCATGTTCCATAGTTAATATCTGGACCTTCATTTTCTTTTATGAAAAGGATATAATATTCCCATCACGTGGGCTTATAATCGCATTAAGATCATACATGCATGTTAAATACCTAGTGCCACATGCACAGCATCTAATATGCATTCAATGATGTTACCTGCCTTCCCATGTATGCATTCCTTTCTCTTTTGGATGCTAATTAAGTAGGTCTCTTCACTGAGTGCTCTGTGGCAGGAAATAGCTGCTGATGAGTATGCATCTACTTCCCTATTTATTGTCTAATAATATCCCTTGAAAGAACACAGACCATACAGAAACAAAAGGCTAAGTTGTAGTGAATGAAATGCTCCTACCTCTTTTCTGATCATAACATCGTTTTTGTAATTGCTGTTGTTGGCGTATCTCAATTTCCCTGTGAGGAGCAAAACATAAACGCAATATACAATAAAAACACATGAGAATATGTCATCATTAGCCTACCAAGATCTTAGCTGTTTCCTAAAATGTATCCTAGCTGCTCTTCAAAATAACTAACAGAATTACTATTTATGCTTTTTGGGTTTCAACATTTCTAGTCATGTCAATTCCTTGTTTTAGGCTACTAAACAGCCTCCTCCAAAACTACAGCTAATAGTGAACTACAGGGGCTGGGGATTTAGCTCAGCGGCATAAGCACCTGCCTTGCAAGCAGGCAGTCGTGAGTTCGATCCCTGGTACCGATAAAAACGAAAAAAGACCAAAAAAAAAAAAAAACCTCAATAGTGAACTACAGTTTAAGTAAAACACATAATATGGTACAAGAACATAGAACACAGCCAAGCTCTTTTTTGATTTTGGCAAATCACACTTCTGTAGGTTAATGTCTTAAACTGACAACAGGGATTGTAACTGAAAACCTACACACACAGAGAATGTGCTGAGGTTCAAATGAGTCATGAGAGCACTTTAAAACTCAAGGATGCTGTTCACGTATTATCATACAACTATGCAACACTCTGATCTATTTCTGTGATGGAAAAGTTTTATCATTGAGAACATTTGGTTCACAAGGCCCTTTATGCATACACGTAACCAACCAATAGGCTAGTTTGTTGTATGTTGGGGATGAAGGGGACAATAAAAAGAAAAGTAGAAAACATGATCTTTCCACCATAGAAGACACATATATACAGAGTCAAATAATTTATTCCAAGAGCCTCTGTACTGTTTCTGTGTTTCAAGTCTTTCATTTCAGTTCATTTTCTATATAGTGAACAAGATGATACAGCAAAAGATCCATCTGACTAGATTGTTCTAACACTATGGTAACTGTCAATAGCTTCTGCCTTTTGGACAAAATCCAAACTCCTTATCAACAGCATACAACTCAGCTGAGCCCCTGCCTGCCTTCTCAGCCTCATTCCTACAGTGGTCTTCTCTCACACAGCTGGAGTCAAATTAGTTTGTTTCTTCCTGTGACATCCCACCAATTTTCTAGCGTTCAACCTCTTTACAGTATATGCTACCCAAAATGCCTTCTTGACTGTTACTGTGCATCCTCGCTCCCAACCCCATCATTTTATGTAAGAAGCTTTCTTTCTCTAACCCTCAGGCAGGATTAGGGGCCTCCTCTTTGCTCTCAAAGTTTCCTGTGTCTTCATTCCATGACACTTACTACATGGTTTGTTTCAAATCTATCTCCCACGCTGTTGTAGTTTGTAAAATTCATCCTTGTGCCCCAATGAGTTCGTTTTCAATCATCAATTCCTCTTTTACACCATTGTGAAAGAAATACCATCCCAAATATTATACCCCAAATATTATCCATCAGTAAAACGCAATTACTTCTGCCTCCAATAGTATTATAAATCCTCTCCATTCCTATTATCATCCTGGTCTCAACCAACATCTATTGTTTTGACCACTGTCACCATCTCATTAATAATCTTGTTTCCACTCTTGCTCATAGTTTTTTCCTCCAGGGTTGAGGCCTGAATCCAAAGCCTCAGGCATGCTAGGCAAGCACTTTATCACTGAGCTACACCCTCAGCTTTCCATTCTTGCCAATTCTGCATTCAGACAATAGACTGCTTTTTCAAGAACAGGTCACATTTTTTCTTTACCTGAAACTTTGTAACTGCATTCTACTGCACTTAGAAATCTAAACCGTTACCACCCTATAAAAATCTACATGCTATGGTCCCTTCACACGTGACACCATCTATTATTCTTTGCAAAGCTCACATATTTTCAGCCACCTCACTGGCCACCCGAAACACGCCTGGCTGGACTCATGTTACTCCCTCTACAGAATGCACGTCCTCCTGAGCTTCAGAAGGATGGCTGTTTCTTGTCAATTAGGGTTCAGTTCAAATATCCACTACTCAGGGAGCTCTTTAAAGGCCACTCTGTATTTCAGCAATTATTTCAATATTTTTTTTCTGATCACTCGTCACTATTTGGGATCATTTTCTGCTTGTTTGTGTGTTTATTATCTCCCTCTTAGCACTGAACACGAGTCTCACGCGAAAAGAAGATAGGCCATCTCTGTCGCTATGTCCCACAGAGCAGAACACAGCCTGCCCATAAAGTGGCCGTCTAACTCATTTGTTAAAATGTAAGCAATCTGGTCAAATTTGTCATCAAACGGCAGCCTCTACACATGGATAGAAAGAACCAAAGGAGCGGACACAAAGCATCCTTTTCGGAGCCGAGGTGCTCTAGTCTCATTCTTTTCCGGACGCCCGGTCTCCCCGCCCGCTCCCCAGCCTAATCTCAGCTCCGGGTGGAGAGAGCTGCGCTTACCATCGGGCCGGAACTCGAACTCCAGGAATTCGTGACCGAACTTGCCTTTGTGACCCACGTAATAACGCAGATAAAAGTCACTTTCCATAGCTCGCCTAGGACATCGGAGACCAAACTTTAGGACCAAACTGCACCACCGAGTCCCGCGCTAAACACTGACGTTTCGGCGGCCCGCGGAAATGACGTCACAAAGCGGCGCCAAGTAGCTCCGCGCCTTCCGGGAGGCGGGAAGGGGTCACCGCCACCCTCACACCGAGGCGGGTCGGGGCGCGGGTTTCTCATCCAGAAATTGGACCGGGCGTAGGGTGCTAGCGAACCTTGTCGTTGGGCGTAAGGCGGTAAGCCACGAGTGAGCCTCCGCTCCAGTGCCTGATAGCTCGTTTAGACTTCGGGCCAGACATCCCCAGATGTCGTCCTCCAGGATCAACTTTGTAGAGCACCGACACTGCGAGTCGGACAAGTCGCTTCGCTGCCTCCGGACTTCGTCTCAAAAGTAAAATGGGACAAAATGACCCAGCCTGGCGAGAGAACGCGGCTCTGAGTGTGCATAAAATAGGCTTTCCTGCCGGGCGTGCCGGCGCATGCCTATAATCCCAGACTCGGAAGGCTGAGGCAGGAGGATCCCCACAGGTTTCAGGCCAGCTTGGCTACAGAGGAGTTCATAGTGAACTACATAGTGAGACCCTCCTTCAAAAAACAACAAAAAGACTTTACTGAACTGTTCTATTAAAGAAAAGCTTTCTCAGTGACGCATGTCCCAAATCTGTAGTGAGGACAGTGGAACTAGGTACTCGGAAACTTGTTTGATTTCTCAGTGATTCCCAGCCCTGACCGCGAGTCGCATTAGAACCTCCAAAAGGTGTTGAGGCCTTGGCCCCCCCAAATACATTCCAGTTGAGAACCACCCCCCAAAAGGCTGTCTTTTGAAGGCTAAAGTTGACTTCCGGGAAAGCTTTCTGGCTTGAGAAAAACATAGTTGAGTTGGCCAGAGGCAAGCAATCCTAATTATGAACCCTGCTTTAGCTTAAGTTACACCTATAGAGAGAACCGTTCTAGAGACGGTGCTGAGAGGACATACTGGGGCCTGGAGTGTGAGCCTATTCTGTACATCAGGCCAGTAATCTGTTTCTTATTCCCCACCTTCACATTTAGCTCTTTTGTCCTTGACAAAGCCTTGGTAGCATAGTGTAGAGTGGCCATGTGGAGGGAGGGTGGCGACGCTGGAAATGGGTTAAAATAGTCTTAGCCAATTCAGAGATCAACGAATTGACCTTTTTAGACTTCAGTCGCCCTATTTTCAAAAATAAGGGGGTCGGGGGGCTGGGGATTGAGCTCAGCCGGCAGTCGTGAGTTCGATCCCCTGTACCGATAAAAAGGAAAAATACAAAAAAAAGATAGGGCTGGAGATATAGGTTAGTGGTAGAGTACTTGCCTCATATACAAAGAAGTCTTTGGTTGTATCCCAAGCACTGCAAATAATAAGCACAGGTATTGTGTACCTGGCAGCACTGTTACAAGAAAAAAAATTGGAAAATACCTTACCAGCTGTAAATCGCTGTAAAATCTTGAGGCATTTTTATTACAAATCCGTGGCTATGGATATGAAAGAAATTGTATATGAACAGAAGGGAATCACCAGGAATTAAGAATCTAATACACTGTCAGCCCCTAGCCTGAGCCAATTTACATTTTTTTCTTCTTTGAATCACAACTATCTTGAGGTGATAATTGGAATTAGAGACATCCACCAGTTGTTATAAGGTTGTTTTCAAGAGTAACAGGTTAATCTGGGCATCAGGAGACGTGGCAAATAAAAATGCTGAGAATTTAAAGGACGTTTGACTCAACAACCTATAAGTCGAGTTTTGGACATGAGAGACACAATATAGTATAGCCAAAAGAGCATGCTTTCTGTCTGCAGTGCCTGAATCTGGCATAATTTACTGAGTATTTACTAGGTATCATGTGCTGAGAATACAATGTTAGAAACACAGTTCCTTATATTACCCACAGGGCAGTATACACATAAAGGCAACTATAGTATAGAGCTAAGGGTTACCAATAGGAAGCACTGCATACTCTGGAAGTCTATGGGGTGGCTCCTAATCCAGTCCAGGGGACTGAGAAAACCTTCCTGAAAGAACTTTTCCAGACACACAGCCCAGGACTGCATGATTAGAATACAGAGAATAAGACTGGAAAAGGGACAGGAGCCCATTAAAGGCTTGAGTAAACCTTTACCAGCCATATTAAAAAGCTTGAGTAAATTCGAGAATATTGAGTTTTAAGTGCAAGGGAAGCAGTCAAAGGACTTTAAGCGGGAAAGTGGAAGAGGTGATGGTGCTGTGACCTACTACTGCATTTTACAAAGATAACTGGCTGCAACATTATAGGTTGGATCAAAACTTGGAAAGATTAGAAATTCAGGTTAGCTGTAAAACGTAACCCATGAAGGTGGTAACCTCAGACAATGGTGACCTATATCAGATAGTGGTAATGGAAATAGAAGTCTGGATGGTGTGAGTTGGAATACCGTATATCAGGAGGTAGGTGAAGGGCACCAGAAGTATGATGTCATAGAAGCCCAAATGAGAGTATCCCCAGAAGATATTAGGTAAATACCATTTCCAGGTCAAGGAAAATAAAATGTTTATAAGATTTATAATGAAGGAGGTGCTAGACAACCTTGGTAAAACCCCGGTGGCATGGGAGGTGATGGGAGAGTACTGAGACCTAAGTAGAGTACTCAAGATCAAACACGGATCAACCAGAAAGAGGCAGTGAAGGGAAACCTAGGGAGACAGTGCTACATGGCAATTGGCTCTTTGGGGTCATTAAAAATAACCATGGAACTTCGGGCAGTTATTTTACTCATTTCTTCATTTATAATATGGGGATGGAGAATATTGGTATTTGTAAAGTTTTTGCTGAGATTAAGAATTTATGGAGAATACCTAATACACAGTAAGGACTCAGTGATGGTTCAATCCCCCATTAAAACATCACAATGAAACAACACTTAAAAGATTTTTTAAAATGGATTTAATTTCTTTCTAGAAACAGTGCACTGATTTTACAGATGTCCACATTTGGTTTTCAGTTCACCAAGACGATGTCAGCACAGCTGGTGAGGCGAGCGCACCCCCTCCTGTCCCTCTGCCCCTGGAAGAGAAGCCACACTGCAGAGGACACCCGCACAGACCTAACAACGCCGAAGGACAAGACAAAGCAGAAAGGTTTTAGTGCGATCCAGCCTTCTAACATGCTGGACTGTGACAGCAAAACGGTAATCTGGGGTCATGAGGAAGACAGGGAAATCCATTTGCATACAACATGGAGTTTACAAACCAGTACTTCACCCTCAAATTAACAGGTTTCTGTAGAACAAAATGCTGTTTTAAAAGCACACAATCTGTACAGTTATTTATCTTGTAATTTTTGTAAAAAAGTATCAAAACCTTGTCTTTAAATATATATATTTATACAGATGTTTTAAAATTACTTTTTATAGCACAAAGTGTTTGCAAATACAGAGGGTTTCTGCTGATGCTTGACCGTGCACATGGTGCACAGCCTGAATGAAAAGCATCTTGATTTATGTTAACTGAAAATTTGAAGCTGTAATTCCTCTATCTTCTAAAATCCTCATTATCCTGAAAATTCCAAGTACCCTAAAAATATAGTGTGAGAAGATTCTTGAGTCTCTATTGTCATGCATTTATGAGAAAGGAAATCATTTATTCTAAAACTTTAAACTAACTCACTTATATTCTGTGAAATGATGAGCATAGGCGAGAGCCGGGGTGGGGGATCCAAATGGCCCTTACCCCACTCCCACCAGTTCCTGACTGTGTAGTGACTGGGATCCTTTCTCTAGACCACTTCTTTCAAATTTCCAGTTTCATTTCTTGCAGTTCAGAAAATCTAAGAGGGTCTTGATAACATGGCATGCTTCTGTGAAACTGTCACTGTCCTTTGTTTGTTTTCATTAACTGTATCAGAAATATCTGACTCATACGCATGAAAAACAATCAACATTTCCCTGTGGTCCCTGGAAAGCCTGAGGCTGAATAATGTTATGTCTGCAAAGTGCTAGCAACACGTCCTACGTTCCACGTAGTGCCCTGTACAAGATAAATGATCGAGAGATGTTTGCTTAATTAAATCAAATGTAAAGTATTTTTGGAACCTATTTTTGCATTCAGCCTCATTTCTTAGTAAATCCACTTTAGTCTTTCACTCCACTTATAATGAACTACACGCAGTTCCTTAAAGTTCCCATGCTGGTTCCTGCCTCAGAGCTCAGTGTTTCCTTTGCCAGAAGCAGCCTAGACACCCCTGCTTAATTTTTAAGACTTAGTCTAAGGTTAATGACCCCACCCTCTTCCTCCTCTCCTCAGGTAGGATGACTCCTTTTGTTCCCTAACAGTACTCTACATGGAAACTATTCCTTTTTTCTATCCACAGATATCCTCCTCATTACTGTGAGATCTATAAGGACAGAAAACATTTTAACTGACCTTTGTATCTGCAGTGCCTGGTGTACTGTTGGTACCTAATAAACGGTTTTAGGGAATGTATGTAATGTACCGCAATCACAGAGATAACTGAAGGGCTAGCTAGTACTTAGTGCCATACACTTAAATCCTGTCTCCTTTCCCTTTTGCCAGCCAAGGTTACCATTAGTACTTCAATCTGTTTTATATGCAGTCACGCTGTCAGGAGTAAAGTTTTAGTTTTCCCTTTTCTACCAGTGAACAAGTTAGCCAGAAAGACAGGATAGGAAGCAGGCTTGAAACAATGTTCAGGGAACCCAAAGGTGTCTCCTGGAGAAGGAAAAGGACTAGGCTAACTTCTTTGTTTATTACAAATAGAGGAAATCTTGTCTACTGCCCTGCTAGCATTATCTGTTAGGTTTCTTCCAACTGTATAGTCCAGGGACTTTATGATCTGCTTTTGCTATAAATACATAGGCATGGTGGAAGGAAATGAAACTATACCTCAAACAAGGCTCAAAAGCCTCCAAGAATAGGAGGAATGTAGATCCGACTCCTCTGGTTTCATCTCAGTTACTGCCGTCCAACATGTATTTTCCGTTTGTTTCTTACGGGTTCCTCTCACAGCTGCCTCTTTCACACTGCAGTTGTAGGAAATAGGAACGTCTCTGAAAGAATTCTGAGTTGCATCATTTTAAGGTCGCAGGTTGTAGGTCTGGCCTTATTCATGATTTTTTTTTCTCTGTCTCTGAAGGACAGGATTTGACTAAACATTTAAAAACTATACATTAGCCACATTATCATTTAATTTGGGATTTCAGTTCCTTTGGAGGTGTATCACAGAAAAAGTCACTTGTCTTAAATTTCAGTGTCTCTCACTTTCATCACTTTTCTTGTCAAAAATAATTTTACTTCCCACTTTTGAAAGAATAGTAGTGATTAAGCTCCACAGGAGTCGGCCACCTGTTCTTAGAATTTTGTTTGGTATGGTTCTAGGGCAACTGATGAATGTCTTTCAGTGAATGTCTCAGAGCTGTCAACACATGTGTGTCATGAGGGTGTTGTAAAACAGTGCCTTGGAGGCTCTGAACATGGTTGTTTCCTTAGAAGTTAGGAGACCAAGAGTGATGCAGAGAAAAGTCCTAGGAACAGGATGATAGAACTCCAGATTGTCTGCCCAGAAATTCAAAATGTTGTTGAGACATCCACGCTTCAGAGCTGGGGATGCTGGAGGGTAGGAGTAGGGAGGCATTGCTTAAGTATGTCAAGTTCCAGGTATTTAAGGTAAGATAAGTCGTCTGCTCCTACTTAGGCCAAACATTTCCATGTTGTGCGGGTGCCTGGTTGTCTAGCAGGAATGGAGTAACAGAACAGCAGAGTTAAAGAAAGAGCACACTTCGGATGAGGGAACCAATGCTGACCGAATTCCTTCCAGGACTGTAGGTTATGTATCCAGTGGTGACCCCACAGATAGAAAGTAACTCTTCTCCTCACCTCTCCCAAGGCCAAGGAAAAAGCAAAGAAGGTATCAATCATGGAAAAAAAAATCTGTACATACACCCAGTTTTTCCTTTTATTTACAAAGCAAAAAACCAAATGGCTGTGTGAATATATTTATCCAATGTGCTATAATATTGCATATGCCATTTCCCCTCAAATATGACTTTAGGTTTGGCCACTTTTTCTGACTTAAGCCAAAATTTACTTTTTCTATGAACATGTGATGGTAAGAAATCTGTTTCTTAACTTTAAAATCCTTCCTCCAGCTAAAAGAAATGGTTAAACCTACTCCACATCTTTATCCTCATCTACAGCATCTACAGCATGGGCCAGAATGTACAGCAAACTTGGGCTGTTCTAGAAATGTCTCCTTTTAGCTCTGTAAGGATGGTACCCTCAGGGTACTTCAGAGGAAGCTGACTTGACTCAATCCCAGTGTCCTAACAGAAATTAAAGAAGTTACTCAAAGAACTGAATGTTAAAACAAGGACTCGCTTGCTCTGACAAGCATGTGTGCTGTCTTTTGAGCTTACTAGAACATCTGGCACTGCATAACACGGCATCTGTACCTTGACCTTAGCCACAGACAAGAAAGCCCAGCTGGGAGTCATAGCAGCCACAGATGAAAAGATCTGCCTCTTCTACTACCTGTTTGCACAAACCAAAGGTTTCTCCGAAAACTGCAGATACCCTTCTTGTGTACAGATTTAAAATAAATTTATGTATCTGAACAACAGCTATAGATGTGCCTCTTCTCTACAGATTGTTCTCTCTCACACACATACACACATAAACACACACACACACAGAGTCTGTATCATGGGCCAAGCATACCAAAAATAAATACTTTCACTTCTCTAAATTATTTTATAGAACTAATCTTATTTTTGAAATATGTTAATAAATAATCTAAATGGGGGAGGCAGTTGAAGGTGTTTTTTTTAACTTATGTTGATTGATAGCCACAAAGCATAATCATTTTATTTACAGAAACAAAACCCCCAAACCTAAAAAAGTCCCCCCAGATCAAACATCCTCTGTAAATATAGCATTTAAAGGATGAGTAAGGTACTGTACCATTGGCCTGTTTGGTTATGTACATCGTGTTAGTCGCTCAGCAGTAGCCATTCCATGAATTCCTCATGGGTAGTGCAACCGTTAAAAAGTGTATAAAACATTATACATATAAAAACTCTCACATCCTTTGGATGTCTGCAGTTCGTCATAACTTTGTGGTTACCTTTCCGCAACATAAATTTTTTAAAAGTTACACATACATACATACTCACTCACACAGACCCATATATAGAAACCCATCCATCCAGTCACACATCATCCAGAGAGAGCAGTGCATGGGACTGAACTCCAGGAGGCACGAAGCGGGTGGTCCCATCTTCAGGGGAGGCCGTCATCTTCAAGGCTTAACGCCACTCGCTGGGGAGATAGACCAAAAGAACCCTCATTAGACCCGAAGGAGCCATCCTTCATTATTAAACTGGTAGACATACTAGTATTTTACAGGTTTTGGCTCACATACTCTTCAGGTTATGCCAAGAGACAAAGTTTATCATGCTTATTTTACAGATGAGAAAACACGTTCTTTGAGAAATATTTCTTCCGGGTGACCCTAAAGCTGTAGCTCCTTTCATCATTCTGTCCTATCTCTGTAAAAGAGGGCAGGAAGGATCTAAACTTTCTCTCACAGGATTTTAGACTGGGTCAGCTTCTGTGGGTTCTGTTAATGTTAACTTCTAGGCTGTGAGCAATTTATCCCCAGAGCACTCCTCACAACTAAGTAAGTAGTAACATGCTGCACCCTTCAAACAGTAGAACGAGGTAGTACCAGTCAGTTATAAACTCGCTCTCTCTCCCTCATGCCTATTTTGCAGTCACTGTAATGCCAGACACCTTTCTGCTACAAATGGTCGAGTCCTAGATGGTGAGGCCACTAACCCCTGAGTCAGTCTGTTCCCCGTGGACAGTGGACTTGAATTCTTTCCTATGCCAATGTAAAAGCTGTTTCTTCAGATCTTCTGATAGTCCCTGATTCTGAGTTTCACCCAGGATAACCCTTGAGGTCTATCGTGTTTGAATCCCCTTCCTTTCATTTGGTTCTTGTTTTTTCTCCAGGATATACCTGCAGCTTCTCCCAGCTGGTCCTGACATAATCTTGTTTGCTGCTCTTGTGTCTCCTGGACACCCTCCTTTGGACAGGCCCAAGTTCCATTATCTTTCTCACAGCTAGCTATGTGACTTGGGTGAACCAACTTCCCTGGTCCTTAGTTATGTCTGTCAAATGGGAATAATAGGACCTACCTCCGTAGTTGATAGAGAGCTAAATGAAACAATGCATATAGAGTATTTAACATAATACCTAACACACATGAGGTTTGAAATATCGTATATTGGCCTAAAAGAAATGTCTTCATGCATGTAATTAAAAGAAAGTCCACTCCCTCTCGAGTCCTCTCTGAGTTATTTGTGGTCTTCCATTTCTGTCGTGGCTGTACTCCATTAATAAAGACCTCTAAGACCATCTTTAGTACAGCCACCCTCCTAGCCTCTACAAGGCAAAACTCTAAGCCAAAAACAGGCAGATTGACCCGAGAAAGAGTAGGAGACAATGGTTCCCAATACTGAGTTCCAGAGCTTTCCAGGGCTATTTACCCCAGGATAGTGGGAGGAGCTGGGCCTCCGTGTAGAATTTGAATCCTGGTTTTGCCACTTCTGGCTATGATCTTCAGTGAGTTATTCAATTTCTATGAGTCTCAGTTTTCTCATCTGCAAAATGGGGCTGTAATATGAACTCTAACTGTGACGATTAAATGAGAAAGTATATGTGAAACACAGAACTGTTCTGACACATAGTAGGAGTTCACAAACTATTTCTCACTGTTATCGCTATTTTTATGCCATTGGCAGGAGCTTATTATTTGGGCCTTAGACTCATGATGGGTAACTTCTGAGTCATTTCCTTCTCTGAAACAAGGCCACTTTACAAGTATAAAGTGCTGTGTAATTTATAAACTGCTCTCACACATGCTACCTCACTTGAACTTTCCAAACTTATTAGACAGTTGGAATGGGATTATTATTCTCATTTTACAAATAAAGCTAAAGAGACTTAAGTGACTAAGGTCACTGGCTATAGAATGAGGAGGTGGGAATCACCCTCTTACTCCAAGCGTCTTGCACTGTGCTTTTTTTGATCTTTAAATACTGGTTGAGCAGCTGTTTGCTTAGGCTGGCTGAGGTCAAAGGTCCTCAAGGCCATCTGCTAACCCTCCTCGCTTGTTCGTCTTCATCCTCCATGTTGCCCTTTTATAAACAGTTTGCTTCCACAGCAATTCTGTCTGCCCCCTGCGTGGTCACCGGCTTCCACATGCCCGCTTCCTTCATCTGCGGCAAGCCCACGTCTCCTCCGTGCCCCAACACTCAGCTCACAGTTTACAGCCTTCCGGGATTGGCTGCACCTGCCTAGGTTCGGGCCCTCACTCACCAGCCCCTCAAGGTTAGAGTGGCTCTGCCCTACCTTGCACTTGACGACGGGCAGCTCGGAAAGAGGGTTCTTCGGGAGTTGGTGCAGCTGTGACTTTGGTTCCCCCGGCAAGACAAAAAGCTCCTTGAGGGCAGGGGCTGGGTCTTCCAGTTCTCTGGTCTCCCCAAGACAAGGCTCTGCCCACATTGGGCGATCAAAGCTTCTGATTGCCTGACAGGGGGATGGACCGGATGACCTCTGAGGTCACACTCAGCCCCCTGACTCTGCTATACAACAATGACACCTGCTCAAGTCACTTAATTGTCCTTATTCCCCCAACAAGCCATGCTCTTTTACTGCTAAGCCTCTGTGCATGCTTCTGTCTGCAATGCCACTTCCCTCCTTCTCCAACTGGAAAACTGCCACTAATCTTTCACAGGCAGTTCATCCGTTAGGCGGGTGAGCCAAAACTTGCCCATTTCCCCAGAGAGACTGACTAACTCCCTTGATGTTTCCACATCATCCTTCAACAAGTATTTGTTCAAAGTCAGCTATGCTGTGCTTGGTGCCAGGAAGACAGATTAGTCAGATGAGAGCCTCCTCTCGAGGGTCTCATGTTCTAGTGGGGAGACCACTGGGTAAAACAAGTAGCCTGGAGGGTGGTAGTGCCTGGGTGAGGGGAGGCCCGGGGGACTGCAGGAGGACAAAGCAAGCTGGGGGAAGCTGCGCGGAGGGGACTCCTGAGCTTCCATGTGGCACTTGGCACAGAGTTGTAACATTGGATCTGTGTATCTCTAACTCCCGACCAGCTACTTGGGAACAAGTAGTTCTTTACTTACATTCGAACACTTGATATCTACCATAGTGCTTGGCATGTAACTGGCATGCAGTGTTTTTTGAAATGACTGCATTCAAATTAAATAGCCAGTCACCCTTTTAGGATAAAGGTTCTGAAAATTATTCAGCAGCCACCTACCGCAGCATGTCATTGTTCCCCAAGGTCTAGAGCAGTGCTGGCAACCCTGTGGCATGAGTGCTGCAGTGGGTGGTCTGTATCATTGAAAGCTGTAAACAGTTCATCATCACTGGTCTAGACAGTGCCTAGTACACGGCAGGTTCTTCATAAACGTTGAAGGAATGAGACACAGGGAGGAGGGAGCAGGGAAACGAAGACGCTCTCCCAGCCAGGGTACTTACCGCTGGGTAGACGTGGCCAATCTGAGCAGTCCGCCCTATGTGGAGCTCATCGTCGTCTTCCTCTTCTGTTGTTTTTCTATAGACTGGGTTGTCAAAATTCATGCTCTTTGTGTTCTTCCGCTTCCAGTTTCTCCAGATCAGGTAGCCACTCAAGCACAGCAGGGCTATTACCGCTGGAGGAAAGTACACAATTAGGCTGGACATCTGGGAATCTCCAGCCTAGTGCCCAGACAGCAGTGCAGAAATTGCCATCTCTCCAGTGTTACCAGCCCTTTCTCCACAGGTGGTGCTTCTGCGAGCTCCTTTGCTGCCTGGAAAATTTTCTCTCATCATCTTCCTCCAGGGACCTCTCAGCCTTTGAGATCCAGCTCAGATGGGGAGCTCATCAGGCAGAGTCTGCTCCCTCCTGAGCACTTCTAGACCACAGTATTCTACTTTACCTATCTTTACTCCCAAAGAGACTGAGCCAATTGAAGGCAAGAACTGTCTCATTTATCTCAGTGACCAGTGTCTATCACTGAGGAGTTGCTCAGAGACAGGTGGTGAGAGAATTTATCCCCCATATTGTGTGTCCTAATGCTGCTGCTTCCCTGGGTCACTAGAAAAACCATTCCCTCCCCAAATGGGAGGGTGGAGCAGAGTGGGATGAAGTATTTCTTTCCAAAGCTGGGACTCCACCAGAAAAGCATCTCTAAAAGGAGACACAGAAGGGTGACACAGGCTCTGGGCTACAATAAAGGAATACGCTAATGAGTAAAGGGATGCTCTCTACAACAGAGCTGGGCAAAATTGGGGCCGGCAGCTTTGCAGGTAGTAAGCAATCGCTTGCAGCCTTGCAGGGAAGGCTGGATGATCACCTGTCAGGTGCTCAAGAGGGCTGCTACTTAAGTAAGACTGCACTAATGGGGACACCATTAAAAACAGTAGTGAGAGGAAAATGCTTAGTACTGCTGCTGTTTATTGTCTCAAAAATCTAACTGTGCCATCTGAACAGATAAAAAGTTGACTGAAGCATATAAATATAGGAAAGGGAAAAAGCCCAATGACTATTAACAGATGTTCGTATATATAGAATACACGTTACTAACAGATGTTTATATGAAGCACAAGAATAAGTATTGGAAATAATGTTCAAGAGCCAACATAAATGGACATAAAAAAATCAATAGCTTTCATTTCAATCAATAAGTCAGCTTTCATTTCTAACCAATAAGAAAATATAATGCAATAAAAACACTTTCATAATAGCCCAACAAAAACTATAGAATACCTGGGATAGTCTAACAAGAAATATGTAAGTCTTCTGTGATCTATAAAATTCTACTGAAGGACATAAAAGGAGATAGACATAAACAGATGTCACGTTCCTGGATGGCAAACATCAACATCTAAAACACGTAAATTCTCCCCACATAAATCTATACATCCAAAACAATCTCAATAAAAATCTCATCGTAGTTTTCATAGAATTGATGGTAAAAGTTCATCTACAAGAAAAACCAAACAAAAATATGAAAACTACTGTGAATGTAATGTGTCATATACTCTTATACATAAAAATAGATCATTTGTGGAGTACAGTCCAGTGTGTATGGGAATGCAGTTTACAATAAAGATGACAAGTCAAGTCAGAAAGAAAGGATAGAGGCTGGCGACACACCGTAGTGACAGAATGCCTGCCTAACATACGTGAGGCCCTGCGTTTAATTCCCAGTACAGGAAAAAAGGCTTTAGAGAAACAAGATAGGTGTGTAGAAAATATCAGGAGATATTTATTTCAGTAATTGAGAATGAGGGGCAGGCCTTCTAAACAAGATACAAAACCCAGAATAGCTACACAGATGACTAACAGATCCAATACATAAAAGTTTTAAATTTATGCATAGCAAAAGATAACATAAAGAAATTTAAAAACCTACTACTATCAGACTAGGAGAAAATACATATTATAAAAGTTTTAATGTTTGTGATGTATACATATTTCTGCAAATAAGACAGCCAATAAAAAAGACTGACTAGGCACTTCACAAAGGAGGAAATGGATTAGGATTAGCTCAGTCACAGCACCTGACTAGCATGCATGAGGCCCTGGGTTTGATATCCAGCACCTATAAAAAAGTTACCAAAAAATAAAGGATGAAGTCTAAACAAATGGCCAATCCGGTTGTGAAAAGGTCCTCTCCCCCTCCGGGAAGTAACACTGAGGCTCACCCCTTAGATTAGCGGCTGTGTCAGGCTGGGCTGTCTCGGTGAAACAGCTTGTATGGCTCTTTCGGAGCGCAGTATGCTAGGAATGCGGCTGTCTTTCCCTCGCTCGCTCCACTCAGAATAATCCTGGAGTGACAGCCATCTCACCATGTTTTCTGCTAGAGCCTTTCAAGGCCGATGCCAATGCTGTCCTCTCAGGAGCCCTCTTTCCCTTTGGAGTTAATGTCCACAGGACTACCCTGCAGCTATTATGTAACGTCTCTATCGTAGCACATTATAATGTGTATTAACATCTACTTTGTATGACTGACAGCCTTAAAAGTCTTTTTATTCCCTGCATTCTTAGTACTTGTACAGTGTCTTGAACAGGGGAGAAGTTTTTAATACATTTACTAAGTACACTGAGGATTCCCAAGATACCAAAGTCCCTGACTTTTAAAGTATTCATGGGCAAGTAAAGGAGAGAAACCCATGAACAGACACTCACAATTCAAACATTCTGCCACGAGGTGAGGCTGGTGTGACTCTGTGACTATCAGGGTAGGAGAATGAGTCAGCCCTGCGGTTCTGTTTGAGGTCTTAACTGAGGTAATGTCCTGGTCCACACCACTTCCCTGTCCTGGCTTTGCTTATGATGTCTTCACTGTTTGGACTGCTCTGGATCCTTCTCCCCTGGGCTGACTGAGCCCAAGGATCACTGCCATTAGAAAAACCTTCCCAGGCCTCTCAGCTTCTCTTCCAGTCTAAGCTAAGTACTGTCCATATGCATCTTTAAGTACACATAGCTTGATCTTAGGATTTACCATGTCATAACAAACTGTTTTATGTGTTTCTTCAACAAAATTTTAACTGTATAGGAAAGGACCAAGTCTTACTCATCTCTAGCCACTTCCCCTGCCTTATCACAAGATAACATATAGTAACTGCTTGGTAAATGTTTGTTGAAAGTCAAACAGTAAGGAAACAGGACAATATGACCTATTCAAGGGATGGCAGGCAGCTCTCCTCATAGTGCGACAAATAGTTAATCTTCTACTATGCACCAGACATTGCTAGGAGTGAAGGGGAGGTGAGCTGTACACAAGTTGTGAGCCCTGTGCCCAGGGACAGGTTATTAAGTGTGAATAAGGGGTGAAGACAGATGCAGATGGGTGGTTGCTGTGACCGGGAACCTTGAAAAACCTTTTATGCAGCTAAGAAACCAAATTAGATCATGCCTGGGAGGGAGCAAGACGTCTGCCTGGGAGAACAAGTCAGGCAGGCGGGTCAGGATGCCAAGTTCTCTATCCTTTTAGCACCTTTCCCCTGGCCCTGGGCAGACTCTCTTCACACTCACCTATGGGCACAATGATCCCAATGACAGCAGCAGTGACAGTTGAGCCCATCTTGCCACCTTCATTGCCATCTGCAAAGCACAAACATTTACTCTATCAGTGTGAATCCAAGGCCTGACTGGCCTCAAACAGTAAAAGCCAGCAGCTGCTTCTCTTTGTCCTCACTCTAAAAGGATGAGTCTGGCTAATGCATTATAACTCAAATCCCCAGATCCTTAGACTCCTGTGAGGCAAGCAGAAGGGGGGGGGGAGTCAAATCTTACAAATAAGCAGTCAGCTGGGACTGAACCGGACTTGTGACCCAAATCCCATATCCCCAGGCAGCGTCACAGTGGTAGGAAGCCGGGGGTGTGTGGTAGGGTGAACACGCCATGCTGCTCACTGACTGGATCGGTTGTACTTTTCAGCCAGTATTTGCTGCACTGTCCTGTTGGTTTTGGTGGTCTGTCTGTCCATTATTAGCATTATTAGCTTAGCTTCCCTAAGTAATTAAATAGGTCATAATAGTGTAGTGGACTCCAGAGCTCTTGGAGCAGACTTCTTGGGTTCAAATCCCATTTCTACTACTCACTACCTCTATGACCTTGGGCAAATTTACATATAGAATCTATCAAAAAATGTATATATCATGAAAAAAGACTTGCATAAATATTTTAATGCTAAGTTTACTGAGACATCATGAGATTAATACAAGTTACCTTTGGCCTCTACAATTACGAAAGGTGCTCAAGGCGGAAGCTGTTTGCTTCCGGATATTTAGTACTATGGCAAATTGCTGAAGTGCATACACATTTTTTGGCAGACTCTGTATATGATGCTGTACTTATTTACCTTGAAAATAAGGACAATGATATTATCTACTCCTTAGGAATGTGTAAAGATTAAGTGAGATAATATAAACTACTCAGCACTGTGCCTGGTACAGCTTTGCAGAGTTCAAAGAACATGGTGAGAGGGGGGTTGTTGTGAGGCCTAAACTTCACACGGCATGTGGAAGCACATTCTATACTGAAAAGTGCTTGGAAAGTGCACGGTATTTTTAAAAGTACGTCCATCATTCATATCCTTACATTCATCTTCATTATAACATCTATACAATAGTTTAACAAGCTCTGAGGCATGCAGAGGAGCTATTACCCACATTTGCTCTGAATGAGGAGGTGACTGCATTGTTTGGCAATGTCCTGGATTCTGTCCTTTCAGCATGTCTAGCTCTCCAAGTTACCCCAAACCATGTGACTATTCAGGGGAGGAAAGGCCTGCACTGCTCACAAAGCTAACTGCGGATGTGCTCCAGACCGAACACGGGACAGGGCTTTTAAACCTCATGTAGATGAGGCTGGTGTGGGAGGCTAGTCAAAGGTTCTGCCCCCAGGTGTGTGGGAGTGGAATTCCTATGTGTTCCACCTGCCTCTCCACACTTCAGGGTGAGTGCTCAACCCTGAGAATCTGGATTCCCACAGCAGAGCAGGCCCAATCAGAAAGATGTCATCAGGCTGCTTGGTGTCTGGGCCATTTATGTATAGAAAAAAAATGTTAAACGTAACATCCTTTTAAATGAGCTCCCCCTGTCAGGTTACTCAATTAAAAAGGTATTTTCTGGTTAACGAAATAGAACAGTTCTAACAGTGACAATTATAACATCCAATGACTTCATAAGTAGTGAACTTAATCATTTTCGTAGCAGGGTTTAGACACAGGCACAAGCAGGCTGTGATTGTAGATGCTACTATGTGGGCAGCTCCCTGAGGCTGACAGGAGCTGAGAGCAGAGCTTGTAAACTCTGAGGGACACCCCCTCACGCACCCATCAGTGCCTCAGGAAGCAGACACACACACCCTGGCAGCAGGGGCCACGTGAGCACTTCCTCCTCAGCCTCTGCGGGCAATCCTGTGGGACAGGTTGGGGGTGGTTCTTTTTTCTCCTTTGTTGGATAAGAAATATGCTGAGAGACATGATGTAGACTTCCTGCAGACCCTCTGTAAGTTAAGGCCACTCAAAACTCCTAAACCTCAGGCTGGCACTCTCGTTTCCTCTGCTTCCTCCCGGAGACACACATTTCCAGCTCTTGTGTGGTCTCTCAGCACCCCACACACCCCGACCTGGCTCCCAGAGGACCCTCCCATGTCATAAAGAATGCAGCGCTCATTTCCTTACAGTGCTGGGAGTGGTTGCTGGTTGCAGGGCTCGGGGTAGACGGGCTGACGCTGGGAGCCCTGGGGACACTAACTGAGCTTGGGGCTGCAGCGGTCAGACTTGGTGTCTCTGTGGTGTGGTTCTGGTAGGTGGAGCTGTAGATGGTCGTTCCAGGGGCTCTTGCGGTAGCAGCTACTGTCCTTGTTGTAGTAGAAGCCAACGTTGTAGTTGAGGTAGATTGAGGTGCTAGAAAGGAAGACCATGGAGGTCAACGGACAGAGCATTTTGTTGCTTTCGTGGTAAAAGATACTGCCTCTATGAATTAGATATAGGAACTCAACCTCAGGGCTCAGCTCAAAGGCTACTTCTGTGAAGCCTTTTCTCATCCCCTACATGGGCTATGGTCTTTTCAGCAAGTCCTAAGCGCTTCCCTTTGATTGGGTAAAGATGAGTCATTTTAGAAACATTTTACCCTGATACTGTTCCATCACTGGTATAAAGTTTTCCTCCACTTTAAACAACTGAACCAGGAAATCATAAACAGTGCAGCAAACTTGTGCTCACACAAAAGGCTTTGGCCATATATCACAAGTGGGAAATAGACGTAATTTCCAGGTTGCAGTATTTTCTGGCTACTAGCCCAAATCATGCAGCGAAACTCTTTATGTAGTGTTTCAGTTCTAGGTAAGAAACAGGCAAGGTTATAGTTATCTGTATATAAACAGTAACTGAAGCTGTGGAGATGAAGGGTTTTGAACTTTAAGTTTTCAAGGGATTCCAGAAATCACCTGAAATTGAATTTAAAGTGTCTTATCTACATGTGCATTTAGCATTGAAAGAAGGTAAAATACAAGGGAGCATGCAAAGGTAGGGAGTGCCCAGAGAAGAGAGGACACCCAGGAGCACACTGTATCACACGGTGGACACAGCGGGCCCTGACACGCCAGGGGCCACCCCTCCTGAAGCCCTGCTTACCTCGGTAGCACCTCTTCATGTCTGGGCCCAGCCACATCGTGTCAGGACAGGCACAGGTATACTTGACAGAGGAGCTGGGTATCTGAGGAGCAGGAAGGCACAGGTACTCACAGCCTCCATTGGGCTGGGCACTCAGCTGGCAGGCATCTTCAGCTGAAGGCAGAGAGTGGGGAGGTCAAGGCACATGCAGGGCACGCTGGGTGGTCCCGCTTCCCAAGGATAATGCCCACCTTCCAGCGCTGTGCCTAGTGTTTCATCCCCACTCTTATTTGATTCTTAGTATTCTGAGATCTGAGTGTTACGTGCCATATTGACAAATAAAGCCGCGTAGGCTCAAAGAGAACAGACTTGTCCAAGATATACCTCAAGGAATTTTGTAGACAGAATTTAAACTGCAGTATGGACTCTAAAACCGCTGTAGGCTTTCCTCCTCATGTCATAAGCCACCGTGTCTCTTATTTAAATTTCTAGCTGTAGAATCAGGAACTAATCTGACCTCCTTACACTCCTTTGCTTTCCCACCTTCACACGGGCAGCCAACACCTTAGCTGCAGTTAGGATTACCGTTTCCTAGTGATAAAGGAGGAGACAACCTAATCACAAGACTCTTGGATTCTATCCTAGCCAACAAGCTAAATTACAATGTGATCCTAGAACACATTAGTTTATACTACTGCAAAATGGGTACAAATAGAATTATGAAAAGCACTGTGTCATGGTGGAAAGCACTTTGGAGCTGAATGAACCTGTATTTAGGGTTCAGTTCTGCTGCCTGCTAACATTATTTACCTCTCTGAGCTTCAGTTTCCTCAATTGTTACTAAGGCTAATATGCATACTTTGTATTGCCAAGAATAGGAAATGTATTTATTTATACCAGATTTATTTCACAAAGATCTGGGGCAGCGAGACAAAATATGTGATGATAATGTATTCTACAGCAAGAGAGATTGTTATTCTTCCTGGAGATGCTGAGTCATGATATGAATATGAATACAGCCCACCTAGTGGAGGTGGAGGGTGGTGGCAAGTTACCAGGGAGGAGGGAGCGCTCACCTCTTGGCTGCTTCAGCTCATGGAAGATGACAATGTCATGTGGGTTATTGAGGTTCTCAGCTAGGATGGAAATTTCTAGGCCGGTAAGCCGATTTGCACTGAAAATGGCCTCATTCTCCAGGTCTGTCCAGAACACCTTGTCCTGTGGGGCACAGATGCAGAGGATAGGGAGCCTAGAGCTTCAACTTATGATGTCAGTCTGAAAACCTGGCCCCAAACCATAGTGACAAAAAGCGCCCTGGCCTCTCCCCTGACTATTCTTTTTTTTGGCTTTTTCGTTTTTATCGGTACCAGGGATTGAACTCACGACTGCCTGCTTACAAGGCAGGCGCTTATGCCGCTGAGCTAAATCCCCAGCCTCTCCCCTGACTATTCTATCCACAGATTCTCAATGGGACTGTCACCCTCTATGTATGAGGTAAACTCTCCTGGTTTCTGTCTGAGAGGATCAGCTGTAATTCTGTGCTCTGACCAGAAGACCACTAACTGACTAATGGCAACTGACACCTGCCTCCTGGAGCCAGCAGAAACCAAGGTTGGATTTCTTTAGTCATTACAGGCACCTGGGATGAAGACTGGAGGGGATGTGTGGGCTACCAAAGGATGGTGGGGCTTCCAGAGGCCCTGGGTAGGCACACACAAGAGTCTACATGGCTGAACTGATACAAGCCTAGACAAGCATGTGAAGGTAAATCCATGTATCCTTATACACAGATCCAGAACATCTATAGCCAAGTGTTAGTCTACACACATAAAGCCATACTTGTACCTAAATAAGCTTATCTAATTCTGGTGTACATATTTACACTCACAAACTCAGCACATAGAGGAACACACACTTTCCCTCTGATGTGTTTAGATATACACACGCACATACATTTACTTGACACATGCCACAACTACACTCAAGCACACATACAGGTGTCCAAATACAGCTGTCTTTTGAAGCAGGAGCTAGACTTAGAGGTGGAGCTCTGCTCACAACTTCAGAGCAGTGCTAAGTGAAACCACTCCAAGAAAATTCTGCCCGCTTCTACCAGAGAGCAAGTCCTTTTGCTTTCCCTCCTCTTGGTGGCAGTCGGTTTTATGGGAGAGGTAGATGTGGGAAAAACTTGGTAGTTTTTGGCTTTTTCATTCCCCAAGATGTTGTTAGGGTCACGGCACAAGAGGGTCTTGACTCCTCATCTTTCTGAAGTCTAGAATACTGTCTGACTCACTGGTGTGAGCCTAAGGTCCAGCAAAGGTCAACAGAAGTATGCTAAACTGCAGAGCATCTAAGCCATTTGCTACAGTAAAAAAATTCTCTGACAATGTGCACTGCTTCTTCTCTTCCTCCCTGCCCTGGGCACCTTTTGGGTATGTCTGTGGTACGGTCCTGGGTACTCAGAGTGCAGAGAGGAGCCTCCATGTCTAGCAGCTCACCTATAGAAGGACTATGAGAAAGTGCTCTAGGGAGGTGAGCTCAGGGAAGCTACCAGGCAGACAATGGACCGCAAGGCCTTTTTATACAAGCAGCCTTCGGTTTGTGTACAAACATCTGAGCTGCCTTCCGTTTCTTTGCTTCCCTTCTGACGCCTCTCCAGCCTTCAGCTTCCGGTGGGACCACGCATTCCCTTACGGTGCTCACCTCAAACACAGCTATCCCAAAAGGGTGGCTCAGGAAATCAGAGGAGGAAATGAGTATCCTTCTGTTGTGTCCGCTGAAGTCAACGCTGGCCAGCTCATGCCGCTTGGAGTCCACCCAGTACAAACGCTGGTTCAGCAAATCTTGGGGAGGAAGAAGGCAAGGAGGGATTAAGTCATCAACCTGGGACCCCAACCTGCACCTCTGCTGTCTACTCCCACATTCCCAGGCCTCCTACTGAACCCAGCCTAAGGCAACACTCATCAAGGAACGGAGGCACTAGTACCATGAGGGGACCCAGAAAGGAGACCCTTGGGGCTCTAACATCAGGTGAGAAGTGGGCTCCCAACCCAGGGAGGCAAGACTCACCCAGGGCGATTCCATTGGGCCATTCAATATTGTATGACACCAGTGTTTGCCGGTCCATGCCGTTGAGCCCAGCCTTCTCGATCTTGGCCTGGTACCCCCAGTCAGACCAGTACATGAACCTGAAAAAAGAACCCCATTTGGCTTCTTGGTGGGGACACGGTTGGGGTGGTCTGGTCCCAGAAGCTCAGTGACCCACAGAATAATTGCAGATTATGCTTAGTGAGCACTGGAAAGCCCTCTGAAATCCCCTGGCAGTATCAACTCACAGAAGTGGAAGGCACTATCTTCAGCTCATTTGTGAACCTAAGGAAAGCCAGATTCCCATGACTCCACCCAGCCTTGGCTATAGAGCCTCTGAGGTCATCTCTCCCCTGTGGCAGCTTGAAGCAGAGTCCTAGAGGATCAGTGTGGGAAGTTTACAGAGGAGGGGGGAAGACCTTCCCAATGAAGTAAGGCTCCCTACTACTGACTCAGGCCTACTCACCCAAGACAGTGCGTCAAACCGTACAAGCTCCTTTGTGAATAGCCCCTTTACTAAGCTCTCCCCCAATTATCTTCAGCCAGTATGTGGTAGGTTTCCTGCTGGGACTCGGACAGACCTCAGTGGATTAGAGGTAGATATAATCAAATGGCTGAGGGTAAAAGACATCACGGGTGCCACACAGGAACAGTGAGCAGGGCTGAAGTGAGGCTCACGGGACACTCAGTCAGAGCAGCTGGAAATGTGAAGGGAGCATCTGGGAGTGAGGACCCGGGACCTCACACACCCTCACACCTGGCTGGCCCCAACACCTGTGCTCACCCAAAGAAGAGCTGCTTCTCCCTAGCAGCTAAGCGAAACAGTAGAAGAAGCTGGTGACATGGCTGCTAAAAAACTGATGCATCCTAACATATCTCCCCTGAGGAAGGGAGAGGGTCCTGTTCTGTTCAGAATTCCTAACCTCTAAAACGGAGCTGTGGCCAGAACAAGGTAGTGAGGTGGGGAGGGTGCGAAGGAGCTGGGTAGCTGGGGCAGAACAGACCAGTGACCTGGTCCTCAACTCTTGCTGGCTGTCCTGCAGGTAACTCTTTAGGAAGTTATAGAGAGACAGGTTTGGGGTTGTGGGTGGGGGAGCCACTTTACATAATGAAACAGGCCCTAAGGGAAGAAACAAGCTCCCTGCCCCTGGAGTGTGAGCAGCTGCCAGATGCCTGTGGCAACCTGAGGAGAGGCCTCTGTCCCAGGAGCTCCTACCAGGCCATCTCCCGAGGCCTGCTCTGCTCTGAGTTGTTCCTGTGCTGTGATAAAACGAGTGAGTAGGGCATCCAGAGAGAACCTGGTGATTAATGCCCAAAACCCTCGAGTGCGTTGGAGGGGAGGTTGACAGGTAGCAGGTGAGGGATACAAGCAGACTTTCGTCTTCAGGGCCTGTGTCCCAGGGGCCAGAGCCTGCCTTCTGCAGCCTCCAAGATAGCTCTTGTGACAAAAACATGACAACTGAGCACCCACAGTGGTCAATGAGAAGTCTGGGTGGGGACACTCACCCTCGCAGGGGGTCAACAGCAATCGCCCGGGGTTCACTGAGGTCTCGGCTGAAGAGAGTACATCGGCGGCGACCATCAAGTGTGGCCACTGAGATGGTCTTGTTACCCGAGTCTGTCCAGTAGATATGCTTGTGGACCCAGTCCACCGCCAGGCCCTCTGGAGAGTGCAGCTGCTCACTAATGAGGACCTCCTGGTCTGCTGGGTTGCTGGCCTTGTCCATGTTGGCACTTAGGAGAAATGAGAGCTTGCCATTGGCTTATGTTCCACCCATGGTCCCATCTGGAGCTACCTGTGCACCTGTCCCTTTCACTGCTTTCTGAGTCATGAAAGTAGCTTTTAGAGGAAATGGGCTAAGTTCTATCCAACACATTCCCTAGGCCACCAGGGGGTAATATAGGCCTGAGTCAGCATAGTCTCTGGTCTGGTGGTACTCAATTTAGTAGGAGACAGCAGCTTACAGCCAGCCAGGCCTGTTGCAGTGTAATTCCACCAAGCATCAGAGGTTGTGGCAGCAGGGAAATGGAGACCTCATCATCCTGGAGACCAGGAGAAGACTCTGAAGAAGTCCTGAAGGACGAGTTTACCAGGGTAAACACAAAGGCAGAAAGCTCATCAGGTAGTGTATGCACATGCTCAGGTCCAGCATGCTGTGGATCTGTGAGATGTTCAGTAGGGCACAGCTGGCTTGTGGAATGTAAGACGCATGCAGGCAGTGCCACATCCTGATCAGCTCTGGGTAGCACGCTAAGGCACTGGGACTTTATCTCAGGCCGAGGAGGGAGAGTGGGTAACTAAGCAGGTCCAAGCACATGATGGGACAGGTGTGTGAGGCCACCTGTGGGGTGGATGGGTTGCAGGAGGAGGAAGAGAAAGCAAGGAAACTGGGGAGGAGGCTGTGGTGCACATGACAAAGCGGCCCTGCAGGCAGGGAGACAGTGAGGATGGACAAAGGGACTGATGGTACACAGATACTGTAAGGCACCAGGAACAGGACTTTCCTGAATACTGTTGCTCTCGAGGCTTTCTTCTCCTTCATGCCCTCTTTCTCATGACTAGTCTCACAGTGTCTGCTGCTGTCCATAATTCTGACTCTCCAAATCCAACCACTTTGAACTCAGTGTATCCAAACCATTCATCCTCATTTGCTCAGCTCCTCAGTTAGACAGACTGCCCAGCCCCTCGCCCGGTCCTCCTCCAGAGCTTCCATCTCATAGAACGGCAGCACCATTCACAAAACTCCTCCCCTGGAGATCCTGCAGATTCCCCCATCACCCTTAGGTTAATTTTGACTCTTTCACCCTCAGCCATATATCCAGTCACTCATCAAGTCCTCCTCTTCTAACTAAGAATTGTAGCACACATCTATAATCCCAGTACTCTAGGAGGCTGACACAGGAGGACTGCAAATTCTGCTCAGCCTGGCAATTTAGCACCTTAGCAAAACCCTCTCTCAGGAAACAAACAAACAAAAAGGCTGGGCCAATGCAAAGGCCCTGGGTTCAAGTCCCAGTACCAAAACAAAAATAAAAAACTCCTCCTCTTCCAGTTTCAGCTGTAAGACAGGTTCTGCTCCAGCTGGGTCTGTGTGAACAGATGTGAACTCGTGTGGCTCTGTGCTGGGGGAGGTAGGAATCTAGTTGTCACAGAATAGCACTTGGTGTATTGGCTTCCACCTACTCATCTCCCCATCCATCCCATCATACTTGCAGCGGTCACTCAGTGTGTAGCCAGTGTCTGCTGATTAGCAGTCCTGCCACCTAGAAACTAGATCTCAAGCAAGAAAGGACTTGGCTGCTGACATGCAGGGAGGATGTTGGTGGCAAATGAGACAGGAGACTTCCTAGAGCATGTGAGGAGCCTCCCCAATGCCACCATCCACTGCTGTGGCCACAGAGAGGTCACACACAGGGGTGCGGGGATACTGCCTTTCAGAACGATTTCTCAGTCCTCAGATTGGGCCAGAGGTCCCCTCTGTACTTCCCCTGTCACCATAGTGGAAGTGGAGTCTCCAGCCAAGGATCAGATCTGAGTCACCTTTGAGTCCTTGGGGTCTGACACACAGATGTGTGAGCTGCATTGAAAGCTTGGTTAGAGCCTGGGAGTTCTTCCTTTTAGCCATGGTCGGACAGTTCCTACGTCTTATACTTCCCCGAAGTGGTCAGACACAGGCCAAGTGTGTGGGCTCAGAACTGCTCTCCCACTGGAGCAGTCAGCCCAGGCTGGCCCAGCGGGGGATGTCCTGGTGTACCAAGCCACAGTGACCCTGCATCTGTTCCCAAGCTCAAGGCCACTCTTCTTCTCCTGCTGCCCACCACCCCTCACCACTGTCCTGCTCCGGCAGTGGGGGCTATGCCACTCACCTGTAGATCTTGCGGTAGGAGAGGTCACACCAGTAGATGCGATTGGTGGCAACCTCCACATCTAGGGCCACAACGTTCTTGAGCATAGGGATGAGACGTGAGTAATCCCGCTTCACCAGATCTATCCGCTGCACCTCGTGCCGGTTGGTAAAGATTAGAGACGGGTTCTTGCCAGCTGCCGAGCAGGGAGGTTTAGAGGGTCACTGCAAAAGGCAGGGAGTCTGGCGACCAAAGTCTGCCATTAGTGTACTGTGTGACAGCTCATTTTCCTTTGTGATAATCTCTGCCTGGTAGTGGAACACATGAGTTGAGTACCAGAGTATAGGATGCAAAGCACTATGCAGGACAAAACTTACTTCCTTTTCATTAACCACAAATTCTCCCAAGGCTGTTATGACATCTCCTCCTTAGGCCTACACCCAAGTCCATGTTCCCTGCTCAGCCTCATAACCCGCCTCTCTAATGCATCTTGCTTCTAGCTCCCAACACCCATTGTTACTCCCACCAGCACGGGGCAGGGCTGCATTGTCACAGGCCTCTGCTCACATCCTCCCTTTTGCCCAGGATCCATTTCTTCCCAGCAACTACTCCCTTCCCTGCATGTCGTCCCCTCCCCGTCCCCGGTTCAAACAGGAAATCTGTGAGCAAAGAAGTGTTCAGAAAGATGATTCCATTTGCAGGATAGCAGATCCCTAGAGAGGGTGCTGTGGGCCTTTCTATTCCGCAGACATGACAAGAGTTGACGCTGCAAAGACTGCAGGGCTGGGCAGTGAAGCTGGGTGCAATCTGTTCTCTACCCTGAACCAGTGGCAGAGGTAAGACACGTATGACATCTGACAGATGGCAATTACAACTGCCCAGATAAACACAAAACCCATTTTTAGACTTATCGTTAAGAGTGTTAGAAAGATCTCCAGGGGCCTAGACATTCCTGGTGAGTCCATCTGGAAGGTCACCATCCCATAGGCTATGAGCAAGGGCTCTGGCAGAGGCTGCCCCAGGCTCTTTAAGATGAATCGGGTCCCAATGCCCTGAGTGGTAGCTCCTAGCAACACCTGCCCCCAGATCTGCCTGTAGCTTCTCCCTCTTGTTTCCAACTACCATTTCTGCTGGCCACCTGGTCCCTGTCTGCACATCTATGCCAGGCTGGTATGTGCCTTGAGGGCATGACTAGCCCAGCACAAAGCCAGGTAGGTGCTGGGGCCGGGCATGCACCATGATGGAGACTATCTCAGGATGGGTGAGAGGGAGGCCGGGACACGAATGCAGAGCACAGAAAATGGAGCTCAAAACACAAGAAGGGGCAAGGAGGAAAGCCGGTTACAGACCTAGCTCTGTTCCCAACAAACTGTGACCCTCCTCACCCCAGATAGGAGCAATGTCACTTTTCCTCTCTGAAGTCAGGAGCCAGGTGAGGGGGGCACCTGGAGGTGACTTTGAATGTTAGCTGTGACGTAACAGTATCCTATGTGTTTGTGATTTGAGTTCTTCTGAACTGTACTTTATCCGTATGAATGGCTTTTTTGTATACATGACATCTGTCCCCACATGATGTGCTGCATGTCACGTCCTACGCAGAGATAAAAACAGGTAACATGGTGAATGTGTGTTACATGGCCTGCAATATGGGTGATGTTTGGGGGGTTACAGGCTATAGTTCAAGCCTTGTGGCTTTTATGCTGTTAAAATCTATGTATTTTTTATTTATTGTGTTTATGTATAGCAGTTCCAGACTCACGTAGCCAACTGACTACTCAGTACCTCCACCTGGACATCGGAACAGTTTTCTGACATTCAACATGTCCCCAGCAGTCTGGCCATGCTTCCCTCACCCTCTTTCCCAAGTATAGAAATAGCAATCCTATTTCTTCAGTTTTTCAGCTTTTTCAGCCAAAAATCTCAAGAATCATCTTTTACTCCTCCCCTGCCCACATTTAATTTGTAAGAAAAGCTAGTGGCTGGCCTTCAAAGTGTACCACAATCTGTCCACTTCTCAGCGTTCCCACTGCAGCCACCCTGGCCCAAGCTACACCACTTCTGTTCTGCATCACTACAAAAACCTCCTCTTTTGGCTTGTGTCTAGATGTCCCCCCAAAGCTTCATGTGGTCATAGGTGGGGCTTTCTGGAGGTGGCTGGATCTGGGGTATGTGATGTTGGGATCAGGGATGTAATGCTGGGGTTGATTCATGGGAAATGCTAGGATTAAGGGTGTCCCACCCTGGGTGTGAGTGCCACCTGCCCTAAGGGTGGGTACCTGGACAGGACACAAGGGACAAAAGGGGCTGCTGCTTTCTCTTGCTGCTTGGCGACTTCACTGTTTTACTGTCTTCTGTCTGCCATGAAGTGTTTCTTCTCTCTGACGCCCCTCTGCCACAGCACTTTACCTTGGACCCAGCTAACAGTGGACTGAAACCTCTATAAACTGTGAGCTAAATAAACCTTTCCTCCTTTAACTTTGGATATCGGGTATTGTCTCAGCCACAAAGACACCTCCTAAGTGATTTCCCATTCCCTTCCTTGAGCTCTGCAGGCTGCTCAGACTCTACAGCCAGACAGAATCCCAACGGCGCTCCACATTCTTCCCCCACTGTGAGAAGTCGAGTCAGCCCTTGTGATACGCTTTATAAGACTGGCCCAAATCACCTCTCTGACTTCATCTCTTCCTAACACACTGCCCCAAGTACAATGGCTTCCTCACACTCTCCTGAACACCCCAGGAAGGTTCCTGCCTTAGGGATTCATACTTTCTGTTCCCTTAGCCTGAAATGCTGTTCCTGCAGATCACTGAGTACCTTAACTTTCCTGCCATCTTTACTCCAATGTCACTATTGTAGTGAGGGTGCCCCTGACCATTCCATTTAAACCTATAAACTACCACCCTCGACCTCCTTGTCCCTACTTTCTACTTAATATTTCTCCTTAGCCTTTATCCCCATCTGCAGTGTACTGCATTTATTTATTTATCTGATCTCTAGTCTGTCTCACTCATTAGAATATAAGTCCAATGGATTAAAGATCTAAATATTAAAACAGTAACACTTAAATCTGCTGGGAGACAAAACAGGTAAAACTCTTAAAGACAGAAGTGTAGGCAGGACCTATACAGAAGCCTGGCTACATTAGAAATAATACCAAAACTCAACCAATGAGATCACATCACATTAAAAAACACAAGCAGCATGAAGAGACAACTTAAAGACTGACAGAACATTTTGCCAACTACTTCTTAGACAAAAAGACTAATACCTAGAACATATAAAGGCCGAAAAAAATATACCCTCCAAATTTAAAGACCCAATCAAAAAATCGGCATATGAAATGGGCAATAAATATGTAAAAAAAAATGCCCAGTGTTGCTGGTCACTGGAGAAATGCAAATGAAAACACTGAATGGCAGGCATAGTGGTACATGCCTGTAATCCCAGGACCCAGGAGGCGGAGGCAGGAGGAGCACTATAAGTTCAAGGCCAGCGTGGGCTACATAGTGAGCTCAAGGAGAGCCTTAACTACAGAGAGAGCCTGTCTCAAAAATAAATAAATAATTAATTAATTAAAATTTAAAAATGTTTTTTAAAAACAACATTGAGGTTCCATCTTACTCCAGAAAGAATGGCCATTATCAAGAAATCAACCAATAACAAATACTGAAGAGGCTACAGGGGTGCAGGAGGGGGTAAGAGCCCTTCTTCACTGTTGGTAGGACTGTAAGGTACAACCACTATTAAAATTAGGATGGAGACTGTCAAAAACTAAAAGTAGAAATTCTATCTGACCCAGCTATTCCCCTTCCAGGTATCTTCCTGAAAGAGTTAAAGGCATCATATTGCAGTGATACATATACACCCATGTTTATAGCAGCACAATCCATAATAGCTAAATCTTGAAGTACCCTGTGTATTTCCATCGACAGATATATGGATAAAGAAAATGTGATATTCATACATAATAAGAGTACTACTCTGCCAGGAAGATAAACTTGAATCATCTGTAGGAAAATGGGTTCACTATCATGTCAAATGAAGTTAGTCGGTGACACAAGCAAAAAACAAACAAAAAATCAGTCACACAAGCGTAAACATCTCATGATTTCTCTTATATAAGAAACCTAAGACTGGGGCTGGGGATTTAGCTCAGCGGCATAAGTGCCTGCCTTGCAAGCAGGCAGTCGTGAGTTCGATCCCCGGTACCGATTAAAAAAAAAAAGACAAAAAAATTGAAGGAAACAAACAAACAAAAAAAGGAAACAAAAAGGGAAGAAACCCAAAATATAAATAAGGCAGACAATAGGAAAAATGTTATTGTAATGCAGAATGTATCTAAAAGTATACATTGACTTATACTAAAAGTATAATTGTTTTATACTTTTGGTCTGTTACTTTAGTAATATGTATTTATAATTTGATAAATGCTGAAAAATCTGATGCTGGCAAAAAAAACAAAAAAACAAAAAAAACGTGTTGTGCACATGTACCAACTCCCCACAGCGAATAACATTATGCATTGCAAACATAATAATGAAAATAAATTTTTAAAAAATAAAATAGCAAAATAAAAGGAAAGGAACATAAGTCCATGACTCTGCTTACTGTTTAATCCCCAGTGTCTATAACAATGTTAGGTATTCAAAATAAAGTCGAGCACAATGAATTAATTCAGTTGGCTCAGGTTATCAACATGTGGATCTGCATCCATCACACTCTTTGTGTCTGTGTGCCCAGGTCATGTCTACACGTCGTGCTCTACAGGCATCACTTCCACGGGCTGTGTTAGGCAGCCCTGTGTGGTGTGTGTGGCATCAGTGTGGGGCTTACCATGTGTGCAATCTGCTTTCTAGGTGTGTATGCACATATACATAGCTATTCTCATGTACATGGGGACATGTAGCTCCCTGTCCCTTCTCAGAGAAACGCCCCCTACCCTTGGGCATCCATACCCACGGCCTTGCAGTTCTTGGTCAGTGTGTCCATCTCATAGCCCGGGTGGCACTCGCACTTAAAGTATCCCTTGTAATTCACACAGATCTGGCTGCAGACGTCTGGGTCCTCACACTCGTCTATGTCTGTGGGGAGGAACAGAGGTCAGAACCAGCAAGAAGATGTGTCTCCGCGTGGGCAGGTAGGGAGAGTCTCACCGCCACAGGTCTTGTTGTCCAGAAGACGGAGGCCCGCCGGACACGAGCACTCAAAACCCATCTTGAGGTCAGTGCAGATGTGGGAGCAGCCACCGTTGTTGTGTAGACACTCATTCAGTCCTGGAGAAGGATGCAGGCTCCTGAGGTCCGAGAGCCCAGAGAGTGGGGCAGGCAGGTGCAGAGCCCAGCATGGAAGCACAGCCGGGGTAGCAGAACCCGCACACTGCCAGGATGGCTCAAGACCTCACTGAGCCTAAGCCTCAGGCCTCTGTTCAATGCCAGACACAGACAGGGATGGGAGAAACAGAGCTTGGGTTCTTGTGTTCCCAGGCTAGGGCTTTATCCACCACCAGGCTGGAGGCAGCTAGGCCTTGCCTGGGCCTCAGGTCTTTCCTTTCGCGTCCACATTTCTTGCTGTGCTCCTTCCTCATAGCCCTGAGCTCTTGGAGGGGCTTCCACATGTGACGTCTAACCCTTAGTCCCAAGAACACCTTCTCAGAGAGCTCACGCTCCCCTTTATGGGTCACTTCCTCCCAGGATCTGCTTTCTGTAGGCTTGCTTTGCCTCCCAGCTCTGCAGTGTGGGGTTGGCCATGGTGCAGAGGCTCCTTTAAAACCTCCTAAAGATGCTGGTTTCTAGTCTCTTGCCATTCAGATCCCCTTCCCTGGACACACTCCACCTGTCCATGTCCCACTCTGGGCGGGGCCCAGAGCTAGTCAGCTGGCCAGAAAGAGTCTAAACATCGGACGGCCCCACATCCTTACGGTACCTCAGACTACCATGCCTGGCCTTTCCCTACAGTGATGTACTGCCAACCGATTCTTTTCTACCACGAACTAAATTAAAACAATGGATTTTTACAACTCTTGTCATCTGTCCTTCCTCTGCCTCATCAAAGGCCTGGTTCCAGGATTACCAAATGCTGCAAGGGATGCAGGGATGTCAGGAGGTCATCAGGCTCTGGTTCCCCCATCCTCTACTTCCGTACCTCCTTTTAGAGGATTCTAAGGGAGGGAAGGAAAGCGGGAGTCCAGGACCAAGGCTCAACAAGTTCTCACGGAATCTCCCGAGCTTTAAAATCACAGAAGGTTAACTTCACAAGCCAAGGGAAGGTGCCACACCGCCCCCTGCCCGCCAGCCTCACGCGCAGCCCCTCCAGCCAAGCCAAGCAGAGCTAAGCTGAGCCAGCGATGGGCAAGCAGGAAGCCGGTCTGAGCTGCCCACCCGAAGCCATGCACAGCTGGGTGTGCCCCACCTCCGGCCTAAGCCATGCTTAGGAAATATCCCCTTTACCCCTGGGCCTCCTTCTCTTTCCCCTGGATGATGGTGCAGCTGAAAGAACAAGACCACAGCAACACCATGACTCAGGGGTCCAGCACGGCTCAACCAGGTCCAGCCCTGGAAGCCCCAGGCTCTTGCCGGTGGGCTGAGCTATGGCGCTTCAGAGTGGTCTCTGGGGAAGCCGCCTTCAGGAACCATCCTGTCACCCCAAACCCTCTCTGACCTCTCTTGGGCCACATTATTCTGAGCACCACGGCTCATGTGTCCTCCCGTTCACTCACTACTTCATTCATGCAGCCACCCGCTTCCTTCCTCTCCTTCTGCAGGTGGCAGCATTTACTGAGCACTCGAGGGAGGTTGGTCAGCTTTGAAAGCGGGAAGGGGAGACCTCAAAGGAACTCTGGCTTCTGATAAAAGAAGGAACAGCTTTCTCGGGGTCTGAGGTGGGCGAAGGGAAGAGAGAGTAGTGGGTCTGCATCTGCCTGTCCCCATCCACCTTCCCTGGAAGACCTCAGTAGAAGTCTCTGGTCTCCTCTAAACCTGTTCAGTCTGGAGTCATTCTTCCAGGGGACGGGAGAGGAAGGAAACGGGGAGAGTGGTTCAGAGAGCATCTGAGCTTCCTTTCAGGGAAGGAAGCAGTGTCCCTTCCCCCAGCACATGCACACTTACATGCAGACACCTGCATGCACACACACGTGTGCATGTACACACACACACACACATACTTATATGCAGACACGACAGAACCATAGACAACTCCAACACTCACCCAGATGTGGGAACACAGCCAGAGACAGGAACGCAACCCTTCTGCCTTCCCCAAGGGAGCTGTGCATACAGACACCGGCCTCTCACTAACACACAGACAACAGCCTCAGACACCAACACATGCATACATACTTCCCTTTGGCATGTCATGCAAAATACGAAAGAGAACAGAAAGTGTAGCAGATTAGTAGGTGCTGGCTAACTGCAGTCTGGGTGTGGTGAGGAGAGACTCGGTTGTTCCTGTTTCCTGCTCCTCTTCCCACAGGCTCCTCCTCTGGGCCTTCTCTCGGCTGGCCTCTCAAAGCAGACCTTTACCCAGCTACTCCTGCACTTTCAGCTTAAGGTTTGTGCTTTTTAATTTTCAAAAGGGAGGAAATGTACTGCTCCTGGGGAGCCACGGAGAATGCAGTTCCTCTGGGTGCCCAGGAGGGGTGGCACTGGGGAACTGCCTACCAGCATGTAGGAAAACGAAGACTGACCTCTGCCTTCCACCGACTGCTCTGTCAAATTTCCTTGACCATCTGGGATCCACACAGAAAGGACCCATGAATCTTCCTGGTTCCACACTGGGTTCCCAGTGTGTTCTCTGGAATGCCCACCCCACCTGCACGTGGAGCCTCTGTTGCCTCCAGCCTGGAACCCACCCCGACAGAATCAGCCACCAGGACAGCTCCCTCACAAGTCTGGGCTTCCCAGCAAGTCCCAGATGTCCAGGGCACAGGGCGGTGCTCCCCACGCTGTGTGTCAGCTGGCTTCCCGACTGCTATTCCCTGCCTCTCCCTTCGTGAGTCTCCTGCAGTGGGTAGAAGGTTCAGAAGCCAAGCCCCTAGCTAGGTCAGTAGAGCAGAACATGGAGGAGGAGAGAGAGCTACAGCGAGCGCACTCTCAGAGGTATGAATGTGGAAGGAACGAGGAGGAGGAGCTAAGTTTGTAAGAAGCAGTGTAACTTTCCGAGCAACTGGGCTAGAAAGGAAAGGCCTTAAAGCTTCACAGAATGTAGAACAAGAGGCCCCAAGGGCAAAGAGCCACAGGGCAGCGCATACATCCAGAGAGGGGAACAGGAAGGACCAGAGAAAGGTGTGTGTGTCGGGCCTGGCAGGAGGTTAGTCCCGCCACCGGGTGGAGCCAGGTACCGTACCACACTCTTTCAGCAGCTCATCCGACCAGTCCTGGCAGTCCTTCTGAGCATCACACACTTTCCCGCCGTCCACGCACTCGCCACTCTTACACTGAAATCTGCGGGGACCCTCACAAGTGGACTCTGTTGGACCAGACAAAAAAGTGGATGGTGCCTGTGAGACACTGGGCAAGAAGCCCAGGGCTGGGCCTGGACCCAAGGAAGACAAGCAGAGTTCCGGTCTCTATGGGGGGCCAGGGAGGATCAGAGTCCTGAGCCCATCTCACCAGGCAGAGCCATGTGTGTCTGTGCTTGGGCCTGGGAGTCCTAGGGGACTGTATCATCTCCTAAGGAGAAGACTCTGTCCACAGAGCCTGGGGAGGAAAGGTGCCTTGCTGACCACCTAGCTGGTGGGTCGGGGTCTCTGTTCCTGCAGGGGACAGGCAGTGACCACAAGAACTAGTGAGGAAAGCCTGGCCATGGGCAAGCAGGATGAAGGCTGGGCTTCCTGCAGTGCCCTTTCATGTGTCTTTCAGCTTGTGAAGTCCTGAGTAACCCAGGTCTGGTTTCGCTAGGACTCCACAGGAAGGAAACTGACTGATACGGGGGAAGGGATGCTCTGGGCAGGAACACATCTTGGGAACCAAGGGGCAGCCTCTGCCACTTCTACTCTCTCTGCAAACCTGGTGGACAGTATGGGCCTTTCCTCAGAGGACCCTGGCTCTGTCCTCACTATGCATACCCTGCAGGCAGCCAGCTTCGTCGCTCCCATCTGGACAGTCTCGTGCCTGGTTACAGCGTTTGATCTCAAGGACACATGTCCCATCTCCACACTGGAACTCGTCTTCACGGCAGGTTGCCAGCACCGCTGGGAGAAAACAAAAGGACAGAGTCAGAGTCAATGTGGCACCAGGACATATGCCATATCCACCCCAGGCAAGAACAGAACCAGTGGCTGCCCTTAAGGAGTCCTCAAAAGACACCTGGCCAAGGCACCTTCAGGGTACAGATGCAGAGACTGAAGCTCAGAGAGGGGAAGGCCTTGCCTGGGTCACACAGCGCTCTGGTAGGCGGAGCCAGGACTAGAACTCAGGGCCCCTGTTTTCCTGTCTGCCGCTTCCCCCCAGAGCAGAACATGGCCTTCTGTTGAGTTATGGTGCTCATGACTCTCTCCACTCTGCCAAATCTCCCTGGGCCAGGTACTGTGCTGGGTGGGAGCGGAGCCCAGAGAGGACTGAACACACCTCAGGAATACAGTAAGATGTCCTATGGGGGGTGTAACATCCTGATTGTGCCTCATGGTCAGTGGAGATGTGAAGGGAGGGCACCAGGGCAGAGATACTGGCACCAGTGAAGCCTGTGCCTGGCTTCCGGGGGTACGCGTGAGCCTCACTGCCTAGCAGCCATGAGATTTCAAGCAGTCACTTAATTCTTTTTTTTTTTTTTTTTTTTTTGTCTTTTTCATTTTTACCGGTACCAGGGATCGAACTCACGACCGCCTGCTTGCAAGGCAGGTGCTTATGCCGCTGAGCTAAATCCCCAGCCCCTAAGCAGTCACTTAATTCTATGAAGCCTCCTCCCCAGGAAAATGGGGGCAAGCAGAGGAAGAGGAGAAAGCAAGCAAAGGAAGTCTGCACCTGGCTGCTGCGTGCCAGGGCAGTGGGCACCGTGGAGGGGGCTTACGGCAGTCGGCCTCGTCCGACTTGTCCTTGCAGTCATGGTCGCCGTCACAGCGCCAGCCCAGGTATATGCACTCGCCGCTGCGGCAGGAGAACTGGGTGCTGGGAGCACAGGCCGCGGGCGCAGACGTGGTCCCCTGGCCTGCTCGGCCACAGTGCTCGGCCACCTCGTCTGAGCCATCCTCGCAGTCAAACTGGCGGTCGCAGACCCAGCGATCGGGGATGCAGCCACTGCTGTCGCCACAGTGGAACTCCCGGGGCCCGCAGGCTAGGTCCGCACAGCCTCGCTCATCGCTGCCATCCCCGCAATCGTCATCGCCGTCACACACGAACACAGAGGCCAGGCACGAGCGGTTGCCACACTGGAACTCGTGTGGGGCACACACTGTGCAGGACAGAGAGCCGGTCGGCCGGCCAGCTCCCATCCTCTGCCAACCCAGCCCACTGACCCTCACCTGTGAGCCGGAATAGGTCCCGCTGGGGGCCTGAGTGAGGGGGGTAAGATCAGACAGCGAAGAGGGCCTCCACCCTGGGCCCTGCTATGGACAAGCTGAGTGACCCTAGACAACCCACTTGTCTGTGCTGAGCCTGTCCAGCTGTCTTGTGTAAGTACATGAGTGGGTTCCTGGGGCTAAAACTGGAGCACACAGCCCGCCTCGCAGGACAGGAGGTGACACGCAGCATGACACTACGCTCAGGCCATGGTGTCTGGAGGCGGCGCCTTGTGGTAAGCTCTCCACAGACTGAACCCTCAGTCCTGGGCCATGGCTTCCTCCTGACCATACCAGCTCTAGCCACCTCAGACTCTTTCCCAGCCCAGCACACACAGGGCCTTTGTTCAGTTTGCCCGACCTTCTAGCAGCTACCTCTTGACCATCACTGCCTCCACAGGTTTAAGCAAGTTTTCAACTTTCCAGGGCTCAAGTTCTGCCTCTGCCATGACATGCTGCATATTTCCCTTGTTAGGAAACCTCCCATTGCTTCTGCCCTTTCACAACCCGCCCAGGGGTCTGAGTTTCTTGGCCGTCTCTATCTGGCCCATGACCATGAAATGGCTTCATCCTCAGTGCCTGGCAGGAAGCTCCGCAGGGCTGGAATGGGTGGGTACCAGTCGCCTGGGTATGAGGAACAGATAAGGCTGTGCACTAACGAAGGGCACACTTCCTGGCACTGCCCGAGGCCCTGGGCTTCCTCTCTCTTTGAAGAGCTGGTTTGAGCTCAGAGGTAGGAAGAACCTTAGGAGAAAACCAGGCCAACTGCTAATCTACAGACAGGGAAGTTAAGGCTCAGAGAGGAGAGTGACTGACTTTACATCATTGTTCTATGGGGACAGACTAGAACACAGGTTTGGGACATTTCCTTTCTCCTATCTTCCTTAGCTTTCCTGGTTTTCCTGTCCCTTCCTGGAACGCAAGCCAGCAAGCTCCTTCCCTCCTTTGTGTCTTCAGACCCTGGCCAAGAATTGGCCCTGAGGTCCAAGATGGTGAGGGATACAGTGGCTATGACTCCAAGTAAAAGGTGGTGGTAGTGCCAGATTTCTCCAGGTGGGGGCACCCAGAGCCCATGTTTCTGTTTTCTGATGGGGAAAAAAATGTCAATTTTCATTGTTACGGAATATAAAGTGATGCCCCTGGTTGCACAGTGTAGGCAGCTCGTGTCATGTGTTCTGACAGCTCCACTAGTTTCTTCCAGCTGCATTCTTTTTCTCCTTCTGGGCTTTTGGGATATTAGGGCCCTGGAGCACATGTGACACGGGGCCATCGTCCCTCAAGATGCTGCTGATTCCCAGATCAGCAACCGTCCTGCCTTGGCTTGTAAGTGTGCAGGGTCAGGGATCTGGTGCCCTCTGAAAGCCCCCATAGGAAATGCTTCTTATACTGAGTTCTCACTGAGGTTCTGAAAATGATGGTAATGTTCAAACCCTAGGCCAGAGAGCCTGCTCCCAGAATTTACGAATGGAAGAGTTCTGAGAGAGGATTCTGAGAGATGGGAGAAGGGAGGATATTTTTTTTTTCCCCTCTGCACAGGCCAATAAAAACTTGTGGTACTCTGGCTTCCTGTAAATAATAAGGAATGTCCCTGTCCCGACATGCCCTCTTGCAATAGTGACTGATGGATTTGATAGTGGAGGACTCAGCTGATTCTTGGGGGGTGGGTAAGAGAGAAAAAGGACTCTCATGGGCCAGTGAGTCCTCACAGAATTTAACAGCTGAAGAACTGAGCCAGGGCCACGAGATTCTGAAAGTGCTGGTAACAGCCAGGATCTCCCCACCCGTCTAGAGGTTTCCCACCTCAGACCCATCAAAGCTCCAGACTTAGAATCTCATGATGCTTCCACTCAGATGCGTGGAGAGACAGCCTTTCCTCCAGGCCGCAGGGGACAGCTAGGATGCACACTGAGAAGCTGGTGCAGGGCAGAAGGGCTGAGAGCCAGGGTGGACAAGTGCCTGGTGATAGCTCTCGAGCGGTCACCTGTATCTCAGACTAGCCTCACAGCCTCGTCAGTTTCCCTAAAATCATGGGCTCCAAGAGACAGGACCGCATAGGAGTCATCTCCCTCTTCCTCCCGCTCCTGGCTCCAGGTCCGGAACCCCTCAGGTACACACTGGACTGAAATGAGTCAAGTCACAGTGCCTGCAGGCCCAGGCCTAGCTGAGCTGCTCCCTGGAAGGAGATAATCCTGTGTTTAAAGCTCAGCGATGTGGAAGGGTCCCAGTGACCACTTCCATCTGTCCCTGCTGAGACTGCGAGGAAGGTCTTCCCCACCCTGTGACACGTGCGTGCGCTCCCCTCTGAGGGTGCAGCAACAGGAGTCCTTCACACCTCAGGAATCTGTCCCGCGCCCTGCCCCTGCGCTAGCCCCTGTCACTGCCAGTGCCTTGGCTCAGATCACTGCTCCACAGGCCGCCCCTCCGTAGTCCTGCCTTCGCTCCCAGGGCAGGAGGCTTGTGGAATGGATGAAGAGATGTTAAGCATGGTACAAAGCTTTGCTGTCCAGTTCTGAGTTTGCATCTCAATTCCGTCATTCAGCCTCGGGCACTCTTCCCTCCCTTGTCTGAGCCTCAGTTTCCTCACCCCTCAAAATGAGATGAAAATGGTGGTGTGAGGATGAAACCAGAAAATGTCTCTTAAGTGCCGGGCCATTACTAGTGTCCTGATTCTCATAGCTTCCTGCCCACCTACCAGGCCTCCAGGGCAGCAGGCCCCTCCCCAGAGGTGGCCGCCTCACCCAGGGCTACCCGCCATGCCTGCAGACCACGGGGCGCTGGCCCCAGACTCACAGGTAGCACAGCCGGCCTCGTCGGCTCCACCCTCACAGTCCTTTTCTCCATCGCAGCGCCACGAGGCAGGCACACACTTGTGACTGGTGGGTCCACAGCTCATCTTCTCTGCAGGACACACTTGCCTGGCTGCAGAGAAAGACATCCATGTGTGGCTTAGTGATGGGGGACACAGGACCCAGGCACTAATCAGTCCTGTCCCCTGCTTCTAGCCAACTGGCACTAGGTCCCAGGAAGTCCATCGGGGCCCCGAATCCCATCTGCCTCTTGAGCCTTCCAGATCCTAAATCTGACTCCATCACTGCCCCACCTAACTACACAGCGCCTGGCCCTGACAGTCTATTGCCCTTTGATCCAGTGAGCCCTGACCCACTGGCACGGTTATACTTCCCACTCCGCTGAGCCTCCTCTCTAGGCAGTAGCATCTGAAGCCACCACACCCTGCACTCATCCCAGCTCAGCCAAAGTTGTGAGCCCTTGGGTAAGATACTCAGCTGGATGCCACTCTGCGGTCCAGATCAGCCACTCCAGGATCAGAACTGGGGACTCACTAGACCTCCGACAGTCCAACCCACCCCTCTCCAAGTGATGGTGCTTCCCCAGTGATGGTGCTGAGCCTGCAGCTGGGAACAGCCACCGCACGGCAGGGCCCAGCGGGACTGCACAGCTATAATTACTGCAGCCGCAATCACAGGCTGACGCAGTCAGGGGCCTGAAGCCGCAGGGCTGATTTTCTATTTGGAAGAAGGAATGGGAACCCTATCTGGCTCTTATCCTGAGGCTTCTCAGATCCACATGACCTCTGGGGCTGACGTATCTCAGACCTCCACGGTTGCTCCCTACCGCCTTCCAAGGGGTGCGAGAGGCTGGATTTGGTGGTGTCTAGGATGTGCCACACGCAGTGCTAGATGCTTTTATTTAATCTTCACAATAACCCAGCAGGGTGAGGATTATGTCCTGGCTGCCTGGATGGAGACAGACAGCATGGGCTTTGGACACCTGGCTTCAAATCACAGTTCAAACACTCACTGGCTATGTGACCTTAGCCATTCGCTAGGAAGATGCTATGACCCATCTCACAGGGTTGTTATGATGACCAGGTTACTGTCTGTTCAGCACTGAAAAGGACACTCAGTCCAGCGCTCACTAAGTATCTCCTCTTATTAGATTCCCCATGCCACAGATGTGAGCCCTGACTCTTGGTTAGCCATTCAGTGAGTACTGAACGCACACTGCTGGGTACCAAACGTGGTGGTGAGCCCTGAGCTCTAGTCACATGGCTGGTAAAGAATGGTGTGAGGACATGGTCAGCCCTGTCTGGTACCACAGCCTGGACTCAGTCCACGTACCCAGGGCAGTGGCTATGCAGGTCCCACTTTGATTTATGATCTCAGCCCAGTTTCCTATCTTGGACTTCTGCAGCTTTGAGGGATGGAGAAAAGGTGGGGGAACTACGTCCAGGTCTTCAGACAGTTCCATGTCATGGGAGAAGTGCGGGTCCCAAGGTTTTCCCTGGAGCTCCATGTCACAGAATATAAGGTGATGAAAATGGGATTCATTTTATAGAAATTTCCATGAGAAGTCACATCAGGCAGAGCTCTGGAAAGCACCAACACCACAAGGACTCCAGGTCGTCCATGTGAGTAGGTGAAGGAGCTCGGGAATTTGGAGCTGGGGTCCTTCCAGAGCGTCGCTATTCTGGTGGGACTTCAGGTCTGCACTCCAGGGCCCCGTCAGGACATGAAGGTGCTGCGGCTGAGCAGCACTTCATGAGGGTCCTCTGACCAAAGGGTAGAGGTGAGGAACCCTCATACATGTAGGTACCGGAGCCCCGCTCATACCAACTGAATCCAGACTGCGAGTAAATCTGCATCCCCAGCTCGGGGCATTCCCAGGAACCTCTGTTTGAAAACTCTGCTTACTATTTTGTACTCCTAAAAGATAAGGGACATTAAATGTGTTTCAAACATAAAAGCATAAATAGGAAATAGGAATCTCAAGCATTTGCAAGCTCCAGAGACAGCAGTAAGTGGAAGGAACAGGCAACCCCTCACATGCTTATCTCTAAGCCAGCCCTGGGGAACAGACATTCCCAGGGCAGTGGGAAGAGACACAGTGCCAGGTGTTGTACTCTAAGAAAGTAGCTTCATCATTTTGTGTATTATAGCAAACCTGTACCGCGGCTTACTAAATGTTTTCTTTTCTTAACTGATATGTTAAGTGACCCAATTGATATGTTGAGCAATACTCTCCCCTGTAAAGAATTGCAAGAATTTCACTTAATTGAAATGTTAATCACGGAGCGGCCCTCTACAAACAAGAAGAGTGGTGCTAAAACAAGCTAACAAGGGCTGTTAATCACGGGTAGGCGCCTCTAGTCTTCGCTAAAGAACTAAAGAAGACAAGAAGGCCCACTAATTTACACATTGTTTGAAGTAGTGTGTTTATATGCAGGGAGATTTGCCCATGAGTTTAACCTTTTTACCTAACCTTAGTTACTCTTCCCACAAGATAGATACTCGCCGTTTTCCTGTTCTGTAGCGCGCCTTATTGCCTCCCCCCCACCCACCTATCTGGGCCATAAAGAATTTGGGTTTCTGGTGACCTCTCCCCGACCTGGTGATGATCTGTCATAAAATGAGCCTGCCCCAATTTTAAGAACTGTTTAGCTTCAAAGAAATTACCGGGAAATACTGTGGCCCAAACCCCGATCGGTGCTTTCCTTTTGTTCTGTATGTACCAATGGGTTAGATATCAGATCTTTGTAAAACTTAAGTTCCAGCATCTCATAACTCGTGACCCCTTCGCACTCACTGGCGAAGACAAGCTGTCCTAGGATAATTAACTCTCCACTTTCTTCCCCAAATATTGCTGCAGATGTGCCACTCTGAGATAATGTCAGTCTGCAGGATGGGAGTAATTTGAGCAACACCAGGAACTCCCGGGACTGTCAGAGCTAAGTGGACAGCAATACAGTTTCCAGATGCGGGTCAACAGGTTTAATGGCCTTACAGGTTTCCTCCCCACTTTCCCTTACTTTTAAAAACCCCTTTCCCCAGTCTGGGGCGCGCAGTCTTTGGTTTGATCTAGGAGAGACTGTGCCGCCAGGACTGGCTCAATAAAGCCTTTGCCACTTAAGTTTTGGACTCTTGTTTCCGTGGACTTTATACCGGGGCCCACGTTATAACATTTGGGGGCTCGCCCTGGATGGAAGCAAGACTCCAGACTCATTTCCGAACATCTGAAAGTAAGTGCTCTGGAGGTTTTGTTTGGGCCGCGGTCAATTTGTAATTTTGAGGGGACGCCCTCAATTTGGGAGTGGGAACCACCCGAGGACAGAGTCAGTTGGTTTGTCGGACAAATTCTGTCCATCTGTGAATCTGCCCCGGGTGAGGAACCACTCCGTTCGGAAGGGGACGCCCTTAATTTGGGAAGTGAAGCCCCCGAGGACGAAGTCAATTGGTTTTTGCCATTTGTGACTCCGCCTGGGTGGGGAACCACTTCATTAGTTAAATTTGTTAATTCCTCCAGATCCCAAAATTTGACTAATTTTTGAGCAAAGGCCATTCTGCTGCAGCTTGTCTTGTCCTGTCTCGTCTTGTGTGTCGGTCTGTGTGTTCATTTGTTCTAATTGTTCCCCTTTTTGGTCACCTAACTCTAACAGAGCCTTCTTTCTTAGGAGCTCCTTCCTGGAATTCGGAGTGGGCAAAGGTGATTCCGACCGTTTGCCTAGTCTCTGTAGTTTTTCTGTTTAACCCTAACTTTGCCTTTTAAGTTTTTTTTCCAGCAAAACCAGCGACACCACCAGCTATGGGTCAGAACGAGTCCATTATGGGTCGGAACGAATCTGTTCCCAGCACTCCCCTTAGCCTTGTCATTGACCACTTTAAAGAATTCCAGAGGCGAGGTGGGAGATATGGGGAAAGGGTTCGCAAAGCCAGACTAACAACCTTTGTCACACAGGAGTGGCCCCTGGGGACCCAAGGAGTCTGGCCCCCTTTTGGGTCCTTTGATATGGAGACAGCTCGAGCGGTCCGCCAGTATGTATTTGGGCCCCCCGCTCACCCCGATCAGATTGTCTATATCCAGGCTTGGATAGATACAATCTATGATGCTCCCCCTTGGATTGAGCCACTTCCGAATGGAGTCCTAGCAGCCCTCAAACCGAAATCCAAGGCTGAAGAGGAGACCTCCAAGCCCAACGCACCTCCAGTCTTACCTCCGAGCGAAGACTTCTCCGACCCGCTAGACATCCTTCCCTTACCCCCTCCCCCGTATCCTGCCCCTGAGCCACAACCTGACTCCACCTCGTCCTCCCCGCCTCGGCCCATTCGAACCCGCCGCCACGCTCGACCAGAGGGACCTCTGGAACAGGGCCACGAGGCAGCGCCACTGTGTCCTCTGCGGGAGGTCCCAGCCCCGAGTGGGGGCTCCATGTTTGTGTACACCCCCTTTTCTTTCTCTGACCTCTATAACTGGAAAAGTCAGAACCCCCCTTTCTCGAAGGACCCAGAATCTCTGATTAGCCTTATAGAGTCTGTTTTCTCCACCCACCTTCCCACTTGGGATGACTGCCAGCAGATCTTACGCATCCTTTTCACGGCTGAGGAAAGGATGCGAATCTGCGCTTTGGGGCAAAAGGGAGTCCGAGAACCGGATGGATCTCCATCCACTGATCGGCAACGAATTGAGCACTTGTTCCCCTCCTCCCGACCCGAGTGGGACCCTAACACGGATGCAGGTAAGAAGGCTCTCGATGAGTATCGCCTGAGGCTCTTAGATGCACTTCGTGCGGCTGCTAAGAAGCCCACCAACCTTTCCCGAGTGAGTGCAGTGCAGCAGTTAGCCGATGAGTCTCCAGCGGTGTTCTTAGAGCGCCTTTTAGAGACCTATAGATTATATACTCCAATCAATCCGATGGCACCCGAGAACGCACGAGCAATTAATATTGCTTTTGTGTCCCAGTCGGCCCCTGATATTAGGAGAAAGTTACAAAAGCTTGAGGGATTCGAGGGAATGCCTCTCAGCCAGTTGGTCGAGGTCGCACAAAAGGTTTTCAACAATAGGGAAACCTTGCAAGAAACAACAACCAAAAGGATGACTAAAGTACTGGAATTACTTTGCGAAAA